TTTCCAGCCGCCGCCTCCTCCGTAGCCGCCACCGCCGCTGCTGATCCAGCCTGAGGAGCCGCCGCCGTAGCCTCCACCACTGCTGCCTATCCAACCACCGCTGGACTTCCAGCCGCTGCCGCCACCTCCGCTGCTAATCCAGCCGGAGGAGCCGCCACCATAACCGCCGCCGCCGCCTCCGCCGTAACCACCGCTGCTGATGTAGCCAGCTGCAAAAAATAAAGTGAATGTTAAAGGGCACGATTTTTGATCAGTGAATGGTGCAAAGACTTTCTCTTGCATTAAATAGTTTTTTACTTTTTTCAGTTTGAGTATTCTTGGGCGTTTCACTTCATTAAGACTGTCATCATTCTTAATTAAACTGATTCTCTAGGAATTATTTGTGATTACATAATTTAGTTAAGCAAATGTAGTGAGGAAATAACTAATTAAATTGTTCTAATTAAAAAAATTATATTTCGTTATGAGTAAGAAATTTATAGTTTTTTTTATTACCTTGGGCATAGTTGGTGGCTGCAGCCACAGCCAAAAGGCAAACAAACACCTGAAATAAAATCACAAAATTAATAAAAAATAAATTACGATTTTTAAGACCAGTGAATTCAAAAATATTGTTAGTTACCTTCATGTTATATCCAAAAAAGGTGACTGACTTTGGACCCTCAACGTCCGAGTTTATATAGTAATAGTTGGAGCCTTGGACCCCCCTTTCTAATCCCTCAACTCATCTCGGTGTTTCAGCCCCTCTTACTTCAACACACAATACCAAATCGTAATTGCACCATTTTCATTCATTTTAAAAATCTCACCTCCGCTTCTTGGCCATGTAACTCAAAAACAATTTCCTGCTTCGTAATTTAACTGCTTTTAGATAATAGTAATTCAGTAGACTTCCAAACTTTGACGAAGAACATCATTCTTGAGGATATTACACATGATGTCATACACTAAATCAACATAAATACGTGCAGTGTGTAATTTATTAGTAATTATTTTATGTTCGTACTAATTTAAAAAATACTCATTTTGTATATTCGGAAGAAGTGTATGTGTGATGCAACCGGTAACAGACAGCCCATTAAAACCTATAAAAGTTATGTCAACATGTTTATAATTTCGTGAATATATCTTAATAAATAAATTAAATGTTTTTCCGAATTCGGTGTATCTGTATCACATTAGATTGAAAAGGCATAATGTAGTGAAAGTTACCAAATTAATATCTGCAAAACAATAAAAAACGCCATGTTTTTAGTGCTTTTACTTTATAGTGGCATCACAATTAATCACTGCGGCTTCTAAGCATTTTGCGTCAACCTGAACAACTACTAATTAATTAATCTTGAAAGTTACCTAACGTTTTAATTGTAATAACACTAATTTTCTTCCTTGACTATTTACAAAGATGTTTTCTACCGGTATACCGGTACACAAACTGTTTTAAATTTAATATGAGTGTTGAAGTTGAAGTAGTAAATTGCTTAAAACTTACGACAATTTGTTTAAAAGATTTTATCCCAAACTTATGATTAAGGTGAGGGATCATTAAAATGGTGATATAATTATCAAGATTTTTTTATTGCCGATTTTATAAACAAATTAGTGGCAAATTAAAGAAACGTAATGTGTGAAAAGTGGTTCACATTTGAATTTATGTGAAATCAATTTAAACTCATTTAAAGACAAATAAATTTGTTCTAATCATTAGTTAATAGATTTTTGTCTAATAACAAACATAAAATAAATTTTCACTTGGTGTTAATTGTTTTATGGCTTGTATGTTATAAACGAGATGTCCATAAAACATACATAAGCCTACAATTTACAATATTTCCTTTCAAGTATTGTAAACACAGAATAGGAAAATTGTACTTTTACTTGGTAATCGTTATAGTTTTTAATTGGCCAAAATGTTTTTATTATAAAATTTTAAATTGAGTTGCATTTATCTGAGCAATTACAATCAATGAATTGAATAAAGACACTTGATAGCTTTTATAAAACTCTTGACGGGATAATGAAATTGTCAGATTTATGCCTGATAACTGCTTTTATCACAAAAGACAATCTTGATTCTTGAACTACAATTGATCATATTTTACAACTTATTTACAAATAAAAAGTGCAATAAAATTAGAAAGTAATTTATTTGATGCTTCCCATAAAATGAAAAAAAAAGTTTTTTGTATCAATATAAAAATAAACTTTTAGTTTCATTAAACCGAAAAACTATTGTAGTTCATCAGAATTACTGTCCTAGATTTTCAACACGCAACTGTACCCGCAAGCATTGTTTATTCTGGAAAAAACTAAATTGAGATGTAGCGTCTGATGTGATACACAAGTGAATGGCTTGCAGGTTTTATTGTAATTTAAGAGCTAATCATCAAAATTATGACTAGTTTGTGTAATTTGAATAATAGATGTATACTTAATAAATTTTAAGACCTTCGATAAAAATTAAATTTAATTGTAATAATTAATTAATTAATGGGCAGCCGTATCTAATTTGAAATATGATATCTAATAAGTTAAATAAAACGAATACACAAATCTTTTTGATCTAGTTTAAATTTTATTATGTTACCAGTGAGAATATTAAACATAAGATTCGTTTATCAGATGATTTCTAATAATGAAATTGCATGCAGTGACAAAACTGGGTTGAGTGAAATTCGACACAGACTTTAATGGCATGTATATTTAAGTAACAAACTTTGTTTGCATTTGTTAGCATTTAAATCTTAATTCTTAGGTGGCCGATGGATTGTAATTGTACGATTGTAGGAGGAATATTTGTTTCTCACAATGCGTTTACTTTTTCCATTACATTTACTTATTTCTGTTTTACATAAGTTAATATCTTAAACCAATTAATATCTCTCTGCGTAAGACTACGTTATTACATAAATAATAAAATTTAATAACCAACAGATATTAATCTGCAGTTTCAAATCGATGCAATTTAATGCATATCATTATAATCAATGCAATTATTGCCATGAAAGATTTATTATTAACATATTTGAAATTGAACTATAAATACGTTTATGAAATTATTAAAATATATAACCCGAGATAAATCTAGTACCTATACTCGTTAAGAAGCAAAACGCAATCCAATTCCTATTCCAATAAAACGTTGTTTGTATCACGGGCATAGTTGTTGATTAAACATTGCTTTGGCCTATAATCTTTTTATTATGCTTTTGGTGTAAAAATAACTATTTTAACATTCAGAAAAATAATTGCAGATTTTTTTTTTAAATTCTTACAATCCAATTACATAATTAAGATTTTATATGCATTTAAAATTAAAATTAAAGATGAAAAGAACAATAGCTTTGTTACTATACTTTGTTACTTTGATACTAAACCTATGAATCTGCTTAACCAGGCCTATTCAGGGTGCGCCAGAACTCGCGCCCCAGAGGAAAATGCCATACAAAGTAAGATATCAGGAATATGGAAAAAATGTTAAAAAAATGTTATCTCTAAAAATTTCTAAGTTATGAGGGTTTAAAGTTTGCACTTTGTCTCTATTTATTTCTGTTGGAAAAATAATTTTCCAAGTTTTTTTGCTATAGGCTATTAAAAGAAGAAACAAGGAAGCTGTATCCTAAATTGTAACTCTGTTCAATGTTATTTGTGGCTTTTATTGACAAAATTTTTGTACCTTTACTAAATAATTGTAAAAAAACATACACAAGATCATCAGTATCATTAAATAGACATAAAAAATGTCAAATGTCAAAAAATAAATGTCAAAATTTATTGACAGATAAAAATTTTTAAACATTTTTTTTATGTTCCTGATATCTTATCTTACTTGAAATTTTTCTCTGGGGCGCGAGTTCTGGCGCTCCCTGTGTGGTAGTTTTGTCATCTCACACTGTAGTAGGGTTGCGATTATCTTTTCTTTACATTACAATACATACTTACTTTTCTAGGGAACTACTAATAAAAAATAAATGCAGATCTATAATGCACAAGGCACGTCTTTTTTCTTCGTCGCATGCATTGAAAAACATTTTTAACCAGTGAGAATTGATGAAAAGAATGTACGTAATTGTTTGGTAAATTACAGATTGTTTATAAACAATTTTACATTTTTACTTTTTGAGTTTTATTCAGAACGGCTCTGCTTCTATCATGAATTGTTCTACCACGTATTGTTCTATACATATATTGTTCTTTAGTCTTATCCGACTTTTGTATTATACACCTGGGATTAAAATAGTTAAGAATATGTATTTCAAAACTTTTTTTTTACTGTTCTGACACGTTTCACTTTTTTTCGTATACAATAGGAGAGCTGCTTTGCTCTAAATTTGTTAGTAGAGCTTAGCTGTAATTATACACAGACATCAAATGTTTGTGACCTATTTTACCCCAAAAAACCAGTGCGGCAATAGAATAATCCCGAGATGTATTTTTTAACTATTTTTTTTATTTTTGAAATCTATTGATTTGAAAAAATTAAAATAATTAACGTACACTGACAGAAATACTGAATTTATTGTAAAACTTATTGTTCTCTTTTCTTTTAAAAAGTGTAGCACGTCTTTCAACAATTCGTTGTCAAAAATAAAATCAAAAATTAAAAAAAGACTTACTTATTGAAACTAAACTTTCGTGTGTAAACTTTGCAAAGCTAAAATGTAACTGAAAGTTGTTTGCTTACAAAATTGAAACTTTTCAATGGGTGACTTTTATTTTGTACTAAACCTGAAACACACGATTTCAATTTTAAATAAAATTACAAAACTTTATGCAGTTGTAATTTCGCAACAAAAGGTTGTTAAAAACTAAATACACACATACAAAGTGAAACCTTTTAAACTATGCAATGGTTTTGTTTTTAAGTTTGGCGTCATAGTTGGCGGTGACTATCAGAATGTGAACGGACCACAATTATTTAATACTCTCGGCGAGATGTCAAATATCAGATTTATAACTTTCAATGCGATCGTTCGTTCACAATCAAACTTACATGTATAGCTCTCACGCCAAATAAAAAAAAACACTTGTTATAATTATGTTAACTCACAATAAATAAATAGATAGAGTATCTATTTTTATTTATCGATAAAGGATGAATCAAAATAAAACAAAAATGTTATAAAACCAAAATTTTATTCACATCAAATTTAGGTACAAAACACGGTAAAAATTATAAACAATTTTAATTTAATACTTTGTGAAAATAATAAAGATATCGACAGTTCTTGTCTTCATTCCATGATGGTAGTTGCAATAAAGCACGCACTATCTACCACCATCCTAGAAATACAAAAAGAAATTATAATAAAACTATTTTAAAGCTTCAAATTTTTAAACAATGACTCACCTGATCTCCATCCTCCGTATCCTCCATATCCGCCGTAGCCCCTGTAACCCCCATATCCACCATAACCGCCACCATATCCCCCTGAAATCACTTTGATAACCCTAACTGTGTTACCGTAACCACCATAACCACCGTATCCTCCGTATCCTCTCCATCCTCTGTAACCACCATATCCGCTGCCGTAACCGCCATAACCGCCGTATCCACCATAATAACTTCCCAAATATCCAGCTGAAAGTAAAAATCAGACTAAAATTCTGACCAAACATCAACAAAACGCACCTTGGGCCAAGCTAACGATGGCGACTAGAGCCAAGAGAGCGATGAGGACCTGGAATGAGATGACAGTAAAATTGTTTACGTATGACACACTGACTGGAAAATTATGCACACAACTGCCACACCGTATTTACCTTCATAATTGATTTAGTTCACGAAACTGATAGCAGAACCCTAAGCAGAAAGAGTTTATATAGGTGCCTACCAGCGTAAAAAAGCCTTGGTGGAAATCATCCCCCCTTAAGACGGATTGATTATTTCCATAAATCCATTTACATAAAAAAGCCACAACACAAAGATATGTCGTCGGTGGTCTGACCCTGTACTTTAAAACAACAAGAAATCGGGTATTCACATCGTTGCTTCATTTTCTTGTCAAAGAGTGAAACTAAAACTGCATCTATCCCGGGACCAGTTTTGCAACAAAATTTATGTTATTAGCAATATTTTTTGACTATATTAATAGAAAACACAACACTGCATAATTTATTTTTGAAAAGGTCGCTGCGTTTCAAATATTCCGAAAGTATTTCTGTTGTCAGAAAGTATTGACAAAAATTACAAAAATGTTGCGAAAACATTTTTTTAATGACTAATGGACATAAGAAACATTATTAAATACATAAATTATGGGAATTGAATGCAACTGAATGCATGTACAATATGTCATAATAATTAATTATCATAAATTAATTTAATTTTATTCAAAAACTATGTCTTGATAAGAATGAATACAATATGCGGTGTATCCAATTAAGGCTTCCTCTAAATTATTTTAATTATCTGAATTATCACAATTAATTAAAAAAATGGAAAGCTTTGGATTAATATCTATGAATTCTTTTAAATACCTGTAAAGATGCTTTGTTTTCAACTCTACCAACCCTAAAGTTGTCGACATAATATGAAAGCTTGATTACTTATACTCACATTTTACTTTTCCAATTCTGTTGAGTTTACTGTTTTTATCACTATATTTGATCACCCATGCATAAAAAATGTGTATTCAGATGAAAGTTGCAACATGTTTGTGTGCATCTATTGTTATTACCAAAAACAATTTGAAATTGTTGAATTTTATGCAAATGCTCTTAAATTATCTAATTATTTCAAATTTTGATTTACTCGTACATACTAGAAAACAATTAAAACAAATAATTAAAAATGTACTGTAATTAGTACATAACAAATGATACGTGTAATAATGTAAAATCAAATTTCAAGGATAATGATTATTGGGATTTTCTTAATAAAAAATATGAATAACATAATAAAATTTATTTTTGTTTACATATTTAAATACAATTATGTAACATGTGCTTTAATGGTATGCAAATTGGCACATATTGTCATTGATGACCATATTTTCATTTTGTGGATTTCTTTATAAATATCAAGCTGAGTGACTCTGCTTTTAGATGCTTTTATACTCGTAACCCGTCACGTTTTAAACATTTATATATTTTAACAAAATGAAGCGGTAAAGATATTGAAATTATGGTGACAATTTAAGATGATTTCTAAATTTCTAAATTTCATTTTAATTTAGACCTCTAAAGCTGTTTTACCTATTCTCGTTGTCTTTTTTAAAAGTAATTCTAATAGATCTTATTATATGCAAGAACAACAACATATTAAATAATATTGTTTTAAAAACCACCAATAAAATTATGGAAACTGGAAAAAGTAATGTTCTTATGCGGTTAAATAATAATTAACATAAAAATCTTAAGTGTAGTGATACGTTAGTTACCTGCGGTTTTTAGTAGGAGTAAATGGATGTAATTTATGGTAAGCTTGACCGGAGTAAAATACAATAACAAATGTGGTGGAGAGTGTTTTTCATCCTTAATTATTTAAAAGTTCCACTAGTTAAAAAAACATAAATATTGAAAAAAAAATTGTTTTTATATTTTTCAGCTAAACCTTGGGTATTTATTAATTGTTATTATTATTACTTTTTTCTAAAGTAGTTTAAAACAAGTCTAGTATAAAGTTTGTTAATCAATAGAAAAATATGTACAAAAATTAATAATTCAACGAGCATATAATGATGGTGAAGTTTAAACAACAAGTTTTTTAACAAACTTTTAACAAGTCGTGAAATGAGCTCTTATTGGATTTTTTGATCCATCCGGAACCACCCCAAAGCATCTGCACACAAAACCGGGCTTTCCAACGGCCAAATGCATGAAAGTTTGGAAAATCTTTTTGATGAACTCGGAACGCAACTTTAAGAATTAAAAAAAAACTAATTAAAAAACAATTTTTTTGTATACGCTTCCGATAACAGCTGTTTTAGGGACTCATTTGAGCCCCTAAAATAAGTTTGTTCCGGACTCAATAAAAAAGTACGTAATTACGTAAAACACTAAAAAATATAATTGGTTCCTATGCTAGCGAATTTTTTTTTAATTAATAGGATGTGTGAATTCGTGTTTTGGGGGTTTAACAAAAATATTGTTTGTAACACGTACTTAAAACGTTTTTGCGGACTCATCTGCAATTCCAGACTCGGTTTGACCTCGTCCAGAAACTGCAACGATTCGTCCGCAAAAACTGTGTTTTTAAAATAAATGTGAATCAATGAGCATACAAAACTATGAAAATTTTCTTAAGGGTGCGTCTCTCGGTCACATAACCAGTTTCCTAGATAATAGAATATTTCCTACCTCGATTGTACATAATATACTACCACTATGAGTAATAATAATCTTTATTGTTTTGTACAACAAGCTTTTGCAAATTTAACGATAATAGGCAAGCAATTAATAAATGTTTTAAATTAAACAAAAGATTAATTACTAAATATAAATCTTAGAAGATTTAAAAAAATATCTACATTATTTGTGTAAATCTAAGTTGAGTCAAATGTTGAATAATTAATTAATTCAATATCGTAGGCTTAAATGGGAAATACCTACATCTAGATTTAAAAGAAAAATTACAAAAGAAACTCGTATTATTACTCAATATGTAGAAAAACAATAGGCTTTTTATTTATACAGGATGTTCAAAAATAACGAATGTAAAGTAAATTCAATTGACAAACATTTTTTTTCCGGTGACTGAAACCAAATATTGATACTACGAGAGTAAGTATCTTTTGTACTCTTACAATTGAGAATTTTCCGATACCACAACGGCGACATTTTATTGATTTTTCTTATAAAAAAAAAGGTATAAATCAAACACATTTTGAAAAAATATAAACATCAATTTATTATATGAAATATTTACACAAACGTTCTGAACATGAAAATATTAAATAAATTTGACGAATGGAAAACAGGACTTTACCACCATCCACTCGACCTCCATCCACCTCCACCTAAAATTCGATTAATGCCCTTTTGTGTCATTCTTTTTCTCAATTTACCTGATCTCCAGCCTCCGTAACCGCCACCATATCCACCTCCGCTTCCACCGTACACTTTAATAACGCGAACAGAGCGACCGCCGCCATAACCTCCAGACCTCCATCCGCCTCCTCCAGATCTCCAGCCGCCACCGGATCTCCAACCGCCCCCGCCGTAACTAATATAGCCCGCTTGAGCCAAAGTGGCAGCAATAGCCACGATCAAGAGGCAGATGATCAACTGCAAGAATGAAAAATTATTTTATTGTGAGGTTGGGCAAGAAAGTGCAGCTGTTTTAGGTCAAAATGTTGGTAAATAATTGGCTGACATTTTCTTGGTATTTTCAATATAAGGAATGATTTATGAAAAAAAATAATCGGCACAAATATCACTCCACTTTTGGAGGCACTAGGAATGTAGGGCTATTTACCTTATTCATAATTGGTGTTAAATCGGAAACTGGATAATAACCCTAACAAATCAACTTTATATAGTAATATAAAACCTTGAAACTCCCGTCTAGTTTGGGCTCATCATCCCCCCTATCACAAAAGATTAATCTAAAACAAATTGCAGATTGCCAGGCTTTGTCTGAACTCTCAGCCAATCTGACATTCTTTCGTAAATAATTTAAATAATTTGATCAACAATTAAACTTTATTATGTGTAAAAAGTTGCATAGTGCTTAATTAATACCATTGTGTTATTGTAAAGTTACCGTATTGCATCAAGATAAGAGACAAACTTTATGGAAAATTTGGGAATCTTGGTAATCACCCACACTCAATAGAAGTTTTCAATGGCCGAGGTTACATCCTTAACTTTTAAACTGGCTCCTTTCAAATTATTATTTATGTTCCAATTGTCGGTTCGTAATGATGCAGTAAAATTATCTGTTATACTGCTGGGTGCAATATTGACCCAGATTGTTTTATACGTGGTTTGTCATAAATTTTGTTGGTAGATGGTTTTACATATTTTATATCTTCTCAACTTACGCAAAGGCTAACTGGAAATACACACAATTACCAAAGATTTTATTTATTGAGTTTGCGTTGTTATCATTTAAAAATGCTGTGCTGAAAATTTTTTTATTATTTAAATTTACACTTGAAATTTTTTGCAGTAAGTATATTAAAAAAATATTATTATAAAAAATAATAATAATCAATTTTTAGTTTTAATAAATTTATAGAAATGTTAATTTTTATTATTTTTGAAGCAGGTTAATATACAAGTCGTTTAAAGGTAAGTAGTAAGGTAAAATAAAATTGAATACTTATTGGAAATCAGTAAAAAAAAGTAAAAAACATATTTTATTTCTTTTTATCAAACTTCTTACTACTTTCAAATATAATTGAAAAAATAAAGTTAATTGATAGTAAAATAGTTCAAAATATTTTGTGTTATTTTAAAAAAATCAAAAAAGATTTATTAAATTTTAAAATTAAAATACATGTTTACAAAAAATCGTGCAAAAATTGTAATAATTTAAATATTAATTATGTGCCTATTAATTAAAGCTTATAATTTTTATTAATATAAATCTTGAAAAAAAATTCTTTGTTATACTTTTTAGTTGTGACGTCCATTTTTGGTGGATGCGCTGGGTTTGTAACTGTAACATATTTTGTGTATTAATGGTATTTTTTTTCTACGAAATAAACACTAAAAAACTAATTAAAATAAAAAATTGATTACAAAATTAATTAGCTAACGTAACAGTAACAAACATACAGGGTGATTAGATTAACTGTTTGAGTTGATCAACTCAACTGTCGACAGTCTATTGTGTAAGCTTTTCTATTTTTCATGTATAATAATTAAAAAAAAAACATTAAAATAAAGGTCAAAACATCGATAAATTTAATTGTTTGGACGACTTCTGATATATTTAGATGTGCTTGAAAAAAGAACACATGTTTCAAAGAAATGAAAGTGATATTTTAATATGTACTTGTTAGAGAAAATGTGCAAATAGACAAAATAATCTTTACAGATTTAAATTAAAAAAAACGTATAAATACATTGTTAAGTTTTTTATAGAATGATACATTATATTTAGTGTAACAAATTTTAGAAAAATTTATGTCATTTTACTTTTAATTTCACAATAATTTTAAACTTATAATTAATTTATTTACCACAAATCTGATAAGATTCGCACAAGTCATTCAACTTTTACATAATAACCAGAAATTAGAATAAATGTGGTAACTTGTTTTGAATTTTTCACTTATCAAAACAAAAGCTCCAAATTGCTTCTGACAGCTCTGACCATAATCTGTATGTAACTTTAAGTGAATTTTTTATTCGACAAAATTCTGTAATAAATTAAGTTGTAACTTTAAACTAAATTAAAAGATTACTAATGGATACAAATTTATAAAACTAATTTACATACATAAATTATATGGAAAACAACTAGGTTTGCATAATTGAAAAAAACGTATGGATTTTTCTAGCTGTATGACATAAATACCGACTTAGCTTCATCATTTTGAATAGTGAAGCAATTATATTTATATCTCGTTGCAAACTATGAAATAACAGTGTTATTGTCTTGTTTATTATTAACAAACTAATTATTAAAATTGATTTTTATAAGAGAATCAATCACATATCATCACGTTTCTAATAATAAATGTAGTAAAATAAATCTCTAAAACATATATTTGCTTTAAATAGAAGTCCTTTCCTCTATTTTGCATTTGATTTTATGACGATTATAAGATATCAACAAGCAACAAGGAAATACACCGGTAGCTCTCTTATGCAAGTGATCCATTTAATTTCACGATTTTTTATACACACCAGGTGTGGAGAAACCTGATAGCACAAATTCTTTCAATATAATAAATTATAACAGTGATATGCGAAAATATTGCAAAAGTCCATAGGGATAGCACATGGGTAATTTTACCGTAAAAAATAAAGTGAACGGTGGTTACAATAGGACGCTATTATTTCGCATATTTCGCTCTATTTATAAAATGTGGGTATTGCAAAAGTATGTGGATAGTAAAACTTATCAATAAGTAAATTAAAATTGTACTCGTGACAATAATTACGTTACACAATGGTGATTTACTTTGCTGGAATTTAAATTCAGTCATATTTATTGCAAAATTTTCTTTTTGTTAAAATATGTTAAAATAATGATGTGAAAAAAGATTGTTTACTTTGATGCAACTCGTGATTAGCATAAGCAATAAACTGAATTTGCATTTTGTTAATTAGCTGATCTAAACAATAAAGGATTAGACTTATCTTTATTGTTTTGGTTGTAGTAACAACAAAGATGACTAATGCTGATTAAAGTCTAATTTACTGTAAATTTGTAAATTATCAATAAAACACCATAAATTTTGTAAGTGACGAGATTAAGAATATTTTGATATATACAATAGCTAAATTTTGTTAGTAAATTTTAACGTGCAATTACTGTCAAACTTATCTTTTACAGCTAACTACTTCATTCTTTATTAACGTAATCAGTGTGAGTATATGTTATGACGTGTTTGACATTGTAGATTTAATTAATTGCATTTGTGATTTTAAAACGAAGTATATGCTCTTGACAATCATTATTAAATTGAAATTTATCCATTTCTGTGTTTTGTTTACATATTATAAAATTTGGGCTTAGCTCATTATAACTGGGTATTATTAATACAAAGCAGACAAGAATTACAAAACTTATGACAAGACTACTTGTTTGATGTTTACGAAGACTTTTATAACTTCTTGAATTCAGCGGGAAAAAATGTTTTCATAATATTTAAACGTACTAACTTGTGCTAATACTGTATTGTTTACATTACAAAATAATAAAAAAGTTTATTTAATTTATTTCTCACAGAAACAAAGCATTTATTATAAAAATTTTACTCCTAATAAATCATGTAAATAATACGTATGATGTAGAACTTAAAAGTGACTTTATTTAAGCCAATATTTGTTCAAATACAATAGAGTTAAATTTTATTGATTTTTTCAATTTATTTTGAAGTTGAAACATAAAATTAAGATCGTCTTGATGACAATTATCGTTTTGATTAAAAAAAATTAAAAAATTTTTTTAAGGTTAATCTGAAACTTATTGACAAAAGAGCTAAAGGGTCCACTAAATACAAGAAAAAAATATAAATAGTGAAAGCTTTTTATTAATAATATTTAAATTATTAATTTTTAAAATATTAACTGGTGTCATAAGTGTTTCATTTACATAATCTAATCTAGAACCAGAAGCCGATATTCAGCTATCATTATCATCATCACCATCAGAATTGGGAACCGAGAAAGTCCAGGAAGAGCTCCTAGCCCCCCTGAAAAAATTAATTATTACATAGGTTATTGTTATGACTTTCACGTATTTTATTGATCTGCACGTCTTCGCGATAATTTAGACGTGATATGTTTTGCAGTAGTTTCCAGTCACTTTTTAATTTTTCTTATTTCATACACATAACAAACAAAATCTATTTCGTCATATTTTCCAACAATTAAATGGGTTAGTCAACATCTCATGACTAAATCAGACCGAAAAATTCTTCCTGACAAGAGACAACAATATAATAAATATGTATCTACTTATTATGAAACAGATTTAATAATACCTAATCTCACAAATGTAAGATGTTGCATTGTCCTTTCACTGAAAAGCCGCAGTTCATTATGTGCAAAATTTGCACGATTAAATAAAGCAGCCATTCACCGGACATATAACAAAAATATTTTTTTGAGACACAATTTTCATGTTTGTGACCTGCAAACGCTATGAAAATTCAACTAAATCGGGATAATTGCTGAAACTAATCAAGTCTAATTGCGCCTTAAAGGTTAGTTTAATCTTGAGGGAACAGAGTAGTGTCATCATAATTAATATTTTCTTGCAATATCGGACCTCCGCCTTAAAACTACATCATAAATTTTCCGATTTTTTCTATTCTTCATCCAATATAGCTCCTATGGAGCAATCTATTGCAACTCTGACCACTCCATTAAAGATTCACTACAGTAATGTAAGATCAGCTCGGGTCATTGCCGGAGTAGACAAGGTTAAAACACTTTCACTATAAGGTGTTTATACTGTTTCCGAATCCTAGTTAAAATAATAATCATGTGAAACAAGGTAGTATTAGCCATTATCAAATAGCTATACGTAATTGTCGACAAGTTAAGGATGAACCATTAAACAGGGTAATGAGACTGATGTATTTTTTCTTGTGACAGTCTAAAACCAAACAAAGAAACGTTAAACAATTTCATGTGTCGTAATTTTTAAGAAGAGGTCGCATACAAGTTTCATAATATTAATCAGTGCGACTTGATCGTAATTGTTTTCACGTTCTAACTGAAATTAAAAAATTGCGTGTCATCCGAGCAATGGGTGAATTTAAATCGTATTGTTCTTGTTATTTTTACAAGTTAGGGTATTAATAATTATAATTGGACAACAATGGCAAGGGACACCTGACAAGATTTCACTAGCATCTCTTTGTGTTTTATTAAAAATATATATCGTAGCGAGAAGAAATTTTTTTTGAATTTATGCACAATTTTTAAAAGTTTAAGGCTAGAGATGTCTGGGTAAGCAAATACGGGAATTTCTACGCATTGCATAAATATGCGTATATTTTCAGCATTTTATGTTAGAACAAAACCTTGGATTTCGCGATTTCTTCGTAATAAGCATCAAGGATGTCCTTTTAAAATAAGCAGGATAATGTATGATTTATGGTTAAATGTTAAATATGTAGTTCCGGTTGTTATGATTTTTGCACATAACTTGAGCTTGGATTTAATCATTTGGTTCTAAATGAAGGGAAGGTATAAAGTATTTTCACTAAATGTACTTCTTATTTTAAAGCCAAATAAGGTGAGCTGCAATTAAATCTTGTATTTAATGGGCAGTGGTCACTTTGATTAAATGTGTTTCTCTTGTTCATAAAAAGATGATTTTTGTACTGTCTCATGATGTTTGCTGTTTATTATAGAGAGAATTGATCGATTATTAGAAATAAACAAACAATTTTTACTATACCTAATAATCAAAACACTAAATAATTTTTTTTTTATTTCCAGTGACACAAAATTTCAATTTAATAAAAATACCTGCGAGAAAGAACATGAAGTTATTCTTGTCGTTTAAATTTATGTTCTTTCTTAATTAATTATAATAAAATTTGAAATTTAAGTAGCGAGAATAATTAATAAACATCAGTGTTAATAGCTCTAAAATATAAAATGTTACGTAAATGTTTGGAAAATGGTTTAACAAATTACAAAGAGATACAAAAAGTTCAAAAAGTCTTATTTTCTATTCTATAGTTAATTAAATAGCAATAAAAATTAAAAATATAAAGAAATATTGAATTGAGAAAAGTCATAATTTTCTTTTAATGATCATATGACAGTAACAAATTGTAAAAAAGTTATAAATTCTAGTTAGATTTTCTTTGCTTTAATCAAAATTGTATGCTTGTACTTTTATTGCTTTTTGGATGTTTTTTTATTCAATTACGGCCACATTTGTTAACTAAAAAAAAATAAACCGTGGAAAATTTTGAACATATTAGAAGTAGGAGTTATGAGGCAATCATTATTGGAAATATTTTCAACATTTCAAAGCATCGCAGTTCAAGGAGAAAAATTATATTATCACATTGTTATCTATCAATATCAATTATTATTCAACACTTACTGCAACATTTAAAATGATTTCAAGTCAAGGCCTACTTATGTCAATCATTTACCATCAATTTTTCTTGTAATAATAATGAAATTTTGACTAGTGCACGCTGAAGGAATATTACACTTACTATAATTAATCAAAATCAAATGATTGATGTTGAGCAAACTTAGAACCATCTACCAATCTTGTAAATTTTTATTAAATTTTGAATAGGTATATTGAGTAGGTACGTACGTGTATATAAATAATAAAGAAAAAATTGTTTATTTATGTCACACACACACAAATTGGGAAAGTTTTTCAACAAAATTGAAACAGTTACTCTACTTTCCAGTGTTTTTGTTATGTAAAAATGATAAACAACTTATGTATTTTATTTCTTTTAACATATTTATTATGCATTGAGGAACAAAAGTATACTTAATGCAAATTGCATATTCAAACTAAGGTTGCATTGTGAATCTTTGACTTTCACCTTGAAGAGTTTAAGCACATCTAAAGAAATAGAAATTGATTATTTAGTAATAAAAAATACAACACTATTTTTTAAGCAAATAGTAAAAATTGTAATAAAACGAATAGTTTATCCTATTCAATTATTTTTATTTTAAAAATTGTAGTTTTTATGCGCAACAAAATATTTTGAGTTATGATCCGGAGGGTTGGGCTAGATTTATGACCGCCGCCGATCTATTGCATCAATCTAAACGCGAACACATTTTTCAGTTCTTTGCGCCTTGCGGTGAATAAAATATAATTTGGCCACACCACAGTTACCACATTCGCAAAACATCCCATTTTTTTATTTCGAAACCGCAATATTCGTTACGCATAATATAATTTGTGGAAGATTTTATCAGACATAATAATAAAACTACACTTTATCCATACAATTAAATCTGACTTTTATTCAACAGAAAGAGATTAAGTTGTCGAGATCTTATCCTCCCAATAATTTTAATGTAAATAGCACCAATACATGCAAAATTCTGCACTTGTCGGTAAATTAAAAATAATGACTTCAATTACGCAACGAATCATTGACCACCTTTATTTCATCTTCGTGGCCGAGATACAACGATTTCATAACAATTTTACTTTTGTTTATGTTGGATGAAATCCGCCTCACCTTCAAATTCCTATTACAAAAAACGGCTTTTCCAATAATTTGAGATGCAAGAGCGTAATTAATTTAAAAATGGTTGGTCATCTCGAGTGCCAACCTCGCGATAAATCACGAACAGCTCGGACCTTGTCTGATACTTTCAGTTTTAATTTGTTCAAGTAAACGCCGAAAACGGAAACTGTTGTTATTAACTGCAAGTGATGACACCCAAACCTTGAAGAATACTCACTGAGATAAACGCAACGAAGGCTTTGAATTATTCACGATAATTTCCTGCAGGGAATCACTCAATTCTTTTTCAGTGGCTGACATTTTGCTACACCCTCGGTGACCTGAGCTCGAATCCAATTCGCGCGGATTATACAATCTTAATTAACCCGTGATTTACGTATTTAATGGCCCCATGTTATGTGGATCAACCGGCATTTACAAAAACGAAAGTGCGGTAAACTAACGATGGGTAAAGTAACCTAAATAATTAAAATAGCGATTAACAACAGACCGGCATTTTTCTTCTCTATTCAAGAAGCATTATAGGTCTTCCATGGTTCAACGAACACAATTTTCGTTTCGTTTCTTACGCAATCATCTGGTCAATGAAAGGATGCTATTCACGCGATATTTTGGTTTTATTGTATTACACCCAAATTTACTTTCTATGAAATAAAAGGACAGGAAGAGTTTTGGCTAATTTCTTTATTTTTATTTCCTGTGAGAGGTTATCTTTGCCAAGGCACGGCAACTAATAGGATTCCTTCTCTAGAAAAACAGCAAAGTGCTCGTCGTGGTTGTATAAACTGAGGTAATTGGTAACTTCTTGTGGTGGACATGCTGCGTTGGGTCCCGGCTTGTATTTCTTGTTTTGAAGCTATTATTTCGATGGCATTGGGGCTTACGGTGCATTTAACGTCTTCAGGTTTGAAGCCCCGAGTGTCCACGATGAGCTAAACATTGTTTGAAAGTTTAAATTTTATTTTATTATTTTGCCAAAAAGGAAACTTACCTACCTCAAAGCGGTCGTCATTAAAAAAGACACTGTCCATTTCTTTGCCAAGAATTGGTTTACCAGCTACCAACCAACTGTGAGCTAAATAAAATATTTAATTTCTATTTTCAGTTAATATTTTACTATAGAGAACCTCTATCTTTGACGCTTCGGAATTGAGGGGCTTGGAGAGCAGACGATTTTATTCTAGTTACTGGAACGACAAGACTTTCGTCTTTATTTTCAACGGACATTATCTTTTACTATAGTTTATCACATTTCTTTGAAACTTAACACTAAAAATTTTGATTAGATTTTTTCAAGTGACATTGACAGTTTTTACAAAATCATAGTTTACTAGAGTGACTACTAATTGCGAGAGAAATTGCAAATCTTGATAATTGACGTAACAGAATTACATTTTTCTTTATCAATAATAATATATATATTGTATAATTTAAAAAAAGTTTGGGCGGGAATTTATAAATTTCTGGCGGCAAAATCTTTTTTTTTCTAGTGGAAATTAGCCTATTCGCTGATTAGGTTGGCAGCAATAAAACCACTGTCGCTTATCGCCATTAAATGCAAGATTTCAATTTTTTCATCTACCATTCCTAAATGTGTTAAATTATCTAACGTTAAGCATTGATATTGCACATTTTTCACTACGAAAATCATGAATTTTGAATCTCCAAACCCAGGTGAATATCGATTTTCGTATTTGACATTTTAGAAATTTGTAAACATAACCTTACTTCTTTTTAAATGTCGCTGTGCTTTTAAATGGAATAGTTTGTCTTTTTGGTTGTAACGTTGTGGTTATTTTAGATTTTACGAAAGATGTGACCATGGATTCAACTCGTAATGGACTACAAAATAAATTCAACGGTTTTTATTCAAGGTCGAGACCACAGTTTCAAGATTGCAGTCCTTTGTTGCGCACTGCGTACTCTCATAACCCTCAAAGAAGGAGTAACTCACAGAACAGCAGTAATAACCAATATAATAAACCTGTATACAATAGATTAGGACAGTGCAATAATTCTTACAAAAGCAGTAGCATAAGTAAGGATGCACAAAAGGATGATAATAGTAACTCTAAAAGGATGTATAATAGGAAGAGACCAAGCGACGGCGGGGTGGGTTCTAGTGGTTCAAAACGTAAATGGAACAAGAGAACTCCATATTACCAAAACTCTACCAATAACCAACATAATTTAGCCCAAAGTAGGATGGACAGGATTAGGAATAATAGTGTACAAGAGGACGAAATTGTTATTCACAATGAGGTTTCTGGAACAACGTCAAACTTTAATGACACTCAAGATATTGACGCCACTGATATTACTGTTGAAGTTATCAATTCAGCAGCCCAAGTTAGGGATGAAGAAGATCAAATTCAAAAATTTAAGATGATTTTGGATCCAAAGACACAAGCGGCGATTAAAACGATTCAACAAAAGAGAAAAGACAAACAAGTCATTTTTCCATTTCCTGTTACACCAAATGTGACAGGCATTACTCTCCATGAAAGGTTCACTACCTTGTAAGCACTTCAGTTTTCTGATATTGTAAATTTTAAAGAATGTTTTGCTATTTTTTGGTTGTTTTTTTAAAGTTTGTCATATTGTTTCTAATAGCCGCATTTTTATCATCTTGCATCTTCTGTTAAAAAAAAACGTAATCTCAACTGTGTATTGCTTATGAAATTTAACATTTAATTCGAGGAGTTACTTTTATTTTTGGCTGTTTTTGTTTAAGCGGTTTCATACCTAATAAACAGTTACTTTCATTAGAATATAATTTATTTTTATTACTTGTTAGGTATTCACATTTGTTCCGGTATTTTTTTAAAGAAATATAAACTTAAAGGAAGATATTTGTTTGAATTGAGTGGTTGTTAGTTTAGTGTAACCTCAACAATTGTCCGGATCCTTGGATAAAGACATTTGATAAATCTTGGGCGATAGTTTTGTCAATATTTAAAATCAATTACTTACCACATGTTGAGCAAAACTGAAAAGTGATTACTAATTTTTATTGCATATTAATAGGTCAGTTGGAATAAAATAACCGTAAGATAGGCAATTCGTGATGCAACGTATTATAAAGTGTTGCATTCTTGTTTATTTAAAAATAAAAATTATTTTGGATTACAGTTTTACGGCTTATTGTTATTATATTTACATGACTTGTTTTAAGACATAAAAACATTAAAAAATTATTTGAACGACTTTTTTGTGTGTAATTTTAAAAAAACAGGAATATTCTATAATAAAAACTAACTACCTATTCTACCAATCTTACATAATGTTATAGACTTTTTTGTATTATGTAACTGTAAGATTTATTTATGGAAATGAAATGTACCTATGTATCTTTAAGTGTATTTCATTTTTTGAAATAATGAATAAGTGCCTATATTTTTATAATTTAGGTGTTATTTTACCAATAAAAAAGCCCAGTTGGAGACAGTTTACTAATTTCATGTATAAATTTAATTTTTAACTTTAATGATTTAACATTTTTTGTATTTTGTTTATTTAATTTCAGCAAAAAAATTGTTATAAATTTTAAGTAAAGTATTATAACTAGTCACAACGTCACTACAAGCAGGTGTAATTTGTTAATATGTCACCAAAATTATTTTTATGGAAAATATTTTTTTTAAAAATTGAGAACAATTGTCAAATACTTTGGTAAATATTTAACCGTTTAATCATTTCGTAGACATTTGTGAGGTAGAAAATACCAAAACTATTTGTGCAATTTGTTAAATATAGGTAGGTCAACATTTTAAATTATTGTGTACATCACTCGATCAATATAAGACTTATTTTCGATTGGACAATAACCAATAATAACGAAGTCTTTGTTCTGCTAGTCGGGAAGCATGTACCTTAAAAGATTTATGGTCTTGACCATTAAAAAATAATTTTTGTGAAAAATTTAGGAAAAAAAATTGCGGATAAATATTATATTGATATTCTCGTTTTTTTTTTCTGGATATAGGAAGTTTTTTTTTCAAAATATTTCTTGATGAGTGCAGGCGTATGACTTTCAGTTAAAGTTTTGAAATTTCAAATGAGTAATATGCGATAGAGAAATTGTTAAAAGAGATAACATTTTCACTTATTGTTTGTTTTACAAAAAATAAACTATTATAACCAGTTTTCGCAATTACATGGGTAACTAAATAATGTTAAAACTAAACCATGAAAAAGTTGAAATATTTTCTAAGGGAGAAAATAAACGAAAGACTTGTAATACATATCATAAAATAAAATACACTATTTTTTTAGTGTTAAGACTAAATTTAGTAATTTAACTTTTCATACAGTAGATAAAATATGAAAACAATAAGATTATACTTAATTTAATGCCATCTTTATTATTAAAATACACACAGAGCTTTTAGGCTTTATCTCCATACTTATCATCGGTTAACAAATCCTCCTAATCCCGCTAAAGCTCTTTTGCGTCCCGGATAATTCTAAAATACAGTCTAGGAATACGAATTTTCATTCATAGATTTCTGTTCCGGGCTTGCGCGCACCGCTACCGCGTGCATGGAGTGTCGTTGTTTCGCCAGTTTAAAATTCCTCTTGAGGATAAGTGTAGTATGGCGATACAGTGATAACATTATCGTTTATTGGTTCACTTCTGCACATGGTACTGATCGTACAGTGCCAGAGTAGTTAGAAAACACTGTGCCGCCAAAAGCGTCGCTCCGGTTCTGTTGCCATACGAAAACACGTTGAATATAGGATTATTATCGATTTTGGAACAACACAGTGGTAAGTTTTGGGGGTTGACTCTTCCGAAGGAAAGGAGACAATTTTTGCGAAATATTTAACTTGAGTCATGAGCAGACACGTTCAGAACGCCGGATTTGTTATTGACATTGACTTAAATTGTTTTATTTGAATAAGTGATTGTTTAATTCAATTATTGTAATTTATGTCTGCGATGTTTTGTTTATATTGCGCAACTGTGGCCATCACATAGACATTATTCTTATTTTACACCTGTTGACATCTTGTTAATAAGGCTCAATTTTAATTGACAAATTATGAGGAAGACGATGATGTTATTAAAATTGATAAGTTTCACATGATTTTGTTGAATTTCTTCATACAATTATTTTTTACCACATGTGTAAACTCTAAACATTATTTACAATTAAATTAACGTCGTCAGAAATGTATGCCAATAAATGTTTGAGCAAAACAATTAGTTGGTATGAAAAATTGTTGAAGTTTTATTATTTTTCAGAAGAAAAGTTTTGCTCTACACACTCAGGAACTGGAAATTTTTATGCATTTTTTCGTTAGTTCGTTATCTTTTTAATATTTATTTATACAAATTGTTTAGAGTTACATTGATAAATTTAATTAAAAATTATATATTTTTTGGAATTTACCCACGAATTTTACATGAAAACGACAAATTGTTGTTATAATAATTATTGTAATCTACAGTTATCGTCACACTTTATGTGATAAAAGCAAAATGTATTGTATTCACTTCTAGGTACTTGACATAATATTTGCGGCACTAATAAATACTACCAACTGTATTTTTTTAATTAAGATTTTCTCACATTTTCTATTGACCAAGATTTCCATTTGCTCAATGGTGCAACGCAAATAACTAAAGCAAATACCTTGACAAAGTTACAGACCTTACATTGTACGAATTTTTATTTGACCTTAAAAGTTCATGACATTTGTGTTTTTTTTATTTTTAGTGATATGAAATACATAAGGTTATTAGAAGAGAATTTGTTGTTGTTTTTTCTTAAATTCAAATTCGTGAAACTGAAAACTAAGTACTTTCATAAACAAAAAATAGTCAAAAACCCAAAAACGAAAGGCACAACAAAAGAAAAAAGAAAAAATTAACTAAAACGTTAGACTAAATACAATACCTACTTGAAGAACAAAGTTAGAGTGACATATTATCTTTATCTTGGCACAAAAGATTATTGAAAGATAAAATTTCATAACACTTTTTAAAAATTTAAAAACAGGAAGTGTTTTCCATTAGTTTCTTTTTCTTTATAATGCAATTTCCTTTATAGCATTTGCTGTTTTAGATAGATTTCATTATGTCTTCTAATTACAATTTCTAACTGTAAACTGCACAAAGGATTGTAACCTTAGAAATACAGATCTTGCAGTTTCACCGTCATTTTAGTTCACGATGCAGCCTGACCTCGAAAAGCACGGAGCTTTGCCTGAAATCGAAAAACTGAAAGTCTATCCAATCAGATGGTTTATTTTGGCGATATTCGTTCTTTATTCGACATCAAATGCGATGCAATGGATTCAATACTCCATTATAGCCGATGTAATAGTAAAATATTACGGAGTTTCAACGACGTGGGTTGACTGGACTTCCATGCTTTATATGATTTTATACATCCCGTTTATATTTCCTGGAAGTTACCTCTTGGATAAATTGGTGAGTATAACGAATTGTTTCATTAAGACCTCGGCCTTGATCTACTCGACCAATTTGCATTCAGCTGACTTATTTTAAATTAAAATAAACCTGTTACTGATACATATGACTTATTACTTTGTTTTTATTTTTTTTTAACTGATGAGTGGGATTAGTAAAATCCTCCTTGATGATTCCAAAGTTCAACAAATGTTTAATCTTTGTTTATATTTATTTTACTGTGTCTGGGTGCAAAAACTGTTACATTTTACCCATTATAACATGCTTTATCGCTGATGAAATTCTCTATGTCTGATATGGATTACTACCAATTTCTGCAACAACTATTGATAATAAAGGAACAAATATTAGTTTTAATTAAAAAGATATTAAGTCACTGCTTGCGTCATTAAATGACTTTGATTAGATTTTTCACGATTAAGACGAGTGATTTATATCTAGTTTTGCAGTTTTTACAATTGAATTTTATTGAAATTTTTAGGGATTAAGAGTCGCAATTCTTATCGGAATGGTGGGCACTTGTGCTGGGGCTTGGATAAAGGTCGCCTCTGTCTCACCTGACCGTTTCTGGGTTGGCTTTTTGGGTCAGGGCATCGTGGCCTTATCTCAAGTTTTTGTATTATCAGTACCTGCAAGATTAGCCGCTGTCTGGTTTGGCCCAACGCAAGTTTCATCAGCTTGCAGCATCGGTGTTTTCGGAAATCAGGTAATTACAAGGCAATTAATATTTATACCGTGCCTTGTTGGATAAATTTATGTTGGGTATTAGATGAGGACATCCGCAAGGGCCCGCGACAGACATCATTATGTTATTGTTTTAAACAGACACTATTTTCTACTTACTAAGTTAATTTTTTTATTGATAATGTGGATCAATTGGAGTAGTTATTTTTTACAGTTAGGAGTTGCGTTGGGCTTTCTTATACCACCGATGATTGTTAGTGGAGGATCTGAGGAGCAAATCACTCATGACTTGTACATGCTGTTTATCGCTGTTGGGATTTATACTTCGGTTTTATTAATTTTGATAATAATTTGTAAGTTTTGTTGAAATATTTTTCTCAAATAAATGGCAAATTTTAGTTTTTAAAAGCGGACCTCCAACACCACCTTCTTATGCCCAAGCTCAAGAACTTAAAAACGAAGAAAGTGGTAATTTTGTTCAATCACTCAGGAGTTTAGTCTCAAATCGCTCATACATGCTTTTGTTAATTTCATACGGCATTAACACTGGAATTTTCTACGCTATTTCAACCCTTCTTAACCAAATAATCCTCTTGTATTATCCGGTTTGTTTTAATTTTTATATTTTGTTTTGAATTTTATAGTTCTGTTTTTAGAACAGTGGAGAAGATGCCGGAAGGATCGGCTTAGTAATTGTCGTTGCCGGAATGCTTGGATCGGTTGTTTGTGGTGTTGTTTTGGACCGATTCCACAAGTTTAAGTAAACAACCATTTACTATTTTTACAAAAAATTGATAAAACAATTTTAGAGAAACCACTCTTGCCGTTTATGCGTTGTCTCTGGTAGGCATGGTTGTGTACACTTTTACCCTCAATGAAGGAATCGGTGTTGTTTACTTCACATCGGCTCTGCTAGGGTAAAAACGGGATGATGATAACTTTCCTCCCTACTCCACTTTTTTAGGTTTTTTATGACTGGCTTACTGCCTGTTGGTTTCGAATTTGCAGCCGAGTTGACGTATCCAGAACCGGAGGGTACCTCAGCAGGACTATTAAATGCCTCCTGTCAAGTTTTTGGTATTGCTTTCACGAGCATTTATTCAGTAATTTTCAATAACTTGAACGATATTTGGGCAAATTCAATAATGTCTGTAATGTTACTCATTGGTACAATAATGACAGCTTTAATAAAATCGGACCTGCGACGACAGGCCGCTCAGAATAAATAATTTTTTAATAAGGCCAACACCAAAAGTAAAAATATCTCATGATTTTACAGACAATATGTGATAAAAATAGTAAGTTATATACTTCCATAGGCTTTAGTTTCTAGTGAAAACAAGAGTTTAGTTTTAAGGATTTTTATACAAGAAAATTACAACACGAGAGACAATAAGTATTTTGCTCTAAGATTACTATTTACTACCTACTTACCTACTTTTTATTATTAAACCACTTAATTACGTGGAAATGATTTTTACAAAAACATTTTTATGTTGTATTATTTAGATTTTTTTCAAGTTTTAAACACGTGTTAACTATTAGCTTTTCTTGTACCATCTTATAGTGTAGTTTTAACGTTTCAAGTATTTTAATGAAATCACATATTTCACAATACAAACATAAATATTTATCACAACGACTGTGAATAGACAATATTTATCAAATAATTTACGCACTAATCGTGCATTTATTTTATAAAAAAATCATATTGCCTAAATAAATGGGTACATATTTACTTTTTGAAATAAATTTTTAAAGAATGATAAAAATATGAAATCAATAATAAAAAAAATGAATATGATTTTGAAAAATTGAAAAGTTTTACAAATGTAAGTCGATAGAAATCTTTGCAAAAACACAATCAAGAATGTATTTTTTTCTTTATATTTTATTAGTTATTAAATGTAAATAAAAACAAATTGAAATTTTAAGGCGTAGATCATTGTTGATGTTTACGTAAAATTATTTACGTAAAAAAAATAATAATTACGAAGGTTTATCTTATTAATTAATTGATTTTTTTTTAATAAATGTTCTAGTCTTTAGATATAAATGTTTTAGTGGTTTCAGTGTTGCGTGAATAGTGGCATTTAAAAGATTACCAAAAGTATTTTTAACTATAATATTGAGTTAGGCTACATTTTTACCGTGTTCAGTTGATTTGAAATTAAAATGTTATGATAATGGTGCTGCATGGTAAACTTTAGTGATATTGAAGTAGCTTTATAGTTATTAGGAAAAATATTTTTTGTGATTATCAGAGAAATATGTATAAACATGTAAATTGTGCTGTTGTAGATATAGATGATATTTTTGGAAACATATTGTTGAATGTATTTAAAATAGCTGCGCACTTGTTAACATTCACAATATCGTAGTGTATTGCTGGTTGCCTAGTAGTTTCACATAAAATTCTAAAAATGTTTTGTAATTTCGCAAAACAGAGTGGTCGCTCATTTGGATTTAATCCAGGTACAAACAAATTTTAAGAAAACGCTTTAAATGTGATACTTTTTTGCTTGAGATTTATCTTGTAGTTGATGTTAATGTTGCTGTTAAAAAAAACAGAGAGTCAGCGAAAGTTTTAATTTAAAATTTTAAATCAAACCTTATTTAAACTGTACTCAAATTGGAAGATCTTGACAATAAAGTACACTTATATGGTAATGTATGTTTGAAATAAACGCTTTTGGAAACGAATCTGCGTTTTATTGGGGCCTAGTGACATCATTTCCCTTTTATAAGATTTTCCGATTTTGTAAACAACGCGAAGTATTTTGCAGAATAAACAGTTTTGAATCGCATAAATTTCTTCTTACGTTGCGTTCTACAACAATAATTCTTACGTTGTTTTAAAAAAGCGCGTATTTATCGCGTTCTATTTTCCCGTTTCCTGCTGCGAAACAGTTGAACATAGCGTAAACTATCAAATATACTATTATTAAATTTTACAACAATCCACTGGAAAAATAACAGTACAAATTAACAATTCAGTTAATTTTATAATTAGCTTCGCATTGGAATTGGTAATAAAAGAAAAGTGAAAAAGTGAAACTTCACTAAAAATACAAATCTTGAGCAAATTTGCAAATAGCCCCCCTGTTCAATAAAATACATAAACATGCAGTATAGCTTATCTACTATTAATACCAAGCCCCCTCTCCTGGCCGCGAAATGCAGCGACTGAGCACGAACCCATCTTATACACTTTATTTCAAATTCTACAATATTCATTTAAACTCTTGCGAGGTCGAAAAGTAAATAATTCTTAGTGGTAGTGACTCGAAGGTGAAAATTTGCTTAAAAAAATAAAAAATCCGTAGTGTGAGATGGCCTCTTTGATCACTGTGCGTCTCAGCAAGGGCGACTCCCCCAGCTTGGGCTTCCGGCTACAGGGAGGAAAAGATTTTGGCACACCATTGGTGATTCAAAAGGTAACCCTCAGCAATCCCATTTGCGATCGCAAATCTTACATAAACGCATAAAATTAGATTTTGTATTTTTAGAATTTTAGAACAGCGTTGAGCGAATATTTTTCGCACATTTGTTCAAGGTATTGTGTTCTAAAAAATGCAAGAGTATTAGTATTTCCGTGTTGTTTTCTTGAGATAAGTATCAATGGGCACCAAATTATTCCCAACACACTCTAGTGACCCAAATGCATACCGTGTGTTGGTCGAGCGAGACGCTACCATTATTAACGTCTAATCTGAAAAATGAAGAAATTTCTCCTAATTTTTCTTAAGAACTGAACCCGTATCACTTTCTCCAAATTTTGTTTCCTCCGACGTAAAATAATACTATATATTTTTAGTACGTGTATTATGACTGCGACATTCATTTTATGACCACTGAAATTATAATAAATCAAAAGAAAAGACAGAATGTATATTAAAATAAATTATAGGTTGATTCTTTTGTGAAAGACTTCTCTTTTCTCACCAAAAATTTTCTTAACAAGTTAAATTTTATTCAAAATAACGCCAATGATGCTGGCAGAATATCAAATTACATAAATCAGAAAATTCGATGTATTTATGAAGCCCGTCTCGACTACGGCATTTCCATTCACACCTGACATGTAATTAATTAAAACACTTCGTTTTAATTGAATTTGGACTGAAACTAATTGCACGTATCATTGCTTCTACTACTTCATTTGCTGTTTTATAAACCGAACTAATTCTGTTTGTAGAGTACTATTTTTGAAATTCTCTCAATGCTAACGGTCATAAATCACTCTATAATGTAATTTTCGATTTCAACTAGGTAGCTTTATTCATACAGTAGCAAGCTGATATAGCCTCAGGTCCAAAAAATTTATGTTGTGTTTGAAAATAAATAAAAAAAAACGATATTTTGAGTTATTACCAACTATCTTTGTGTTTTAAATATGCAGTGATAAAGAAGTCAAGGTTGCATTTAATTACCTACTTGATACGAATCTATTTTTTTTTAGTAAATTAACAGTATCGGTGAGTGTAAACAAATTTATGAAGTAAATTTATCTTATCTAGAGGGTGATTTTCAACTAAGAAACATTAAATAATTTATTTCTTTATAATTATTTTTAATTCTGACACATTTATCACTGATCAGTTAATCTTCTAAATGCAATTTACTTTATCTTCACCTAAAAAATTTTGGAATGATTAAGATTCAGAAATAAAATTACTGATCAATAAATAGTATATATTCTGACTTATTGAATCTTTAGAAGTCTAGAATATACCTACACAAATAAATTGTCATATTTTTCGGTTTAAAATATAGAGAAAATAAGTTATTAAATTTTTGTATAGTGTATTCTAATACTACCTGTTTAGTCTTTTCAGTCATTCCAATTTATTTTGTTTATTATTTCAACGAAGGCTTTCTTCCGCTCAAAAAAATTATTAACCAAATTGAATGTTAGAGATGTTAGTCACGAATCCTCTTAATGAGTGCATAATAATTCCCAATTAATCTGTATGAATGATAACATTGTTTTCAGTTGAAGGTTCTCAGTTTAAATATTTTTGCAATATTTTAAATCAATTTATATTTCAATAAATACAATGGGATATTTATAAGTGTGCGTGTTTTTTCAATTTTTCAACATGTTCCGAATAAACCTAATTAAAAATAACCGCAAGAACTTGGTTTACTTTATTTTTGCACACATAAACTTCGTTTGGAAAACACAGGAAGATTCTTCTTTGATTTCAATCTTTGAGTTTTCTATTGCGCAACCTTTAACTTCAATTCTTCATATAAACTGTTGATTGAGCCGTGACAAGTGTCTCGTAATTGTGAAATTATTATTATTAATTGTTTCTGATGCAATAATCAATCCAATAAGGTCCAATGTAAATGAATGCACATTGAGATTAACATTAATTGCTCTTGAAACAGCAATTTTATTTTCTTCGGGCTAAAGATAAGTCAGAAATAGCGTCTTATGTAACAGGAAATGGAGCCAAAGAATATATGATTTTTGTAGCAAATTGATGAAGGGTAATTAATAGACAAACTGCAGGATTTATTATAGCATTGTTCTCAAACGCACGTGTGAGAACTTGGTCTATACCTGGCGGATTTATTGGCACACATCGTTCTATTTCAGGAATGTTCCGTTAAATTCTGAATTCGGTCACGCTAAAATCTATTAATAAAATATTTGGCAAATTCGAATTTGAAAATGTTGCTTGCGGCTTGTCCGCTCGTTGCACTCTAGAGAATATCCTTGGCAGATGTTGCTGGAATTGTTAATAACCACATAAATAGTCCAGTATTCCGGTTGTTCAACCACCTGCAGCTGTTTAAATACCCAAGATACCTGCAAGATTCAGCCGTGTAGATATTATGCCCCTCAACATCCTATCTAGCCCATAAATAACGCTGAAACAATTAGTTGCCATTTTTTTGTCGCAGTCATCTCATGTCGACGACTTGCACGAAGAATGGACGGACGTTCTTTCAATTATCAACAGGTTATATTGCTGTTTTTCTCAGTAAATCGCTTCATAGGTAGCAGGAGAGAGAGATGATTGCAAAGCAAAAAATCCAAAATGGATTTGTAATGACTAACAAGTTTCAACAGATTTGGAAGGCAGGCACCCAAATGTGGGTATATAGGTTAGTGGAAAAAAGGATGCTGAATAAACAATTTTGCAGCTGGTAAAATGATAATAATTCTTAAACAGCGAAAAAAAAATCGTATTTTAATGTATACGTCAATATATTTAATCTTAGATATATGTATTTATATCAACAAATAAGATATTGTTTATTTTTCGGTAATAAAGATTTACGACATCAAAAAATTGGACTCTAGGCGAATTACGCTTTTTTTTTATCAGTAAAACAGATATTTCAAATTTTTCTTAAAAATATGAAGGAAACCTCTTTTGTTTGAACTTTAAAACACAAAAAACACTAAAAAAACTGTTTTTTTAGTTAAAATTTGAAAACTCAAAACTCAAAATACATTTCTACGCTCATAGTGAAATTTATTTATTTTATAAAAAGAAATAAACGCTAGAAGTTCCATAAAAGTAGCTTTTTTTGGGTATAAGTTTACTTAGACCTATCAATAAAAAACATACATATTTTATTATTTAAAGTTCATTTTTACTGTTATTATAAAACCGAGCTTTTTTGTTATTAAACAGTTTTAAAAAATAAAAATTGAAAGGTTTGGTAATTTTTAGACTGTGTTTTTTGCAATTTACAAATTTACCTGCAATTCATGTAGCAACTACCCATAATTACACTAAATGACATTAGAAGTGGAATAATAATTGTATTTTTGTTTTTTGTTTTTAAAAAACAGTAAAATCGTTATGAAGTTACGATATTTCTGACTAAAGGATGCAATTAATAACGTATAGGTGCACAATTTAACAGTGCTTTATTGCTGATTTCGTTGAGTCAAAATTAACAGTCAGTTTTTCACATTTTAATCAAAAACTGTGCGTTTAATAATTATTTTGCACGTGATAAAAAAAAATTATACATCAAACTTTCCATTCAATTATGCTAAAATTTTGCAAACAATCCAGTTTGAATATTTTTTCAGAAAGTTTTTTTGTGCAAAACTAAAAAAACATATTTCAAAAGAGCAAAATTACGTTAGCACTTTCTGCCTGGTTTGACCTAGAAGGCATACTACCATTAACGTATTGGCAAATGTTTGCGTTTCACCCTGGTGAATTTAAAAAAAAGATGTAAGGTGGGTATTACGAGTAAAAATTTATTTATTTTTTTTATATTTAAAGAATGTACATAAATATAAAAATAAAAATTCTTGTGAAGCTTTTTACAAAATAATAAATTTATATCACAAAATTACAAGATGAAAAATGTGTTGGCCGGAAAGAGATAACACTTCCTTGATTTTGGTGTATGCCAGGTCACACTGAATTAAAATGACATATTTTTCAGTTTAGAATGAGGAATCGAATCTGTTTATCGCCACACGAGTCATGCTCCTTGCGAATCTACACAAAAATAAAAATTACCAATCATTCCGTTCACGTCTTCACCGGCATCTCCCGAAAAAATATTAATCACAGCTTCACCTTGATGCATGGGCGTCATTCAAGTCCATTGCATCATAATACTATACACCTCAAAAATGCGACATTTGCCATACAACCGTCACATTGGCGATGACCCATCCATTCGGTGTCATATTACCAAATCGTGGGAGTTGCGAGTTGTTGATGTTCGTCGCCAAAAATTCAAAATTAGAGCAAAGTCTGGCGCTCTGCGAGCAGAAGTGTGCCGATGGCGAAGCCGGCCAACGGCTACTCGGCTCTGCTCTTGGGTGCACACGGCACTTTCAGGATTTTGAAACGCTGATTTATAAATAGCAAATCGCAGAAGAGACGCCCGGGATGAGGCGACGGAGGCTTTTCGCATCTTAACGCCTCGCAAATGAGACACTACACATCAACGGAACGAGAAAAAATTTAAACTGTATCCGTGTGATGATTAAAATTAAAAAAAAAAAACAGCAAATAAACATAAAATCTTATTTTTAGGCTAGGGATTGTATACCGATTACATACATTTTTATGATTTACTTTTCTATTTTGGTGCATTTTTCATAAATTAGAAACTTTTTGGCATCGGAATTTTTAAATTCATTTGAAGAGAGCGAAAGGCGTATTATATAAATGCATGCATAGTAATTAAAGAGAAATGTACCTCTCAGTATAAATAAAAATATCAACAATAACAATAACATTTGGGTTCGGCTTTAAATACAATTCTAATGTTGTAATTTAACTTCCACTCGATTAAAAGAAAAAGGCGTGAAAACAAACATTTTCTATCATTTAATAAATATCACAATAAGGAAGGAGCTGTTTGACACTTTTAAACAAATTGTAATATAAATAACTTTCTATGGTATCAGTTAAACGGAAAATTTTTCGACTTTCTTCCTGTAAATAAAGTTTTGAGGCACGACCCTTGTAACCTATGAAATCATCAAGCATTTGAAACTGATGACTATTTATTTGAATACAAACCATCTGTGCGTCACGTTAATTAGTAAATAATTAGGATATGAATAATTTTCCGCTCCAGAAAAGACTTAGTTTTTTAAAAATCCGCAAGCTTTACTCCGAATTATTATTCAAATTAGCAACAGTTTTAAACCAGATTCTCTTCTTTACATTTCAACAACTGCATAATTGTGTTTATGCAGTAAAACTGGTTTGTGCTATCTTTGATTGTGCAATAATATTAACAAAATACTTTTAAAATCGATGTGTGGGGTCAAGGCAAGCAAATTTATCATTTTGTGAAATTCCTAAGTTTGGACCAGACTTGTTGTCTTTCTGTAATTGATTTTATATCAAAGTGGAATTTTTGTGTCATCCGAAATATAATAAAAACAATCTCCATTCGAGTATTTCTATTTTTAACTACTTTTATAACTAGATTTTTGCCATAAAGAAGTATTAGGAAGGCAATAAAAATTATACAGTTTTTAATTTGACTGATAACTAATTAATTGTTTTACCTTTAAACAAATTAAAATTCTTTTAAAGTTCTCCGATTTCTCTCGCTTTTTGACTTTAGAAATATTTATTTAATAAGGAAAATTTTGGAATGATAAAAAAGTAACAAAGAATTTATAACAATATTAAAAATAAAAATAATAGATTAGATTAAAATTTAAATTGACGTTTGAATTCGAATTTGTCACGTTTAGATATCGGTTTAATAAAAACAAAATGCATATTAATACCAAAAGGAATAATTTATTGATTATTTTTGTCTCATAAACCTACACACATTACATATTAACAAAATTATTATCAATACAAACTACAACAGTTTAATTTTTATACTTTGTAAAAGTTGTATGTACTATCAGCTCAAATTAGCTACTATTTATTACACATTCGGAGAATTTTATCTTTGTGTACTTACTATATTTGAATTCCATAATTTTCATCGTAGATAAGCGGCTTGCATTCAGGAGATGATTTTTTTTAATTTTATCTCCTAATGTAATATAGGTAGATCCGCCAAACGGTTATCGACAATAATATACATCACCCATAGCATGTAGGTTGGTGTAAAAATAAATTGTAAAGTTTTCATGAAACCAGTTAAATTTAAAACGATGACTAATTTTGTTTTTAGTAAAGTAACTGTACACACTGTCGTTAAAATATTGGACAATTGTTTTTAATTTCATTGCAGTGGTGCCAAAAATGGTTGATGACGCCATTAAGACGTCATCGGTGTAATTTGACCACACCGTGTGTCTTAACATTGATGCAACCTGTAATGTCACATGAAACGAGAAATACTCAACTTTTCAGTACCTAATTAAAATCGGAAGAAGTAAATTGTTTCTATGTGTAAAAAAAGAGAAAAATCTACAGCCTTTTGCAGCATTTTCTAATTGATTTCAAATTATGTACTTTTTTACAATCTGGTCTTCGTTCAAAAATTTGACTCTCTCTGAGGATGTGCTCTCCGGAAGCCGGATATGATGCGATGCGGCAACAATACCTCAAAGAAAATGTGTGCAATTAATTTCGCGATGAATCCCAGCCGCTTTGAGAAATTGCAGTTTTTCCCTTCTAAGAACGAAGTCTGCCGGATTTCCGTTCATGGTCTGCGGCTCCACACTAAAGTGTTATGGTCGCATCTAATTGAATGAATGTGTAAAACTACATTCAAATAAACAATTATCCGGTCTTTAAGTTCCTATTCGCGTTGTTCTTTATTGTTCGCAGGAATGTTGCAGGTTTCACTGCTTTTTTGTTGCACTTATCGTAAATATTTCGAAGGTAAATGGGTTTCCGTCCAGACAAGGTTTTATAAAACAAAAACTGCAGACGAGCAAGACTACAAAAATGCAAACAATGCAACAAGTCATAAACAACAACGCACTCATTTTGTTTACTTGTGCGCACAATTTTCAATGGAAAATAGCATTGTAAAGCTTGCTAACGAAGTGATTTGACACACTCGATACAAATTCCGAACCTTTGCGGTACCACCTAGACGATTAACTCGGTTTGTTTAATGATTCAATCGCATACATGTCACAACGATGTAAATATAGGCCATTTGTACCAATGTGTTGCAAGCAGTGTAATTAAAGCGTGCATCAATTGGTACATATATTTTATGTCCTCCCAAAATTGCTAAATTTAGAGACCTGATTCATCTTGCAAGCGTTTTGCATCTTCTTATAAGCTCTAACACGACTTCCCACTTAAAAATGACAAATTTTTTCGTAAATTTGAGTTCATTGATTCGAACTGATGAATGTATGGTTTTAATTTTCTCAAAGATTTATTATTTTTCTTACGTAATTTGATATCAAAAAGAAGCTTTTATGTATGAGCACCAATTGACGGCTTTATAATTCACTCTGATAATGTGATAATTCACACACAGTTTCAATGGAAACTATTTATTTGAATGTCAAACAAAGTAATGGTAATTTAATAACAATGAAATCATAAAAATGTGATAAATGTGTTGGGCCAATACTTTATAAAGACTGCTGCGCCATAAAACCATTAGCTGCCATAACTAATGTAACATTAATTATGAGAATATCGTATTTTTATCAAAGCCATTAGTAATTAATTTCTGTTGTACAACGCTTGAGGCAAAGTAGTTAAATATTTGTCGTAAAAATCTGTAAATATTCATAACCTGTTTAGCGTTTTCACACTCTTTTGTAAATACATATTTAGATTTATTTAAATAAACTGTTTTAGATGCGCCTGATACGTTATTGTGTTCGTTGTTTGCCAACTCTTTTATTTTTTAAAGTGGCATTTGAATTTATTCATAAGACTACACCTGCCTCTTCTTACATTTATTGCTCAGACGCCTTTTTTGTGTTTTCCTAAGTTTTGTCACATTTAAATAATTCAATGAACTTTTACAATGAAAGTGGTTTATTTGCCTTGATAACGTATCTGAAAATTTTGTTGAAGCGTTACATTTCCAAGGTAAAAATTACATAAAGGCTTCATTTAAATATAATGCTCTGTATTTTTCCTACAAGCATCGTCTAGTGCATCTCAAGACCTACTTAAGTTCGAAAAGACTACTTAGTAATAATCTCTAAGAACTGCGCGTGTGGTCAGAGTAAACTTTCTTTTTACTCATCAACACCTTCATTTAATCGTTGAAAAATGTGGATAAACAGATTCCGAAAAAGGAGAGTGTCTGACTAATAACTCACTTATCACTCAGTCACGACCATTTACCCAAACAATTGACATACAAAACGTGTATTTTTCAAATTTTTTTACAATTATATGTTTAAAGTATATCTGTATCTTTGTAAATGATGAGGACATGGTCTTGTATCAAGTTTAACACTGTTTTTCCTCAATTCTCTTGCTTCTTCTAACTGACCTCTCAGTTTATCTAGATCAGCACTTTGTGCTAATTTTGCTGGACGATTTGGCACAGTTGATTGTTTCGGCTTTGACATTCGAGTTTGCGTAATAAAATTCTTCACGTTTTCTATCATCAGCCTCTGTCTCTCTTTGTACTTTTGAATACACTTTCGCTTCTGTTCCAATTGACGTTCCATTTTGTCTTTCATTTCAGCAAGTTTTTGCTGCAAATCTGCAATTGACATTTCGCACAGTAAACCAAGTTTGGGACACTCAGTTCTGTCAAACTCTTTATTAGCAGAATGAAGAGTTTTCATTTCATGCAGAGCTTTGATTTCTTCAATCAATTTAATCTTTTTGGCCAACTCTTCTTTTTGTTTTTCATACGCATTTTGCAACATTTGTCTTTTCTCCTCCTTAAACTGATTGGCTTGAGTTCTCTTTTCTTCTTTGAGTTTCCTATCAGAATCTTTTGCATTTCGTTCTATTTCTTGGCACTTCTTCACTATTATCTTTATTTTCTTTTGCTGTTCCTCTTTCCAATCTTCCAACTGTTTTAAAAATGTGTCACGCTCTTCCATAAATTCTTTGAAACGTTCTTTATTACACTCGATCAACTTTCTCTTGGCCAAAATGGCTTCTTCGAAGGTTAATAAGCCTTCTAAATGCTTTCGCTCAATCTCTTCAATTGATTTTTGTTGTTCTAGCTGACGAAGATTCTCTTCCAACTCTTTGTACTTATCTAAAGTTGCACCTCCTTTTAGCAAACTTTCAATATTTTTTATGTCTTTTTCTTGTTGTTTTATACAAACACTTGCCTCTCTTAAAACAGCAGCGACGTTGCCTCTTGTTTCAACATTTATTTTTTTAGTAGGAGCTTTCTTGGCTTTGAAGACACTTTTAGGAGCTTCTTCAACAATTATACGTTTCTTAGGCTTGCAGTAATTCTTATCTAAAGATTTAGCTTGTGCTAGTAATTTCTGGGCTTTTAGTTTGTTTTTCTCAAATTCACTTAGAAGTTTCTTGTCTGTGATATCATGCTGGTAGTGAGTTTTAGGAACAACATTTGCTTGAAAGAATTTTGATTCCACAGGAGTATTAAGTGGTACAGCTGGAGAAGCTTTTTTTCTTTGCATCAGTGCCATTTGGTCTGGAACAGTTGGTGGTTTTGGGGTACGTTGTTTGATTTTTTCTTGATAAAGTAGCCCTTCTATTTTTTTTAAAACGTCAGTTTTGTTAAGGAGAGGATTAATAATTTGGTTTAGTATATATTCATCTTCAAAAAATTTGCATCCGGTTAAAGCAGTTTGTATTAGATTGTTTTCATTAAAAAAATACTGCAAAATTTTGTGTTTGAAGGCACATTTAATTTCTTTAAAAACTTCGAATAGTTCATTGGCACTAACATTGTCTGAGGCAAACAGTACGATAAATATAATCATAATCATTCTAACATTGTTGTAATTTCTGAGGTTGTGGAACGAAACGAAATCATTTTTGATCGCTTCGAGGAACTTCTTATGGGTGACAAGCGAAACAAACTTTTCTATTTCTTCATCTGTTAAATGCGAATCTGATGCCAACAATTTCTCTTCTATAAACTCATCACCGCATACATTTTCTCTAAAATAATACTCTTGGAACAATTTATATAAAGTTTTGAATATTTTCGGATTCATTTTGAAGGTTGACGTTGTCACAATCATTTTTGTTTATTTCCAGGTGAACATTGGCTCTCCTGCAGAGCGAGCTGGATTGTTAGCTGGCGATTCCGTCATCAAGGTTAACAATACAGATGTTTTTAATCTGAGACACAAAGATGCCCAGGATGTGATTATCAGAGCCGGACCTGCATTCGAGCTTACAGTTCAAAGGTAAATTAGAGTAAACAAATTAGCCTTGATTTGCATTATTGATCATTTGCCCAAATCGTAACTATTTTAATCTTGAAGGGGAGGATCAGTGTGGAAACCTTCAGTTATTCCTACAGGAACGATACATACAGCATCACCGACTAGTCCTATCACTAAAACTTCTTTGGTCGCAAATAAGAAAGAGAACATTGGAAGCATTGGAACTGGACATAACTTATCAGCTAAACCCTTCAGTGCACAGGTAAATGAGAAATAGAAACTTTGGCCATTTGTTAAAATTTATATTTAGTTAAACGGTGCTGTGAATGGTGGACCAAAGCTAGTCAATAATCAATACAATTCTCCTTTGAAACTGTATTCTGAAGAAAGTATAGCTGAAACTTTATCTGCACAGACTGAAGTTTTGTCAACCGGGGCCTTAGGGTAAGGAATTTAATTTGTTGAAACAACACGGATCCATTTCCTTCCAGAACTAACTCTGTGCCAAATAACTAATTTTAAAGCCATGTCGAGTATCAGCGCGCTAAAAATAACTAATACGTCACATAAACTTGCATATTCTCTTCTAAATAATTATCTAATGTCCTGTTTGAATGTTTATTAAAATATAAATTAAAAGACCATTTGGTAATGTGCCAATTTTACGTAACCATTTCGAACTAGATAACCCATTTCCGATTGCTGCAACATTGTTTTTTACATTTCAGAGTTAATTTTAAGAAAAACGAAAAAAACTATGACGCCACTAACAGCGCTGTTTATCGCATGCTCCAAGAAGCAGAAAAGGAACCAAAAACACCAGAAGCAGGTACTTCTCTATGTAAACTAAAATGTTTTGTCTTGGAATTAATTTATTTCTACGAATAAATTGATTCCAAAATTTTGTGAATGTCCCATTAATTTTAACCTAGAGCCAGAGTCAGCAGTAGTCCCATCGGCTATAACCGGTTTACGCCATGTTTCTGCGCCCGAGAACCGCCCTCCTTCGTCAAATCCTCAACTTCCTCCCGGCCAAAATATTTGTGCGGACTGCGAGCGTTTGATAGTGTAAGTAATTTTGCAGTGTTGGAGATTGAAAGGGTGCTGGCGTCGTTTCGGAAAAGGGTTGCTTTTTTCTGTAGTTGTTCATTTTTTGACGGTTTTTCTCTTTTTTTCTGTGCTTAACAGTAAGTCCTCGTTCCGATTTTTACGCAACTCACAGCCACGCTGTTGGTGGTCGGCAAGTGACATCACCGAGATCTAATACCCCAGACGACCACAGTCGGCTAAGCAGTCGATTGGGGGATTACCCAAATACTATCCCTAGTCAGGAAGGAGTCACTAAGTGTACCGAATGCGAAAGGGTCATCGTGTAAGTCCGACTTGATGTTGGATCGATGTTGTTTTCCTCGATAGTGGCCCTTCCATTGTAGAAATTTTCGAATTTTCATACTTTGCACATACTGCATGACTTAGTTTCTCCTCACTTTATTGATCGTCGTGTGGTGAATAAATACCCAGATTTTAAAAATATTAATCTTACTAAAAATAACACGTTTTATTGCAGTGGAGTCTTTGTGCGTATCAAGGATAAAAATTTGCACGTTGAGTGCTTCAAGTGCTCTACTTGTGGAACTTCATTGAAGAATGTTGGGTAAGCACTCACTCAAACGTGCTAACAACAAACATCATCAAAATCTTTTACAGTTACTACAATATCAACAACAAATTGTACTGTGACGTCCACGCTAAGCTAGCTGCAAGGAGCAACCCACCAGCTCCTAACTTAGTACCAATAACAGTACCACCGTAAGTCACAATGTCTAAATAAGATTTAAAACTTAGATAAGTTGTTACAGTGGTGGTAAGGCACCCGCTAGTGCAATTTCGACAGCTCTAGCCACCCATTCGCTACCATCACCATCACCGCTCTCTCCAAAGACAAATTTAGCTCAACCTTTTCAGGTAATTGGTGTTGAAAATTAAATAAATCAATGTTAAGAATTGAGTTCTGTGTTGTCTATGCATGCAATCTTTTTTTAGCTTTCACAAGACAAGGAAACGAACCTTATTTCTACGCCTTTACAAAACCTAAACATTAATTCCGATTTTAACAGCCCTAATAAACCAAATAATCATTTGTTAAGCAGTGCGACCCCGCTTTCATACTCAAAATATTTAAATAAGGTAAGTCATTAACAATGATTAACAAGAGAATCATCACTGTTTATCTTACTGAAGATAAATCCAAATTATTTTATTTTTTAAGGCTGGAAATTATTCAACTACTCCCAAACCTTTCTCAAGCGTTAGTGCACCAACTACAAATCAAAGTTTCAACACTTTACCAAAAACTGCTCCATTATCTCCTGTTGCTTCAGGTCCAGCTCCAGCTTCTTACAGTCCGGTTTCATCAACTGGTAAGAATTTAATTTGTTATAAACAAAAGTCGCCCTGAAGCCAAGATTTATTTAAATTGAAAACGATTATTTCTAATTAGGACGTCTTCCTGCTAAACCTGTTGGTTCCGTTTTTAAAGGTACAAATGCAGTTTGAAGGCCGCTTTCACAAATTAGGTGCTAACTTTGGGTGACAAGTAGTATAACAGTTTTTTAGAAATATAGTATCAAGAAAGCTCCTTTTCCCTATCTGTGTTTAGTGTTATATTTTCTGTCTCTCTCATTTTATTTATTCTTTACAGATTTTAAGTCTTTTAATCCCAAACCTCGACCTTTTTCCCTTGTCTTAGATAATTAGAATGCTGCCAGCTTTGTAACAGTCGTAGAAAATTAGATAACTAATCATGGCTTACAAGTTCCTAAATACGTTTCTCTTATTATTTTTTTGTAAAAATGTAAATAAATTATTTTTTTGCTTTTGCCCACTTCCTGATAGAGTTTTCTTGATATTTTTATAGTTATACTATTTTATAAACACCGTAGAAATGTAACAATTTTTGCTTGGATCTTACTAATATATATTTTTTTATTTTTCCTTTTGTTTTACCTTTTGGTTTGATGTGATTGCCTTACCATTGCTTGTTCTTAACTTTTACAAATGTTGGTTGTTGACTAAAAGGCCGTAGTGTTCAAAGTATTGTGTGGCCGCCTCAGCCAGAAGAACCCGAAGTTCCCACAGCTTGTCCTCTTTATGTTCCTCCGGAAACCCACCTCAGAGTAATTCCCAAACCCCATAAATGCGAAGATTGCGAATATTCCGATGCGACCTCAGACACTAAAGACTCCGAACTTGAGGAAATCAACATAATGGCACAGTTTCAAGAACCCAAATTGTCACTTTGTTCCGAGGAAGTTTCTGGAATAACTTCTGGAAGAAGTGCTGTTGAGTGTGTTGAAACTATAACTGAAACTTTAGAGACTCAAAGACTAGTTGAAAGTGTTTTAAAAAATAGACCTCGGTCTCCGCCGCCTTTAGACAAAGATATTGTTATTCCAGAAGTTAAGAAACCTTCCGAAAGTATTCCTTGTGTAGATTGTTCCCAATCTAATATTTGTTTAAATAAAGAAACTTGCGAATTAAAACGGTTATCTGAGTTTAAACCAAACACAGTTGAATGTAAGTTGAAAAGTCAGGTTGATAATGCTGTACCCCAACAGTGGGAGTCTCCAATGGTACAAGCTCTTAGGACAGTTCCAGAAGGAGACCCTTTTAAACAAATACCTAAAAAACATTCATCGAGTGCTTTGGCATCTGCTCTAGCTATAGCTCCTGCTGAACCTTTCACTGCACAAATGTCAACTCATTTAGAACCAGTGCCATTGCCTGAAGAAACGGTTCCGTATTTTCCACCTGAACACCCTATTTTAGTTGAACCAAAAGAACCAAAACCTGAAAAACCTGAAAGTAAATTTGTCAAGGCTTTACAGACAGCTCCTGAACGACCTTTCTCACCTGTGGGGGCAGCACCTGTTAAGAAAAAGAAAAATCCAACAGATGAGTTTTTTAAAGATCTCCCAAAACCTCAAAGTAAACTATCAATGAGAGAAGCATTAACTACAGCCTCTGACAGACCCTATACTCCACTCTTTATGGAAAATGTAAAAATAAACGAATCATGTTTGAAAGAAAGTAAAGTCGAGCGACAAAATTTGCAAAAACCTTTAAAACCTTCTGTTTTGCCATCGTCATTTCAAAAACCTTTAGTTGAAGAGAAACCGAGAGTTCCAAAGCCTTTTCCAGTTAAAATCTGTGAGAAAAAAGAAGAACGGGAAGAAGAAAAACAAACAGATGTAAAAAAATCAACTACTATAGAAAAACACCAGACCCATTCTACTACGGAAGAATCAATTGAAAATGTTGATGAGAACCCACAACAAGGAATGTACCCACTTTTCAAAGGTTTTAGTTGTTCATTTGAGAATAAATCTGAACACTCACAATTTAAAATTGAAATATCTACAACTCCTCCCATAATAAACACCGAGCGGTCACAAACGCCCAGTGTCAAAATTTCACGTACGGGTGAAAGCAGTGAAAGCATTACTGAAACAGTCACGGAAGAATCCAAAACACGTGAAAAACTCAAACAAGAAACTAAAGAAAAAACTATAGAGAAAAAAGCGGAACAAATTGTTCTCAAGAAACCGTTACCATTGGCAGGAACTTTACACAAACCGGAAGCTTTACCCCAGTACCAAGTAAATCTCTCTGAAAGTCTCGAAGCTGATCTTCAAATGATGCAAAAAGTTGAAACTTCAAAAGCCCGTCATGAGCAACAAAAAATTGTTTCAGCTCCATCTAAACCTCCACGAGAAATTCATACAAAGCCGGTAATTACAATACAACCTGGAGAAACACAACCTCATCAACCAGAACAATCGTTTAAACCTGTCCGTGATGACAGGGCTCCATGTACAACATTTTCGCCACGGCCGAGACCTATTACTCCAAGTATGATTAACAAACTTCCTCCGACAATTCCATACTATCAAGCGAATTTAGTTGCTCAACAACATAAAGCTGCAGAAGTTAATTTGTTGAATCCCACAAGCCCGGCAATTTCTCGATCACCAAGTCCATGTCCGGAACGAAGAAGAAGTCCTTCCCCATTTCGTGCTGCTGCAACCGCAGCTGCAGCTGCAATTAGAGCTAAATCACCAGCAGCTGGACCTCCTCCGAATCCGTTAAAATCAAACAAACCTTTACCGACGCCTAGAGACACCAAATTAGAAGAAGCCAAAAAAAGTGTTGCTAGTTATATACCACAGTATCAAAGTAAAATCGATGTTGTGGAAAAGTCACAAGTTGACCCTCAAATGTATTCTGCGTATTCCGAAACGCATAATATTGCCGGACAAAAGGTGCAAAGTGTAATGAGTGGTCAAAGTGTCGAAGTAGATTTGGCTCAAAAGTCTATGATGAGAGAAAATAGACAAATTGAAGACGCCATGAGGACACAAGTAATGACACAACAATTTGCCCAAGGAAGTGCTTCAACAGCTGTTAGAGAACAATCGCATTCAGATTATTTGGAACAAATGAAAAGGTCTGAAGCTCAAAGTGTTGAAATGTTATCAGGTGGACAAGTTCAAGTTCAAAGAAAAAAAACCGTGACTGAAGAATTCGAACATTCACAGAAATCGAAAACTGTAGAAATTGAACATAATGTTTCAACCACAAAATCACATCCTTTCAGAGATGTAAAAAATCCTCAAATTGAGGGACAAGGCATAGTTGGGTTGCACGTGACCAACCCACAACCTCTTTCTTCTCCTTTTTTGAAACAAACTCCACAACAGTGTCCTAAATTATGTCCTTCATCCTCTCAACAATGCCCAGCTACTAGACCATGTCAACAGTTTCAGAAACCACCTGTCAAGCAGGTCCCCGCTCCCTCCATCACATCTCCGATCAAACACGTTTCCGCCCCTTCGGGTTCAGCGCAAAAACCTAGTGTAAATAAATCCAATATTCCCGTACCCCGTGCAGGTTCAGGTTCAGGTGGTGGTCGTCAAGCTGGAGCTATTGGTGTAGCCCCAAAACGCGGCCGTGGTGTTCTAAACACTGCAGCCCTTGGTGGAACCCGAATCGCACTTTGCGCATCTTGCCATTCGCAGATCAGGTAGAAATTGTGTGAAACGGTTTCTGTGGCGACTAATCCGAGTTTAGATGTTTCTTGATGTGATTTTTGCATTTTTAGACCAGGCTAACACGCTAGCTAACAAGGAGACGAAACGTAGCGAGTTGCATTTGCAAATTGGGGATAGTACCCCCAGCTATGGCCAAGTTAACATCACTATACCCTTATCCACCTCGCCTCAATTAGATTCGAAAGGATCATCGCCGAGATCGGATTACTCCTCTCAATCATCATCTAGTTCCAAAAACCCCCAGAATATTGATATCGCGCGAGATAAATTTTTATTGGAGTTGAGGAGCGGTGAAGCAAAAAAAACTGATTTATCAGAAAGTTCGCTCCACAACTCGTCTCCCTTGTTTTCCCATGTTTCCAAACTTCAAACTTCCAAAGAATTTACTCGGTATCAGTCCCAACCGGATTTAAATTTGCCCGACAATCTAACTTTTGCTAACAAAACTGAAAATGACGCACTAATAGAAGATGCTGAAAACGCTAAAAATAGTACCCCTGTTTGTTGTCAGTGTAAGCGTGAAATAATAAGGTAATTGCATGGACGTTTAAAAAAATTACAAGATTTTAATCAAAATTTTGTGAGTATAGAGGTCCATTTATTACCGCTCTTGGTAAGATTTGGTGCCCGGAGCACTTCATTTGTGCGACCCCGTCATGCAGACGTCCTCTACAAGACCTTGGTTTCGTAGAAGAACAAGGCCAGTTGTATTGTGAATATTGTTTCGAGCAATATTTGGCCCCACCATGCGCCAAATGCGGCTCAAAAATCAAAGGGGTATGTTTCTCACACCTACACTTAATTTATTTTAACTGATTTTTTTTATCAGGATTGTCTCAAAGCTATTGGGAAGAACTTCCACCCAGAATGCTTTAACTGCGTCTACTGTGGAAAACTGTTTGGCAATTCTCCGTTCTTCCTTGAGGATGGCAATCCCTATTGCGAAGCTGGTGCGTGAATCACACTTTTTATAAAAGTAATTTGTTGTTATTTTTTTTCAGATTGGAACGAGCTTTTTACCACGAAATGCTTTGCTTGCGGCTTCCCAGTCGAAGCAGGTGATCGTTGGGTAGAAGCTTTAAATAATAACTATCATAGCCAATGCTTCAACTGCACGGTAAGCTACTAGTGAGAAAATCAAAGCTTCAAAATTAATTTTCATGGATTGTAGATGTGCAAAAAGAATTTAGAAGGCCAAAGCTTCTTTGCTAAAGGTGGCCGTCCCTTCTGTAAGAATCATGCCCGTTAAATGTTATTGTTGTTACCATATTTATTTGTGCTTTTTCTTCGACATAAATGTATAAGCATCTACTTAAACTGTTGACCCTCTTCAAAATGACTTACCAAAAGATATGCTAGTATACATTTTCTGTATATTGGTTATTGTTAATAGTGCTAGTCTAATGTTACGCAAATATACTTGTAGATAATGTTATATAATAATGTATTTTATTGTAAGTGCCATTGAAGTTGTAATAAATAGATGGACTGTTTTTTGGCAAAATATCTATAAATAAATATCTTAGATGTAGGTTTTACTTCTTGTTATAACCCTTAAATGAAACAATTTATTCTGATGAGTTTATTTCAAATTTTGAAGTCAAATTTTGAGGCAGTGATAAAGTCAACAAGAAAAAATTTAGTAGAGAGGAGAAAAATCTGGGCCCGAGATTTAGCATCTTGGCATTGTTACAAGTAATTTTAGCAATAGTGGCAAAAAACAGGAAATTTAAACTGGTGGTATCCAAATTTCCCCAGACATGTCAATCTCCTGTTGCAAAAACTCATTCAACTGACACTCCGACGCCGTTGGATGATTTTTCGCTAATTCTTTCGCCGACTTCGTAAACTTGATTACTTTCGAAACCATTTGCTTGACAGTAAGGAAATAATTTTTATTCGGCTGTTCAATTGTCATTGGCCAAATTCGCACCCATCCGCCTTCACTACTCGTTGCGAAATTCCAGTCACGACCGTTGCCCCATTTTTTCGAAATTCCAGCTTTTCTCAACTCTTCCTCATCCTGAAAATGAAAATTACGAAGATGGCGAGACGGGTTCAAAAAACTCACATTTTTGTTTACATCATAATTTGGCTTATTTTTTGGCAAGTTAATGTTAACTTTTGGCAAATTTACGATTTCTGGAATAGATAAGTAAATTAAGTGTTATTAATTCGTGGAAAATTACTCGGAGATGTTGCTGAAACAGTTCGTACTTTGGCGCGGACTGCTGAATTTGATCGCGAGCTGATTTGTTTGGCGGACATTTTCCGGTGCTTCCGCCGCCATCTTCCCGCCGCGTTTACAACAGATAAAGTGTTCTTAAAAGCCACATTTTTTGGCTTTTGTTCATTTTCCTCACTTAAAATTTTAGCCATAATAAAGTGTTTTTTAGAAACTGATACTCACTTGCTCTCACTAGGCTCGTCTAGAAATATATCAAAGACGGAAAGTCCGGTATTGTAGAGTGGCAAACCTAATAGATCAAACATGTCATGTAGCATAGGCTTCTTCACGGACCTATCGGCGTCACAGTCGTTACTAAGGGCAGGACTCAGATTAACCTACAATAGACAAATATCGTGCAATTCTTTGCCAAAGTTAGCCCAAGAAATTAAAGTTTTTATTATCTTGTGATTTCATTAACATTCCAATAAAACTTAGAAGTAATTGATATAAATTGGAAATTACGATGTTCGTGATTGAAACGACGCGAAAGAATTGTCGACTCGAGTTTGATCAATATTGCATAATAATGCCCGATTAATTATAATTTATGTTACGCTACACACGTGATAACTAATGTGATGTTAAATTGTTTTTACCTCAAGCAGCCACGGTCTTAAAGAGCTATCAATTAGCACGTCGAATCCGAAAAATTCAAAACAATTTACAGTGGGTGGGATTTGATTCACGTGACTTAAGACTGTTAAAATGACGAGGGACGAAATGCGTTGCCACAATAGCCAATCAGATATTCCTGCTTGCTGAAAGTACCTCCGGAGTTGCCTCAGCGTCCACTTGCACCCTATTTCAAATTTTCAGAGTGAGTTATTTGGCTCTGAGTAGTTTTACCTGATCCGATCCTGTCTTTCATTTCTGTATACCCTGGTCCAAGTTTATTGATTGATGAATTTGTGAGATGGCGGAAAGGGTTCCTTAAGTCGTTTAGACTAAACTTATCGGTGCCGAAACGAGCCAAGCCTTCTCTGTACATGTATATTGTCACAGGGTGATAAGAAGGGATGCAAACGTAAAGTCTTAAATCAAATTTGTATCCTCCTATTAGTAACGGTTTTTCTATGTATCTCTGCACGATCGTATTCGAATCGTAGGTAAGTTCGCTCAGTTTCTAAAAATAAAATTTTCGATAATATAATTGAATCGAAACAATGCTTTTGTTACCCTAAATAGGAAAATGCCGCGTCCTTGACTTTGAGCAACAGGTTTGCAAATCCAAATTGGTTTATCTTCTATTAGTTTATCACGAAGCGTATCATTTTTGCTCGAAAATGGTCGGCCGCCTCTGCTGCATTCTGCCGCTAATTTTGTATACTCAAGCGGGAGATTGTAGCCATGTGGGCTGAAAAATTAGTTTATAAAAAAATACAATTGACTGAACCACTTACCTGAAATCATATATCGAGCCATAAACTTTTCTCATGCAACGTAAATAACGAACTAAATTATCTTTTCGACAAATTGCCGAACCTTTGGGTATGTGATTTATATACTAAAAAAATTTTTCGGTTCAAGATTCAAAGAAAATTTGGTGGTCACCTGCCAGGCGTAGAGATTCCTATGGTGGCTGACCGGGAACCCGGAAGTCCGCCACCAGAGATTCCATTGGTCGCCACTTTCCGAGTTAAACTCGCGCCATCCCCTTTCCAGGCAAACCTAAAAAGTTAACTAGTTGATAATTTTTGAATAGCATGCCAGAATCAGAATCAACAAGTCAGTCCTGGGTTAGAAAAATTCCGATTAGCTGTTTCATTTATTGTTTAATCAATATTCTTGCCTCCGTAATGGATTTCCGTTATTAGTTTATTTTAAGGTTCTAATTTGGTTTGAAATAAATCAAAATTCCATTAGATAGGTTTATATCTATCCAAATTTAATTTGATAACAAAGTTAATGTTTAAGTTTACATATCCATAATTATGTTGGTTGATTGGTAACATTAAAGTCTGACGGAATTAGGATCTGCGGCATAATGTTATCTATTCATTCTTAAAGAGGTTGCGCATCATAAAGGCTAACAGAAATCACGCAAGCACCACAGTTATTCACAACCTAATAAATATAACTTGTAGTATTTAATGAATTCGATATCAGCACGCGAGTTGGTTAGATTCAGATTCTATCTAACCCTGACCTGTTAAGTTCATTGCGGTATCTTTCTTATTTTTAATAACACAACATTTATCTTCGAAATCAACACGACTTTTTAAACTGTCATTTAGTTACCACAACCCTAAAACTGGTAGTTTTACACCACAAATGTTGAACGAAAAGCTTCAATCTTTTCTGGATGAGCGTTGTGACAACTCGAATAATTGAAATTATGTTTGTCATTATTTCGTCATGAAAGATGGTTGGATTAATTTTCCTCATCGCATGAAAAGAGAATTCCAATATTAGCAGGCAAAAATAATAAATTAATAAAAATGCAAATTTCTGTTCTAAAAATGGATATTTAGTGACATTTATTTCAACAAGCACAAGTTTATTTTAAATGCAACTGGATAATAACATTAATAATTCAGTTGACAGAATTGTACGTACAGACAATGACAAATTACTCAGGTCTTCAATTCATTTATTTTAATAATACCTATCAAGAAAATCATGTAAATTTTTGTTCTGAATTCGGAACTAAAAAGCAATCAATATTGGAGATGAGGCTTTTTGATTGAAATCATGACGTTTTGATGAGGTGGAACTAATGAAAAGTTTTGAACCAATTAATCTGGACTGCAACAATTCCATTGATAAGCTTGGTGCTTTGTTAGCATATTGCGACAATCATATAAGAACCTTATTATACTTGCAAGTGAATTACTTTAAACTAAAATAAATCATAAACTTAGAAAAGTATCTGCATGCACTGGGACCATAATTGTGGTGCAACTTGAAATTGGGTCAAATTACTGTAAGTAGGTAGAGTTATTAAAGATTCAAAACTATTTCAGTATGCACGGGTTTTCTCCTTTAGCATTATCTACCTTTTTATTTATATTTTTGAAAGCAGCAACAGAAAACTTGTATCAAAACTCTTTCAACTAAATGCTCAAATCAATCTTTGTGAACGGTGATATTTTAGTTTTCATTAAAATCTGTATTTTTAAAAAATGTTGATATGGTATGCAATTAATAAAAACTCAAACTGAAATTCTACTTATCTCTAATTTTGTGAGATGTAAAGGGAAGGATTAAAATAATAGCATAATCCATCAGATTTTAAAAAAGACGAATATATTTAAGTTGTACATAGTTATTTAGATATCTTATAGGCATTGTAGAGATTGATATCTAAGCGAGAAAATTCAAAAAAATTTGTTACAAAATTAAAGTTTTTACTTTACTCGAGGCTATACCGCACACATTAATTAAAAAATGGTGAAACAGTTATGAAAATAATTTAAATCTAAGCGCTCTATTTACTTTTTTATTTTCTATAATTCAAATTTTTTTTTATCGAGTTGGGTAAAATTGAAATTGGGTGCAGCATAGAGAATTTGGTCAGGGTCATTATTCGTGTGAATCACCCTGTATATTCATCTTTATTTTAAATGACACTGTTTTGATTATTAAAAACAGTGCAACAATATTCGTATTACTATTACGAGTTGTATGTTGTAGTTATTCTAGGGTTCAGTAAGTATACTTGGATAAAAATTATCTGCCGAAGGAAGCCGTCCCATAAAATGCTATGTGAATTTATGAATGAAACTCAACAGCAATAAACTGATTTCTACCAATTAATTAACATCCTAATGAAACAGTCTAGTAGTAAACAACTAGTACAAGTAGATAAAAAATTCAGAACGAATAAAACGTGAATTTATTTTTTTGAAATTTATTAACTTAGATAGCATCGTTCATATAATGACAGATTGATGTTATCGGCTTGAAAATACTTTGATTCTTTATTTCCCTACCGTTCGCCGCATGGAATTTTCATCATACTTGAGTTTTATTTTTACATCAAATTTAGCAGAAAGATCAGATTTTGGCATGAATCGAGTGTAAATAACAAATGTGTGACACTAAGAAGATATGTTATTGCAATTTTTTGTCACTGAAGATAAATTATGTCGGCAAAACTCCATTCCGGAAGTAAAAACTAAACCATTCAAGTTTGCGTGTGTGTTACCTATGTAGGTATGCCTTTACGTGAAATGTCAACATCTAACTCTTCACAACTCACCTGAGTGAGGAGTTGTGGTCCTGTGCCGCTTTCGTTTAACCTAAATATGAAAGGTCCATCTCCAAAACATTCCTCGAACATTATTGTTCAATTGGAACCAGAAATTTGCCGCTTGTCTACAACAAAACAATGATTTGTTTAATTCGAATTCAGAAATGTTGAGATTTTCCGGTGAAAATCCGGAGTGCACCTTTTTGCACAAATCACGACCTATCGGACACTTTTAACCTAAATATAAGGAAATCCATAAAGAAAATTAAAATTCCGGCAAGCACGCGGTCTATCGTGAGCGAGTTCACTGACTAGAAAATTCAGCTCTCAGCGTCGTGACGCTAAACCAGACGCAGTGGTTGTCAACGGAGACATTCGCCTCATTCATGCTGCTAGCAGGAAGCAGAAATTTCTTATATAGACGCAGAAGCAGGCGGCGTTGTGAAACCAGAGGCAGGCAGATGTCGATCAAACCTTGACACTGCATTAGTTCGGATTCTCTTTACTGCAAACAGTAAACAAATTTAAATTTTATTTGGAATTTGTACATTTGTCGATTTATGACTTGTATGCTTCACTGAATTTTAATTTAGATACACCACTCGAGAAAAAGTTTGTTAAAAGTCGCAATTATAACAGCGATAAGTCGAATTTCGTTTCACACTCTTTAATGTCTTAATTTCCAACGCGAATTCAATTGATTCGATTTTTGTATCATAATAACGTAATGAAGTAACATTTAAAATTCGGAAATTATTTTAAAAACAAATTTATTTAATAAAAATTTGAAAAAAATGCCGGAACTACGAGATTGCTCCAGTATTGTACCGAATAAAGTATAAAAGTTGAATAAAAAATCAATGATTTATTTTTTTAAACTTGATTTATTATGAAAATATTTCATAACCTGTTTTGTCGCCATAAATAGCATAAGGTGCAAAGGTGAAAGGGCAGAGTAATCAATGAGTCACAAAAATTATGTGTACCTAATGTTTTGATTGAATTTATAAACTGTTTATGATTAATTTTGTCAAATATTATAAGACTGATGTTAAGATTAACAGCTTTTGTACACGCAATAAAGAAATAAAAAAATCTAAGAAACTGAGAAAGTCGTTGCTGGGATATTCTGTAAACAAAAATTTAAATGTATCTATAAATCATTAAAATCAGAAAAATTGTTGATTTCTGAACAACAAATTTTTCATTTTAAACTCAATTTGCCGTTTACATAAACATAGTTTGGGTTTTATAATTATTATTCATTTTGATTGTATGTATTACTTTCAAGCGGTGAATTAGTGATTAAAGTGTAATTTAAATTAATTATATTAGTTTTATTTCAATTCTCATTTCACTTTTATCCTAATTTAGTAAATAATTTCCAGTGCAAACTTAAATTGCATTAAAGTGATTTACTATTTTTTTAACATTGAAATTAACATTAACTTTATTGAGATGACACGATTATTTATTATTTTTTTGATTTACTGATTTTTGCTCAGAAAAAAATAAATAGTACACTAAGTAAATCTATCTGAGTTTTTGAATATAAATTTTCATATTAAAAACGTTCAGAATTAATTTACGCCCATCATATTTTTATGCTCATATTGATTTATGTAGCAATATTTTTATGCAGACAGATTATTGTATATTATAAAATACAACTGTAGCGTAAGCGTTAAGAGAGTAATAATTCAAACTGATACAAATAAGTAAATTAACAAATAAATAAAATTTAAGATAATAAACATTAACATTAGTTACGATTATAAAAAAAAACTTTAAATTTTCCAATTTTTTTTTAGAAAGTTTTTTTTTATAATTTATATAAGCATACACCACAGAAATTTCTTTTGTGTCAACACAATAATGTTAATTTACAATACTTTTTCTCTTACTATTTTTTGCCTTAAAACAAATTCAAATAAAAGCATTGACTCTTAATCAAGTTTGAAATGTTACATTTTGCTCAATTTACTGTATTGATATAATTAGGTGCCATAAGTAAATTACATTACATGAAATAGAGTGGGTGATCAATCGTTTAAAATTGAAAATCTTAATTGAACATTGTTTCAGTTATGAGTAGACTTAGTGCCGGTTACAATGTTTCATCAGTTTAACGGTGTGAGGGCACTTTTTGTGCTATGCTTGTTTAAAATAGTAAGTTAATTAATTATCTTGTTTATAACAATAAAGTAAAACCAACGTTTACATAACTATATTAAAAATCAAAGAAGATTGATCTGTACATAATTTTCTAGTATTAGCAACAATGATTTGACAATAGACAATTAAATATTATCTAAGCAAAGTGTTTAATAATGACAAGTTTGTTGTTCAATAATACAATGCAGTGTACCTACAAGTCTAAATTGATTATTTATATGACAAATTAATAAAATTACATATTTTGAAACGCAGCCAGTCAATAATATTTTTCAAAATTTTTAATTACATGTTTAAAATTTACATAATAAATAAACAATTCTTAGAATCAAGATACCTAATCAAAATATTGATAACAATATTAATTTTCTACTCAACTAAAAAGCTATTTCACTATCAATTGCTTTTATTTCACTCTTCCATTACAAATTGTTACTTTTTAATTAGTTTTTGTGTTACAAACGTTATTTTTATGTAAACCAAATGTACTTGTTCACTTTTAATTTAGCAAACATACAATGGGCAAAATATATTACATTTTTTGTCTCTGAATTCATTCAAAAATAAATTTTACTCTTGTTTTGAATGATGGTTATTGATTATGATTTCTTCATCTAGATTGCATGCGATGGGTCTTTCCACCTATTCTACGAAATTCCTGCAACTGAATATGACGGCTGTGAAAACCTGTCAAGATTTTTCCAAACGATTTACACATCGTCACCAGTTAATGCTTTAAAGACAATCATTTCACCATTGGCCTGCAGCACTTGTCCCCAAAAATCTCACTTCCTACACCAAAACTTAATCAAACTTGTATCACACGGGTCATTAAATATCAACTTTATTATCGCAAATCTTAAAAAAGTGAAAAATTTGAATAGATACGACGTCTTAATTACCACTTTGATGGCAATTAATGAATTTACAAAAGTCGACCCTAAATTGAAACTTGAAATAAGTAACGAGATTTTTTATTTACTCAAGAGACGTTACTTGAAGATTAATAATTACTCCAATTTAAGGCAAGGATTTTGTCAGGATGAAATAGATGTAAAGACTCCATTCAATAGCATCTTCTCAAGGCAAATACCGCATCCATTTTCATCTCAGATTCAAAGAGCAAATATTTTTCCAAGCATCCAGACTCCTGTTTTAATTCAAACTCCTATCAACTATTACCCAAAACCTCAATCTACTCCTTATCTCTCGCAACCCTTGGTCAACTATGGATCTCCAATAGTTCAACATGCAATAAGCAAAGGTTTTCCAAGTAACCACGCTAACGGCTGTAGTTGCCAAACAAAAATAATTGAAATGTTGTTAGATAGATTAGTAGCATTAGAAAGACAAAGAAAACAACAGTCTTCCTGCAATTGCAATCAACTTTGCAGAAACACTCAAACAAGAATTTTACCCAGCAAAACACCAATTCTTCCAAATTCGTTACAGTTCAGAAACAGTCCGCAAAACTTAGGCCTAAAGAGCCCAAATGTGCCAAAAAAGCCGGTAAATAACCTGAATCTCCTCCACGACCTGCTTAAAAATTTTCCAATTTCCAAATACCCGAAAGAAAAAATGATGTATCAGAAATTTAAAGCGTTACTGCAAAACCCACAAATCCAAAACCTTGTGAAAAATATGGACTTATCCAAGTACAAACCAAGTGAAATTCTCTACATCATTATAACAACGGTTTTGCATACAATTAAAACTGAAGAAATTCAAGAAGTATTCGCTTTTTTCAAAACCTACAGAGAAGCAGCAAGAACAGGCTTTAATTTTGGTAACTTGTTAGATTTCTTACCACCACCGAAGAATTTAAAAGAGCAAAATTATCACAATATCACCAAACATTTGCTCCTCAGTAAGGGTCTATACAATTTAAAGTTGAGTCCCAACTTCCAACAAGCCACAAACTTGAGTGACAAATTAATAATCTTAATACAAGAACTATTGAAAACAAATACAATTTCTGGAGAAATTAGAGAAGCGCTTCAGTACTACTTGCCTGTTCTTGTAGGGAAACGAGCAAATATTCATTTTGAAAACCTGATACCTTTACTACCGACACCTGTGAATGATGTTGAAAAGAGACAACTAGATGTGTTGAAAAATCTTTTGGCAAGTAATGAATTGTATGTTTTGATGAAAAACTATAATTTGAATCACTTGACTCCGGCACAACTTTTACAAATGGTTTTGCACCACTTGGTCAATCATCATAGTGAATATTCAGACGCTGCATTGTATTCCAGAAACAAACTCGCAGTTGAAAAGTATGGATTTAATTATTACGACTTGCTAAATTTGATTCCTGTTACGCAAGAAAACCGGCCGTTCATCCAGTTGCTTAACAATTATTTCCATAGTCCTGAATTTGAAGCAATTTTAGCGAATCCTAACTTGAAAACCTTATCCAATATTGATAAGTTACTTTTGATTCTTGAAACCATTCAAAATACTTCTACTGATGCCAATATACTTAAAGCAGTAGCAAATGTTTTGGATGATGTGCGGCTGCAAGTCTTTTACCAAAACATGCAGCAGAAAATTATTAATCTAATTCCAGCCCCTAAAAACAACATTGAAAAAAGGCAATACGAAACTGTTAAAAGTTTCTTATTGAGCAAGAGAGCGTATCTAATGTTAGCTGCTATCGATTTAAGTGTCTTCCCAGATAATAAGCACCTTCTAGAATTTGTTTTTAAAACAGTTACGGATAGTAATTTAGAAGAAAATATTCGGGATGCTTTTGAATACTATCTAGATATAGCTCATAAACTGAAACCACTTGAGTTTGTAACGAAGAAAGAAATTAAGAAGAAATTCAAATTGACAGAAATCTTCACTGACACGTTGGATCTTAGAACACTGACAGTTCCACAAAAACGGGCTTTTAAGAACTTCTTTAAGTATATTTCAGAATTTAAACCTGATGCTATGTCGAAATTCGATTCCTGGGATCAAGCCAAAACTAGAGGAGAGTTTATGAAATTGCTTTTTAAGTATTTCTTAGATTCGTCTACAGTTCTTCCAGAAATTAAAGAAAGTATAAAAATTCTTAATCCTCTGGTCAAAATGGACGGCAAAGGAGCATTACCACCATAAAGTCACAAACACTCTGTTTTTCTTAAAGATTATTGTAATAAAGATAAAAAATAAATCTATTTAATTTTTTTTATTTATTATTGTAAAGATTTACTTTATTCTTTTTTTGAATCTCATACGCATTCCATTTGTTGAAATAAGGACCACTTGGGAAGCTACTTCTAGTTCGTGTCGGGGAATTGATGGTAAAATTTTATAAGTTCTCACGATTCGTGATATTACACTTAGCATCTCCAACATGGCAAATTTTTGCCCTGAAGTAGAACCAGAGTGACAAAAACATACACTTAAATACTCATACCCATGCAGTTTCTTGGTCCTGCACCAAAAGGTACAAATGCAAAAGGCATTTTCCCATTGATAGTTTCAAACCGACTAGGTTTGAATTTTTCCGGGTCTGTAAAATATTCCGGATTTCTATGTAAAGCATAGATAAATAAAGTGATGGTAAGCCCTTTTGGTAAGATTTTGTCTTCAAAAACAACGTCCTTGTCCAGTTCTCTTGAAAAGAAGGGTCCAACAGGGTATAGCCTGAGTGTTTCTTTAATAACGTGTTCAAGATATTTCATTTTTTTTAAATCTTGGAATGTAACAGCTCGGTCTATGTCGTTTCCAAAAATTTCTTTTTGTTCGATAAAAACCCTTTTCTAAATAAAATCGAAAATATTAAAATTCGTAATTCGTATTATGCTTACTTGTTCTTCGGAATGATTTGCCAAGCAAAATAAAGCAAAGCTTATAGTAGACGCTGTTGTATCATGTCCCTGGAAAAATGATAAAAGTATTGTATTTTTTATAGTTTCGACTAAGTTTACCGCAAACATAAAAGTGTCTACTTCTTCTCGAATTTCTTCCAGTGTTAATTGTTGTTCATTACCGTTATTAGCTTCTAGAAGCAGATCCAGAAAGGTTTTCTTCTTCTTTTGCTCAGTCTCTCTCGTATTCATTGCAGATTGGCGACGTTTAATTACATCTCTAGTATACGAATGGATTACATTCAAAGCTTTCATTTCTTTCTTGTAATCCTCAGTAAAAAAGTAAATAAAGTCGAACATTTTGTAAGGGGAAAAAATTCGACCCATTAAAGTATCCAACAAACTTTTAACACTTTGTACGTATTCTGAATCCATATTTTCTTGTGCATTTACTGATGTACCCATTGCAGCCTCTAATAATTACGACGTAACATTTTTTGACACTCAAATCTGCTCTCTTACCGCAAATGATATCAAAGGCACACAAATTAACAAAACTGTAAACGTTAACAGAGTCTTTATCCAAGTGTTTCTCAAGTTGCTTTGTCAAAATTTTGCCATTCTTTTCAAAAACGTCAACAAAATTTTCTAAAATTTGGAAATGAAATGTGGGAGTGATAATCTGCCGATGTTTTTTCCATTTTGCTCCATCTGAAGTTAGAAGACCTGTCCCCAACCAGCGATGAAAAATTTTGTAATCTACTGATTTTTTAATAATTTTCGCGTTTGATAAAATTACTTCGAAAAGTTTGTAATTTGATGTTAGGAGTAAATGCCGTATTGGACCTGGCCTAATGCGAACTATATCGCCATACTTGTTTGTGTAACTTAACAAAACGTCTAAAAATCCTAAAAAAATAAAATAATAGCCTTTGAAATTTAAGAATTCATAAAACTGGGCGCAGTTATTTAAATTTAGATTGTCTAAACACTAAGCAAATACACCAACACGTGCATGGTATTCCTCGCTCACACTGTAAAAATTTATGCGATTGACTAGAAATATGGCATTTGTAATAAGAACCAACATATACATATTTATGTAGTTAAAATACATACACATACATACCAGGTGAATAAAAAGTATGGAACCAAACGTTTTTTGCTTAAACTATTTATTTTTTGAATAAACTAATTGATGAGTGATAAAGTACTATAAAAATAAGATGATTTAACAAGAATAAAATTTTTCGAAATTTTCTATTGTTTTTGAGTTCTACAAAAAAAATATTTTTTTAAATGGCAACCCACCATAAAATCATTTTTCTCATAAAAGCTGTACTCTAAGGATTACAACTATCTACTTCATATTTAATTTTTTGAAAAAAAAAAAAATCACATAAATTGCAATTTTGACAAAAAAAATCGCATAACTCAAAAACAAAACAAAATTTCGTTCTGAAAATACGATCACATTTTTTATATTACTTTAATTTCTATTAAATATTATTTTCTGGAAGCAAATGATTAAAAATAAAACCGCTTGGTTCCATACTTTATATTAACCCTGTATGTATTTTTTACATAATTTTCATTTTTTTCAGAGATAAAAATTTTTTGTCATCTAGCAAGTAATAGAAGTAGAAGTATACCTACTATGTATTTATACCAACCTTTTCCTGAAACAAAATCCAGGGTATGACCCAAGATGGGAATTTGAGGAGGAGACGGATACTCCCACAGGTTTTTGTCAAAAACATAAACATATTTATAATAAAAATACAGTAACAAACACAAAAATAATATAAACAGTATCAGTAACACTGCCATTGTAGGTATTACCAGTAAATAAAATAAATGTTAGTCTAGACTAATCTAGATAACTGCAGCTACAATATTTATCATTTATCACTGCTGTACTTCCCGTCAGTGAATTTTATAAATACCTACATTTTTGTTTGACAAACTTGTTCGGAAGACTCAAGGCCAAAGTTGTAAAAAAAGAAATGACAACTGGAACCGCATATGCATATGTAGACGCATGCTGGTTGCTGGTTTTATAATTTTATGAAATAATTATAATTATGTGTCTTAAAATATAAGCAAACAAAATATGGCAAACATAAATATTAACCCATATCAACAAAACACTCCTAAATATCTTTAAAGGCTGATTATGATTAGGTCCTTTTTTTATTTGTGCGTGTAAATCAATTAATAATTGATATAAAAATAATAATAAAAACGTACCAGATAGGTATCTATCTCTTTTCAACATTTGTAAACGCCGCCAAATTTAACAAATTTTAACACTGAGTGGAAAGATAATAATAATAATTTCATAAGTAAAGAAAATTTTTTGTTGTTATTTCTCATAAAAAGAATTTGTCTATACCTCGCTCCTTTGACAACTTTTATCTTCATTTAGAACCAGAAAATAAGTTCGTTAAGTTAATAAACAAAAACATTTGCGTTTAAATATGATACCTAAACAGACCATGCACGCCAGAATTCCACCGCATATTATTAAATCAATTTAATTTCACGTAAGTGGGTCCCTAATTTGCGTAACTTAGGTCTTGTTATCCGCTCCATATACTAATAAAAGCTTACAAACGAATTGTAAATAGGGTCCATTTACTCACTAAACTTTGTCCTCGCAAGCATAATGTATTATGAGGTGCCTCCGAATTTTTACAAAAAGTTTAATAAGACTGATCCTTAATCACCCATACCATAGTGAATTTAACTACTACTGGCGTTTGACCTATAGTAATTAATAAAAAAATTATGGCGGAAACGGCTTTGGATGGAATCCTTTCGATGGATATGGGCGAAAGGGTTGTGGTGGTACCAGGAGTGGAAGATGTGGTGGCGACAATGCAACGTTTTGTGTGGCAAGACTATGTAATGTTTGTTATTATGTTGATGGTTTGTATGGTAATTGGGGTGTATTTCGGGTTTTATCACGCTTCGACTAACACACAAGAATATCTCATGGGGAGTAGGAATATGAAAATTTTTCCTATCACCATGTCGCTAATTGCAAGGTAAATTATTCTCTATCTTTAAAAACAAGCTTTTTTGTAATAAAAAACAAATATTATTCATTTTAATGTATTGTAGTTTCGTAAGTGGAATATCAATTTTGGGAATACCTACCGAAACCTATTTATTCGGAGTACAATACATTTATTGTCTGATAGGACTTGTGGTAATGTCATTAATAATGAATTACATTTATCTTCCTGTCTTTTATGGCTTAACTCTAACTTCAACCTACGAGGTAAAACCCATTTCAATTGAATTATACATTTTTAAACTCATTTTTTAGTATCTCGAAAGAAGATTTGATAAAAACGTTCGCTTATTTGGATCAGTTTTGTTTACAATTAATATGGTAAAATACATTTTTACGATACTAGTAACGTAAAATTTATTATTTTAGACAGCCTGGTTACCAATTGTGATCTACGTACCAGCGCTGGCCTTCAATCAAGGTATATTTATTTATTGAATAAGAAAATATTGCTTTTATAAATTAATATATTCAGGTTCTGGTTGAAGTTTGATTTTTTGATTGTATTTTTTTAGTACAAATAGTGTACAGGGTGCTGCATTTTGGATGTCCGAATAGGAAATCTACGAAACTAAGAGATTTAGGTAAAAACGAGTAATACATTCTGGAGCTCATTTTTTGAGAAAATAATATTGGTTAAAACCGCATCCCGCTATCGTCTTTTGTTTTCGACTTACAGACAAAAGTTGACATTTTGGCGAAATCTAAAAAAATTCATATCTTGGTTATTATAGAAGATACGGATTTGAAATAAAGACATTATACAGGCACTTTTTTACGAGGAATTTAACAATGTAGTTAATTTTTTTCAGTTATTAGTTTAGCCGTAATAAGGTAAACTTGTATTTTTTTAAATAGAAATCATCGGCGGCTATGGCAATTTCGAAAAGCTTATTTTTTTCTGATCTAAAAAATATATATTTGTAACAAAATATTTTTTTATAACTATACTTAAAAAGTGAAATACATATTTTGTGTGATAATAGTTGGCCATGGAAAAACTATTTCACTCCAAATATGTAAATAATAATCAATAAGAGTTTTGTGAACTGTAAAATAGATGAAAAAATAGATAGAATTATAAAGATTTAAAAAATACGATACGGTAGAAGCATTGAACAAATAAATATCCGAGCGCCTCAGAACAAAATTATTACATATTTTTAAAAAATCCAAAAATAGGAAAAACAAATGTGTCAACAGTCAATACAATTACAAAAAACATTTTTTTGATGATCTAATGGAGGTAGGATAACGTTTCACATAGACGGAATTTGGGTATTTGAATAGCCATATCGTCATTTTTGTGTTATATAAAATATATTTTATTAAAGAATTAAAGCGGCTTTTTTTTACAACACTCTATGTATCACTAGAAGTTGCAATGGTAATGTTACCTTGTTTAAAAACAAAGAAATGTTATTAGTCGCCAATAAGTTGATTTACGATTTATTTTTCATTTTTTTCATTACTTAGTATTTAGAAAACTCTTTCATTAGTGACACTGGTTGAATAATATAGTTTAAATCCTTTTAGTTGAAGATGCAACATTTTTTCATGGCCAACTGAGAACAAAAATCAAAGATAATTTTTTGCTAAAAATGTATTATCATAATTTGTTACAAATATATATTTTTAGATAAGAAAAAAACAAGCTTTTTAAAAATGACAAAGCCATCTATGATTCCTATTTAAAAAAATACAAGTTTATTTTATTACGGCTAAACAAACAACTGAAAAAAATTGTTAACTACATTATCAAATTCTACGTAAAAAAGTGTCTGTATAATGTTTTTATTTCAAATCTGGGTCTTCTATAACAACGAAGATATGATTTTTTTTAGATTTCGCTATAATGTCAATTTTTGTCTATAAGTCGAAAACAAAAGACGATAGCGGGATACGGTTTTTACCAATATTATTTTCTCAAAAAATGAGCCCCAGAATGTATTACTCGTTTTTACCTAAACCTCTTAGTTTCGGAGATTTCCTATTCGGACATCCAAAATGCAGCACCCTGTACACCACTTGTAACTAAATTATTTTGTAGTTACCGGAGTTAACGTCCACTTTATAACACCCATACTATGCATTATTTGTATTTTTTACACATCGCTGGTAAATTCATAACTTTCATGTCAGACCTTATTCTATCGGAATATTATTTCAAGGGCGGTCTGAAAGCTGTTGTTTGGACCGATGTGATACAAGCTGTAATTATGTTTGGAGCTATGCTTTTGGTTGCAATAAAAGGAACTCTAGACATTGGCGGTTTAGATGATGTAATAAAACGTAGTCTAGAAAGTGGACGCATTGAAGGGCCAGAGTAAAACAATTACTTTTTTCTAATTTTCTAATAAAAAAATTAGTCTAGATTTTAGTCTTTCAATGAGATATACCTTCTGGTCATTAACAATAGGAGGATGTTTTTATTTTCTTCAAGTAGCAGCCATTAATCAAAATATGATTCAGCGGTATTTGGCTTTACCTTCACTTAAATGTGCCAAAAAGTAAATCATCGTTTAAAGTTTCGAAAGAGTTAATTTCTAATTTTAGAGCGGTCTGGTTTTTTGCTTTGGGATTATCTGCAATTGTTCTCGTTTGCAGCTATTGTGGAATTTTGATTTATGCCACTTTTTACAATTGCGATCCTTTAACAACAAAAGTATACCAAAGCCAGTTTTTACATATTTGTGAATATTTTTTTTCAGCTTGCAAGAGAAAAAGATCAACTTATGCCCCTTCTCGTCATGCAAGTTTTGGGGGAATATCCTGGACTTTCAGGAATTTTTGTTGCAGGAATATTAAGTGCATCTTTGAGGTACGACAGTGTTTTACTTCTTTACAAAGAAGATAAACGTTATTTCAGCTCTTTATCAACCGGTCTTAATGCAATGGCTGCTGTAATTCTCGAAGACTTTTATCATTTCTTCTGCACTAAAAAACTGACAGAAGAGCAATCTTCCGTTTTGATGAAATTAACAGTAATTATATTTGGGGCGATTTATGTCGGTTTAGTTTACATAATTGAACACCTTGGAGCTGTTTTACAAGTATTTAAATACGAGTAAATATTTTGAAATACTATTTTTTTTTTGAAACTTTTTATAGATAAGCATGAGTATTGGTTCTATTGCAAGCGGACCGTCTCTAGGTATGTTTACAATGGGAATACTCATACCGTGGGTGAATGCCAAAGTATTTATTCTCTCAAACTGCTCTACATTTATATTTTTAATTAAAACAATTTAGGGTGCTTTAATTGGAGGAACATCATCTTTAATTTTTATGAGTTGGATTGGCTTCCAAGCCCAGGCTTCTATAGCCGCTGGTGATTTATCATTTCCTGAAAAGCCCTTGACGACTGACGGCTGTCATTATCATTTTATTCCTAAACAATCTGTTGCAGTTAATATTCATATCAACGCTACTGATTTTGTGCATCCTGAGTAAGACTAATTTGACAATAAGTATGATAGATAAGAATATATTTCAGAGAAAAGTTTATACTGCATCATGTTTCGTATTTATGGTACACTTTAATGGGAACTTTCGTTTCGGTCATTATTGGTTTATCAGCAAGTTTTATTACAAAACCTTTGGATCCACGTGACGTCGATCCGGCGCTGTTAGCTCCGATTCTTAAAAAAATTATAAAGCCAAGAGAGTTTCCAAATGAACCTGGAGATGGCATAATTTATGCTTATGATTCACCTGATGTATAAACAATTTTTTTTAATAATAATAATTTGTCTAAGGTGATTTTCATTACAGAGAAAAAATGTGCCATTACAAACAATTTCCCAACCGGAATAAATTAAACACAACTAATAAAACTATACAAAACTCATTTGTAATTGTCTAAAATGATTCACTATCTAAGAGTTAATTTTGTAAATAAGTATGTAATAAAACGCAAAATGTGAATTTTCATGCCGTGTTTTATTTAATTATCTAGTAATTATTTGTTTGCATTGAAGTCAGATAACTTCTGGTCTTCTCTTACAAATATAATCCATTAAAACTTTAAATGAAAGTAATTTCGTTTATAATGTATTTCAGAATTAATTTCTACATTTTAAAATACATTTATTACTTCTAAAACTTTCAACTTTTAATTATAAAATTTACTCTAATAATAACCGTAATAATGAAATAGATAGTCAGTTTAATCAAAACAACTTTTACCAAATTTTTTTACAAATTACAGATGTTTGTTTAAGAATTAAATTTAGCCGACAATATATGTATTTAGATTTTTGCTTATATCTTATAGGATATTTTTACATATAAATTTTTGTTGTGTTTAGGGGTTATTATAACGGAAATTTGACTATTTCCGTTATTATTTCCGTTGAATAATATTAAAGCAAATAATATAATTTATTATAAAAGCAGAAAAAAATAATTTCTTGATTTTTTTTTATATTTATATTATATTAATTTTATACTTTTTGTACAGGATATTCTACAATAATAATTAAAACAAATTATTAAAATCTTAAAATCCATGTTATTTTTAAATGTAATGTTGGTTGCTTCAAAAAATTATAGGTTCCTTATTTCTCTTGGGACAGTCTATATTTTCGAAAAAAAATCAAGAAGTAAAATTATTTTTGATTGCTTATGCAACCAGTAAAACACAGGTATGTTAGCCATAGAGTTTTATATCTGGAGAATTATAAAACAACAGTAGTTTAATCAAAAGCTCAGATTATATGTAAACAGCAATGATGTTAATAACAAAAATTTATAACTTTTAACTGAGACAAAGTTCATAATTTTGAAAGTGCAACGCTGCCCTCTAGCAGTTAATTTCAAGTAGAAATCTGTAATAAAAATCTCACTGACATTGTCATTTTTGTCAAAAACAGCTGTTTCTCGCACCCAGGATCTAAAAATAATTTTCGTTGATATAAAAAATTTGTAAAGTGATAAGTGCCATAATCAAATGTAACCTTATTCAATATACAAGTGTAGTAGTGTAATCGTGTCCTTATTATCACTGAATAATTTATAAAATAATTATATACACACCGCCGGTGGAATAATCAATAAGGTTAGTTTACTTTTGACACAGTCACAACTGGTCGATAAATTATTTATTTTTTGTATAAAAAGCTAATTTATAAATGAGTGGTACGGTTGGAATTATTTTCCATAATTTGTCAAGTTAGTAAAAAATTTATTTGGGCGACCTTGGCTTGCAATAAATGCAAATTGCAAAATACGTCGGTATTTTAAAAATTGAACATGCTTATATTAAATTCATATTATGTAACGTAGGTGTGAGTGTTGTGGCACACAACCAAGATATCTCACAAAATTAATCACATAGTTGCAAACCACTTGTTACGGGTAGGAGATTTATTTATATTTTTTTTATTTCTTCTGTGCAGTTCACTCTGTCCTAGTTTCCAATTAGGACAGTTTATTTTTTTATTACTTTAGTGCGGTTCCAAATTAAATATTGTGTTACTACTGTTATCGGAAAATTAAGATTTGTACCAAAGGTATTACGTATTTTATTTAGATTTGTATTTATTTTTTTGTTTTTTATCTTTAAACACCATAAATACTTATTTATTGTTTTCTAACAAAATTATATTTTCGTCTATTTTTTTGAGTTCAGCAACTTGTGTATTTATTTTTTAGATCAACATTTTGTCAGAACATTTAATTTCTGTGGAAACCGCTTCTTCTCACTAAGAAAGAATATTACCAGATTCTTGTTGGTTTATTAAAAAAAGAATTTATTACCCATTATGACATGCTGTTTACCAAACAAGACTTATCTTTTGCAAATTAAGAAGGTCAAAATTGTAAAAAAGTTGCAGAAACTCGTATGAAACGTCAGTTGTGAAATGTCTGATCCGAATCACTCAAATCTCACATTTCCAAATCATCAGTAATAAAAACGTGACCTGACACAAGTATTGTGTTTTGCACTTTATCAATTAACAGTGTTTAATAGTTTGTCTTAGCAACTGATATTGTATGAAATATTTATTGTTCGTAACTAATTCCGTGTTGTGTGATTTAAGTGTTGTGGTTGTTTTTAGGGTCGTCTTTTTAGTGGAGAGTGTTCAATGGGCGAAAAACAACAATTTGCGTAAGTTTCCATTCTCACTAATTTTCATGTTCCTTATTTACCTACCTGTCAAATTGCGATCACATTAGCACAGCTGTGAATTAATCGAGTCAATATTGTTTCAGACTCCTTCCGAAAATAATCAATGGAGGTATCGCAGGTATTATTGGCGTCTCTTGTGTGTTTCCACTCGATCTCGTTAAAACCAGACTGCAGAATCAACAAATTGGGCCTAATGGGGAACGGATGTACAAATCGATGTTCGTAATTTGCGTAAATTGACACCGGTTGTTTATTTATTGTTGTTGCTTTAGGTTTGATTGTTTCAAGAAAACGTACAAGGCTGAAGGGTATTTCGGGATGTATCGAGGGTCGGCGGTAAATATTCTATTAATTACGCCGGAAAAAGCCATCAAGTTAGCTGCCAATGATTTCTTCCGTCATCATTTACAAACCAAAGAAGGGTAAAGTGTGAATATTTTGTTACTACCTGACATGGAATGCAATCTAAAAAATTCCATTGAACTTACGATGTGTTGGGAGTCGTGTGATGAAAAGATTTATCAATAAGTGATAACTTTAAAGGTTTTAAAACATGCAATCTTTTATCGTTAAATTATTGTGGTGATAAAATTATTTTAATAGTTTCTTATCAGCTATAAGCTAATAATAACACAAAATTCTATAAAAATATAAAATAATGTAAAAATTATTTTTACTAAATTTTACCAGTCCAATAAATTCCAATTCTAATTTAAGGTATTACAAGTACCTAATTTTAACTATCACTGTAAGATAAAGAATAATTTCAGATATGTATATTGACGAAATTACTTCGCAAAATTTATTGCCTAATGAAACCTGATTGTGTCCTCTACGGAATATTTTTTATATTCACATACTTTTTAGACAATTGGTACTGTAAATTAAATAGTAAATAGTTAAAATAATTTTAAATTTGTTTTTTTTATAAATGTGCTCTAAATTACAAATATAATTTTTTTACCATTTTATTATCGTATTTATTAAGTTAGTTATTGGGAAATCATATTTTTGAGAGATTAGTCTTTACACTGGTTGAAAATATGTTTTTATCATAATTAGTCTATTTGAAGAATTGGAGAAACTGAGACTATTAAATTACTTTTCTTTTTGTATTTTTCACAAACAGGCAAGAAATTTTAATTTAAGTCGTTAAATTTTCTCTTGTTCTAAAGTGCCCCTTTGTAGCACCCTTCCAATGTTGCGCCAAATGGCAGCGGGCGGGTTAGCAGGCTTCTGCCAAATAATTATAACAACCCCCATGGAGCTTCTAAAAATCCAAATGCAAGACGCTGGAAGGGTAGCAGCAGCAGCCAAAAGCGGTAATTCACCCAAAATCAGTTTGAACAATTCCAAATCACGTGCATTTTAGCGGGCAAAGTAGTTCCTAAGACCACCGCTACGAAAATAGCATTAGAATTATTTAAAAAACACGGGATATTAGGGTTATACAAAGGTATCGGAGCAACAATGCTGAGAGACGTTTCGTTCTCGATAGTGTACTTCCCCCTCTTTGCAACTTTAAATGATTTGGGGCCTAGAAAAAGCGACGGTTCTGGTAAAAAAAGTACATTTTCAATTGTGGGAAATGTGACAGTGGTGTCGTAGGTGAGGCGGTTTTCTGGTGTTCATTCCTGTCGGGATGTGCAGCAGGATCGTTCGCAGCCCTTTTTGTAAATCCGTTTGATGTGGTCAAGACTCGGCTTCAGGCTCTTACTAAAGCAGAGGGCGAAAGGGCTTATAGTGGGATTACCGATGCAATAATGTAATTTATGTCGGAGCGTAAAAAAATGGATTAATTGTTTTTCTTTTAGCAAAACATTGAAATACGAGGGTCCTCTAGCATTTTTCAAAGGTGGGGCTTGCAGGATGATTGTAATAGCACCTCTGTTCGGTATTGCTCAAATGGTTTACTATCTAGGCGTTGCCGAAGCACTTTTAGGTATTAAACGTTAAGAAAATATTTGTCAATTTGATGTAGCAATTTTTTAAGTAATAATCGTCAATTTATTGTTTACCTCTTGATTATATAATTTTTTCGGATTATTTAATTTTTGGTTCGTTATAGAACCTGTTGTTATTTAAATAGAAAAACATGAACACTGTCCTAAGTCTTGCCTAAAACCAAAACATAGTCAATTAGGGTTTGAGGGAAGGATTGTTTTATTCAATAATTTGTTTTTATAGGAATGTTATGACAGCAGTAATTTTTAATTCAGTATTAAATATGCGATCCGTTGCGTTGTCCTAGTTGCATTTTTTATTTTTTTTTTGCAGCAATATTTTTAATATTTTTAGTACTCTCTGTTTACGTTTTTACTCATAAACTTAACGAAAGAATTTTTTTTAATTTGTAACATTTTAAACTGAGGCCTGACAAATTCCACAATTCTTAAATCTAGTCAGCTTGAGTAATTAAAAAGTTACAAATCAACAAAACGAAAAACTTCTTTCGTTAAATTTAATCGAGTGTTTTTGCTTTAATTTTCTACAAAGATTCGTGCTGTTACCTAGTGAACGACAATATAAAATTTTAGCTTATAGATTTAGATAGAGACCTACCGTTGGCTTAAAATTCTAAAAACAAATATATCACCAAAATGGAAGTAATATTTATTGTTAAGTAATTTTCTCCAGTTAATCTTTTATTTTTATATTCAGTTTTCCCAGAAATGATATTAAAGTACAACTTGTTTTAAGTAGTTGTTCGTTGTTGTAAAAACCGATTGTGTGGAGTTCATTTATTTTTAAGACAACTTTTGAAATGTTCATACAGTCGGTTATAATTCCTCTGTGTAAGTTCAAATATTGTAAGTCAAGAAATAAAGATGCTGTAGAAAGACTTAATTTGTGTTTACTTGCGTTCTAAAAATCGTAAAAAAATATTTTAATCTAATTACAATCCAGACAGCTGTCTAAATCAATAAATTTGCATTAGAAATGTGATACTGTTTTTACTAGAGCTGTAACTGAAACCTTTTCACTAAAACTCGTCAGGGCGTAAACAGTCACTTTCAGTGCCAGCATGGAACTGTCCGAACGCAATTTATTATTAGACCACACATCAACTAAAAATTCCAACAATAAACTATCTGTGATTTTTGCAATTGTATGCATTGTGGATGTTTTTGGAGTTTTTCCAGTAATAACATTACCAAAAGCAATAATCGATTCTGGTATGTATTTCTTTGTCTTTCGAGTCAAATCGAATAATTTTTAAGGCTTTTACGGCGGAATTATAATATGCATAGTGTGTTCCATCCAAATATACACAGCGATTTTACTAGGGAAAAGCTGGATAATTGCAGAAAAAATAGACATGTCAGTTAAAACCAAAAACAGGTACCCCTACTCAGCTTTAGCGGAAATCACATACGGCACCACTTTCTCAAATTTCGTTTCGTTTCTTGTAAATGTTACCATTTTTGGGGGCGGAATACCCAATTTAATCGTTGGTAAGTTTTCCCAAAGTCTATTTCAAATGGAAAAGCCTTTTGTAGCCTCTCAAAATATCGAACTTTTGGGCTTGAGACTAAGTAGTGGCACATTTGATGTTTCATTTTGTTATTGGATTATTATAATTGGAATGATTTTGTGTCCAGTTTTGTGGTTGGGGAGCCCTAAGGATATGAAGTATAACTTGTTAATGTTAAAATAAAAAAACAAATTGTTGATTTTTAGATTACTTTGCACCATTTCTGTTGCTAACGTGGTTATAGTTTTCCTTCTAGTAACCGGATGCTTACTTTTTAGTACTCGAGCCTCAAGTAATAGCAGTGACAATACTTTTCAACCAGAGCAGTCTTTCTGGGAGTTAATTTTTATCTGTTATGGGATTATATCATTCCAATTTGATATCCATCCAAGTATTTTAACAATTCAAGTCGATATGAAGGAAAAATCGAAGCTCAATAGTGCCGTACTTGGTGGTTTTACAAGTAAATGACTTAAACATTGTACTCTGAGTCAACTCTTGGTTTAGTTTCTTTAGGGATGTTTTTTGTTGTTACTGCAATCGCCGCAAGCAAGTATGGCTTATCAGTTAAACCAAGTCTCTTGGAGACATTGCCAACAACAATCCCTTTACATTTCGCTGCCCTTTTTGTCGCACTTCAACTCTGTTTATCTTCAGCGGTTAGTAACAGTGCCCTTTATCAATATATGGAGGATTGTATGAGTATACCACGAGGCAAAGCCAGTTTTTTATAGCTGTAGCACACTAATAAAACAATCTTGCAGCTTTTAATCACCGTCGCTGCGTTTTGAGAACAACACTAACATTTTTAGCTGTTTTAATAGCCGAATCTGTGCCTCGCTTTGACCTTGTTATGTCACTAATTGGAGGAACTTTAACTGGCCCTTTGATTTTCATATTCCCTCCTTTATTCTATTTGAGAATGTTATCAATGGAAGACAAACACATGAAGCAAGTAGCGATGGAAACTTTCACCAGTATTGTTTACAATACGGAAGAAGAAATCAATACGATTTTGACGAGTAGAGATTTGAGTCAATTTGAAAGTAGAAGTGTTTTAGGTGCAAAACTTGATGTTTATTGTTGTGTAACAATAATAGCTTTTAGTACTATCTGCACTTTAGTTACGACTTATGTGAACATAAAAAATGCGATTGCTTTTGCCAATTTTTCACAACCCTGTATTTTTAATGTTTCTTCAGCGTTGATAAGTTTGTAATAATAATAAAAAGCCTTTTTGTTCTAAAATTTTATTTATAAACGTTACTACAACTCGGATTCCTGTTATAAATTATTATAAATAAGTAGATACACATCGTGCGTTTGTAAAAATGATTGAAAAGTACATTTCTCAGTCCGTACCTAATTAAATATCACTCTGTAATACAATCTAAGCCTATTTAGAAATCAAACAAGAAAAACCCTCCAAAACTGGGCGAAGTCGGCCTCTGGGGGAATAATACTTTATTCACGGTGTGCAGCACACCATTCGTAGCTAAATTATCACAGCTTGTAACAACAGCCCTTCCAATACGTATTTGGTGACTTCCAGTCCTTCCCACTTGATGGTGCTGTCTTGTCATTGTCGGGACCAATGTATTGAAACCCCACGATTGGGGCCCAACGCCCGAACAACATAGAACTTCCGTCAAAATGTGGTTTTTCAACACGGTTGTGGCCTTCTCCTTGTCTTCTTTGAGTGTCTTCAAGTCGGCTTCGTCGATTGCAGCAAGCGTCTCGTCAGTGGGTGCCAGGAAAGTGACAGAGCGATTGTTTTCCTGCAGGATTTTCTCAACTTCCGTTCCTTTGATTATTTTACTCAAAGTGCTATATTTCGAATCGGCGTTAATCAGGTCAAGGATGGTCTGGGTTGGAGGTAGGAGAACCTTGCTGACTTCATGGATCACCGAGCCGCAGGATTTTTCGTCGAAACCGACGATCTTAGCGCAGTTTATGGTCCCCCTGTTTATAACGTTGGTAAACAAAGGCAACGTTGAATATAAATTGAGTCGTAATTCCTTATCATGATCGTTTGTTTTTAAGAGGGCATTATTATTCATGTCGCAGGATTGCAGCTGTCCTGTAAGAGTATGATACAGGATCAAATCCCTCAATTTCTCCTTATCTCCCTTAATCTCCTCTAACAATTTGACGACTTTGGGGTCCTCGAAAGCCTCATTTGAGGGAGCAAAAACTGTGGCATTATTCAGATTATCAATATCTTCCACAAAACCGGCTTGTTCGATCAATTCGCTAAATTTGGTCAAATTTTCATTTTTCAAAGCTGCATTGATATGGAGAGCCGAGTCAGGGATTAAAACAGTATCAATTAAATGGATAACACCATTGATGGCCATGATATCAGTTTCGACCATTTTAGCCTTCTCCTCCAGGATAAGCTGATCGTCGGATGTTCTCTCCAAGTTGAGGATCTCCCCTTCGATATTATGAGTCGTGGCATTGCCCATAATAGCCGCAGAACAGACAGTATGAGCCGTCACGTGATGCTTGAGAATACTAACAGCACAAGCATCCCCTCGGAGCAACTTTTGCTTAGCTGCGGGTTCGAGTTTGTTGAAGGCTTCATCAGTGGGGGCGAAAATGGTATAGTGGCCGTTTAGTCGTAAATTCTTGAAGGAATCGGTGCTTTCGAGAACCTTCCGGAAGTTGGACAGTTTCTTATGCTCTTTGATGATATCTTCAATGCTTTGCGTGGCCGGTGTGGCAACTCCATCGATCAGATATGCGATTCCGTTACTAGCGAGATTGTTCGGCTTAGTGATTTTAGCGCAATTGACCGTGACCATCTTCTCGTGATTCTGAGTCGGATACGTGTTGATCCTGATCGAGCTGTTTTTATTTTCGCTGAAACCGCAACGGTGGAGAAAAATGTGATGATGGTAGAGGAGCACTTACCTGTAAATTATGTCTTCATTGGAATAATCCGTTAGGTCGACGAAGCCGGCAACGGCGTGACTGAGGACGAGATCGTTGTTCGAGAGAGCGTTCTTTGCGTCACCTCGCAAATCCACGTTGTTCTGCAATTGGAAAATTATAGCCAGTTATTGATTTGCAACCAGTTAAAAAATCGCTATAAAGCTTACCAATTCTAACATTTTCTCGTTGAAGTCGTTGAGGGCCGCATCAGTGGGTACAAAGACCGTGTAGTTGTTATTTTTAAAGGTCTCCTCCAAGCCGGTGCTTTGGATCAAGTTGCGGAAGACTTTGGCGTCCAAATCGCTGATGGTGTCTAAGAGAGGTTTCAATTCGAGTTGTTTCTCGCATCCGGAGCCCCCTTTTGTACGCACAAATCCATAACAACACTTGTAACGGACCGTGAAGGTTTTCACGACGCCGTGATTGTTAATTCTGCAAAGACACTTAAAATGTGTGCTTAATTACTTTAATTTTACTTACTTTGTGACACATTCGTATTTGTTAGCCGACTGGCGGCAACTGGACAAGCTAATGGCGGTAGAGAAAAAGTTGGGGACTTTTTCGTTCTCAGCTTCAGTTTCGTTCTTCTTCGATTCGAGTGGGTCTTCCTCGTCTTCGTCATCATCGGCTGATTCTTCACGTTCGATACACACATTAGGGCTGAAATTCGAAACAGACCGTAAATAATCAATTTGTGTCACTATTAAACCGTGAAATCATTAATTATGGTCATTTTCCTGTTTGACTTAGTGACAGGAAAGATCGAAGTCAGCGACAAGAAAGTCAGTTTGAGGTCACCTCTTCACTTCGAATCTTTGGTTTTTGCTCTTGATGAACTTTCTAGAGTGTTCTAACTGTAATGTGATAAACGCAAACAATAACTTAGCGGATGACTCAGTTAAAATTAACTCGATCAAAATAAATTGGCTTCTAGAAGAGGAGCTATTATACAATCAATCCCAGCAAAGGACGTTGTAATAGTGCGATTTAATTTCCTGCCTGTAATTAGCCTTTAGCAAAATTCAATGCAAAGGAACAGTAAAAAATTTGCATGAATTTTAAACATGACTTAATTCATTCCCCTTTGCAAAAACAGGATTCAAGGAAAAACATCTCGAAATGAACCAAATCTGTACCTATTAATCCATGAAAACGGCGTCCTTGTTGTGGTAAAAGCTACGTTTAAAAATAATAATTCCAATCAAGGATAAGTAGAATTAATTTCCAAACCATTCACAACATTTTGATGCACCGTTTGCTACATTTTACACCTCACACGCTAATTTTTTCTACAATTAGACAATCACCAGGTTCACCGACCTCTCCTCATTAACTTAGTCTACATATTAAACCGATCGCAACCTACTTTTTGTTTATTATATTTTGATGAGCAAGCAAATAGCTCAAAATTTCTGTTTTGTAGAAAGTTAGAAACTCAATTGCACACTCGAAATAGAAATGTCATAATCAAAACTTTCCAAAAATTGACCCACAAACTTACCCTTTCCACCACGGCTTTAGCTCCGAAACTGAACCGAAGAATCCCCCGAGTCCGAAGAGTCCACCCCCGACGGGTGAGTGTGCTCCGCCCCCGAAGGAGGAAAAGCCGAAATCGGCTTCAGGGAAAGTCGGGAGTTGGGGACTCCCGACGGCGTCAATGTCCACGACGCCTCCGGGGATCACCGAGGGGTTGTAGGAGGAGGGTTTTTGGGTTTTGGGCTTGAGGACGGGCTTCTCCTCGGTGCCGGAAGTGGCAGGGTCCTGATAATTGGGGCTCAGAGGCTCACGATCTCGCTCGGTGATTTCCTCAACATCTCTTTCACGAGGAAACAAATTGTGTCGACTGTGCCAGTTCCATGACTCGGAGAAAGGGTCAACAAAATGAAATTCGCTGCAAAAGATAAAGTGTGATTTGAGACGGTTTTAGCCTTGATAATGGTGACAAATGTTTTGGCTGCGTGAATCACGAAATGAATTATTTAAAAAGGAGATTTCTATCTTATTCTCTTGTGTTTATGATCACTGGCGTTAAATTAAATATGACAGAAACAAAATTGTTAACACTGTAAACCAATGGTGTTTATGACACTATTTACTCAAATACCGTTGCTCACACATAATATTTTACATGCCACCTTACCGTAAGTACGGTAATTACGGAAATTTACTGTTGTAGAAGGAAGTTAGCTAGAATTAACAGAAAATAATGATTTTTAGCTACGATTTAACAACGTTATATGAGAATGTATTTAGGAATATATCTCTCCAAAGTAACAAAATCTTCGGTCTTCACAAACAAGAAGCTCACCTTGAAGCATCGCACCCACATTTTTTAAAAAACTGTGGACAATATTTATTGTGGAAAGTTTGCTAAGCCGTTAAGCTGGTATGCAGTTAATAGCAAAATAAAGAAAGGATTTTAAAAAAGCAATAAAACCATGTTTTTCTTCAAAAATTTTGCTTGGACATCTCTGCTTCTTGGTTATGTAAGAATTACCATAAAAGACCCACCTTTAACTTTATTAAAATTAAGGAAGTGTCGCTCTTTAATTCAAAGACTATAAACAATCATTTAATCGTACCTACATTATAAAATAAATTCAAGATGCGAACTAGCTATTATTTAACTTTCTACATTGTTTACTTTTACATTATGCATTAGGTCTGGTGAATTAAAATTCTTAAAGTTTTTAAAACAAGATCTGATAGAAGACTTTTTTGTTTTTAAATATTTATTCAGTTATTAAAATCTGTGCTTGCACTATCACTGAAACAGGTAAAAAACAATAATTTGCAAAAATTGTCAAATATAAAAGTACTTTTTTTAATTAAAAAATACACCTTGCAGCACGCAATCTTGAGGACTTTTTCAAATTATTTCTCAAGTCTAATCACACATAATCCAATTAGAAGTTTATTATGCAACCAAAAAAGGAAATTATGATGTATGTGCATTCTCGTTCAATAAAAATTCACAAAAATGTACAAAACTCACCAAAAACTCTTGTAATGGAAACATTCTATTTACTTGTAAAATAATAATTATATTCTTTCCAATTTATATCTAAAAAGGTAAATTATTCTCTCAACAGCAGTTTCCAATAAACTACATATTTAACAAAATGTAAAGTAACAGTTTAAAAAATCTCTTTTCTTCAAGAAAGTCTTTAAACTGTTTAGTCTCTTAACCTTTGATTTGTATTTAGACATGGTGGTCATCTTATTTCTTACTACATTTTTGCAACAACAGAATAATTTCTTAACAATTTTCTTTATTTGAATCGCAAAATACTTTAAAACTAACACTCGATCGGCGGAACCAATTAAATTTTCGCAAGTTTACTACAAAAATACGTAATCCACCGGATGTAGTAAACTTGTAAATTCCCAAAGCTAGTTTCTTGAACAATACACACAAATTGATTGGTATCTCTTCGACAATTCTTGTGTTGTTTGTATTTTCATTGAGACTTCGTCCAAATATAGCTACTCCAGCTTCTTGAATAAGAAAACAAAAAAATTGCTTCAGGCTAATGATATTGATGATGTGCTAAAGTCCAGGCTAATAACACCCAATTATTGTATGTTTTTTTTTATTCTACAGAGTAAACGACCCAAGTTGCGGTTACCAACAATTTTCATAATTCTTATGAACACATTTTTTTTTACTATATTTCAAAATTTCGTCTTCAGACATGCTATTTATTCACCTTAAAACACCATTCATAATGTCATTGAAGCAAATTTGATTATTTTCAAATTATTTCGAAATAATTTTATAAAAAAAAAATTAGACCTTCAAATCATATTAATTATACAAATTAGTGATAGTTTAAATTAAAACTTACTCCCATATTATTTTAAGATATCAATCAGTGCATTAATTAATTCAAATTAAAAAATATATGACTCACAAAAGTGTCTCACGTTGATTTCGGCGACTATAATATTAGCGAACTTTTACAATTCCCATACCATAAACAGGTCATCTTCAAGAAATCTTACATAACATCAATAAAAATAAGAAAACAAAACCTTTCAAAATGCTTTCAAATCCGTGTCATACCTATTTACCTTTATCTTCTTATGCACATCCGGTATTATTTGTTTACGGATGGTTATCTCATATCTATAGTGACCATTACACGATTTTAACATTAAAATTGTGATTCACGACTTACTTACTTACTTGAAAAAACAAAGATGAAAAACAGTGAAAATTTGCAAGTGGTTTCAAGGTTATCGACAAAAATTAAGCTCCCGTCGCCAATTAAAGCTTTTGGAAAGGCGATTTGACACAAAAAAGACAATTCCGTGTTGCTAAATTGAGGCAATTTGAAACAAGGACTAATTAATAATTTTATTATTATTATAGAGAAAAAAATCTTTCAAAAACTGGTAAATTTTCCATAAGAACTGCCAAAAAACATGCATTACGTAAAGTTCAACTTTTTTAAAACATTATTTGTATTGCACTTCTGTGCCCTATTTGTTGACAAAAACTTACTTGAATCGTTGGCAACAAACGTAGGAGATGAAGATGCTCAAGACAAATGCTTTCTTCAGCATCGTGACAAGTCGCTTTGAAATCACTCTTGCAACACTCTTTTTTTGCTAAATCCACTTCGCGTTATTTTACAATTGACTGGAGTGTTTCTTCGGCATGGTGCTGTATATAAACGTTGTCGTAGGTGCTGGTGGGGAGTGGGTGCTCATCATCAGGGCCAATGATAACGACCGTTAGGTCAACTTTGTTTTATATTATTTATCTTCATCTGTACCAGTTGAAGAGCATCACTGGATGGTGAGATGGGACCATGGATAGTGGAACGATGAAAGTCGACCATCTTCCTATTCATACACATTCTAAGAATAGAGAAAAGTCCAGCTCCACTTCGGCGGAGATAAAATAAATTTACATTCTGGAATTTTCCCTGATGGATGGTCAACTAGTGGTTCTTCGGAACCGCTACTCATATCAACATCAACTGTTGCAGTCGTTAGAAATTTTTTATGTTATCATTATCAGAAATAATGAGCTTAAGTACCCACGTATAAGGCAAGGTGTAATTATGAAGAAAAAGAAGAATTATATTTTTTCGTTTTGTTTGAATTATAATTTTGTGTGGAAATGCTAATAAATATAATTGCCGCGCATAAACACTTCCATTCGTTACACTTCTTCCTCTTTAGAAACCCTATATAAGTTAATTTGCACGATTAGATAATGGGTAAATTTAGTCCAGAAAAATCTATTCTAGAATCTTGTTTATTTCTGTATTCAATGATTTGTTATCACAACTTTCTAGAACCGTATAGAAAGTTATTAATCACAGCAATAAACATGTGGCACCAAATAAAAAGTATTTATTTATCTATACCATTGTTGATTTTTTATGGAAAAATACAGCGTTTTTAAATTGCTGCAATGATGAGATTTTTCCGAGATTTCTGGGACACTAATAAGGAAGAGTTTACAAATGGTTAAATATCATATCCGACAATCAAAAGGTCAGAGATTGTAATTATTTTTTTTTAATTTAATGATTCATATTTAAGGTAAAAATAATGTGTATTGATTATGGTGATAGTAGGTAATGCTTAAGAAAACGTTCCACTTGCATAAATAATATCTAACAAACCCACTTGTAAAAATACAAGAAAATAAATTTTCTCCTTATGCAAAGATTTCGAACTCTGGCATGTTCTGACGGACTTTAATACTGAAATAGCCTCGAAATGACTTTAGTACGTCAACAAAACAGTGCGCATTTTATTTCAATCCAGTTCTAAATATCGTGTTTTTTTGTATAAGCAAGTGCAGGAAATTACAACAGTTAATTGTTAATTTGTTTATCACCTCGAGTGCTTCAGGCCAAATTTAGGTATAGGTTTATGCTAAAAATTAAGAGACCCTATTAAATTTGGCATTAAATAGGATATACCTTTTTAATTGCAAGACAATTAAAAATGCTGTAGCGCCCATTTTTTTCTATTAATAAATGCTTAATTCCAGACTTTCGAGACGTTTCGATGCCCCGGGCGATGTTTTGATTATTGCTATCTAAATAATGCAGAATGATAACAATAAAAGTTAACTGTTGTTATTATTTCTAATTAAATAAGAATTAGTATCTGTAGGTACGTGATAAATCGGTAACCGGGTGAACAGAACATATTTTCTGGATCATAGTCTAATTTATCGATGGATTAATAATTTACAATTAAAATGACACGTACGATAATTACTAATAATTATTATGCTAGTGTTGTTCTCTGGAAATTGTCTCTTTAGTCGTTTTAATAACAAAAAATGAAATTAATAGGAGAACTGGAAGAAATTTACGATGTTATCGTTTTAAATGAATAAGAAAAAAGGTCACGAATCATGTAATATTTTGAATTATAAAAAATAAAAATTTGCCATTTGTATTTTTTTTTAATAAGATGGACAATATTACATAATTTTTATTTACATAATTATCTAACAGTCAAGATAAAATGAATTTTTAAAATCCGAAAACTCGTTCCAGTCATCATTTCATAAAATATCCCTAATTGAAAAAAAAAACCGGAGAACATTATAAGAGATCAGTATTCTTGACATTGTACTGTAAACACTAACAAGTACTTTCATTCAATCATTTTCAATCTGGGAAGCAATTGGGGTGTGGTGTGGTTTTTTTCTGTAAAAATATGTACATATTTTTATGAAGCTTCAGCTTCAAAGAATTGTTTGTGATTTATTTGATTTTTCATTGTTCTAACTTTGCTTTGTTAAAGATGATCTAGATGAGTCAGTTAATTTCATGGAAACGACTCATTGAAATAAACTGTAAATTGCAATCTAGTCAAAGTGCAAATACAAACATTTTTTACGACTAATACATCTTTGTAGCTTATATAATCTGCAGGTTATTAGCCTTTGTTGTAGATGGAAACACTTTACTGATACAAAAAAAAATAGGTCAACATGATTTTTTATTAAAAATGTATATACACATTTAAGAAATCATTACACGTTTCTTAAGTGATATAAAGTTTATCATGTGTAACAATAATAAACGCATGATTCTAACACTATAAAATTTTCATATCTGTAAAAATAAATGAATAACAACTTATAATAAACGTAAAATCACCTTGCACTTAACGATTTAATTTTGAATTAATTCATTTCATTATGAGGCTTCAAAATAAGATATATTGAAAATTTTAACTGTTTCAAATTAAAATTTATGAAAAGGAAAGTGTAAACATTTTTAGGATGAATCATAATAAATTCATATGGAGTTTACTCAACTGCAAATTGTTGTTGAATCCCTATTTATTTTGTTTGTATAGACAAAAGCAGAATGATTTTATCTAACTTTAGTTTTTTTTTAATAAATTGATTTACGACTTAAAAAAACAGAATATTATAATGATATTATCAAAGAACATATCATAAATATTAATATTTCAGAAATGAATCATCATTGTTTCACTGTCCTTGGCCTTGGATAATCACGAAGAACGTATGTATAATGTACTAGTGGATCAAGAAAACCAGATGTCTAGTGTGAAATAATTTTAATTGCCAATTGAGCGGTATGTGAAAAAATTGATAAAAAAATTTAAAATGCATACCTACCCAAAAATTGGAATAATATGAAATATTCAGTTGCATTTTGCTTATTCAAAGGCTAGTAAAACATGAAACAGTTATATTTCTCTAATTTGTTATTTAGATGTATTTTTTGATGAGAGCGTGTATAGGTCACTAGAATTTCAAGTTGCAAATGTCGACGATAGTCCACTCAAAAAAAGACAAACCACAAATAAAAATAAATATATTGTAAAAACTAAATAAAAGAGAAGCAATGCCTTACATATCAGTCTCTTAATGTCAAATTAAGATTAATTAACTTTCAAATCGGCAAACTTTTGTCCTAAAATTTTCATTACATCGCCATGTTTCAAGTCAGGAGTTTTTACATTTGCATAATTTTCTTTAACAAACAATGCAAATCCTGACGGCTTCTTAGGTGTGGCAGGGACCGATTTAGTCTCACCTTTTTTACTAATTTTATTAATTAAGACCTCAAATGTTCCGTAGCAGTAACCACAACGTTTCTTTTCTGTATTTAACGATTTTGTATGTCGCCCAATACTGAAAAAACAGAATGATTAAAAAAACTAACTTTAGCAACGCCAAACACAAACCTGTAACCACAACCGGTGCATTTATAAGTATATTTAGTATTAATAACGTATTCGTGGCATCTTTTAATGGGAGGAAGTTCAGGAAAAGTCTTCATTGCACGACAAGCCCTACCAAAACAGCAATCAAAAATGCAACAAGACTAACTAAATAAATACCATGATTTCCAAAACGGACCATGCCCATCAGTTACTTGATTGACAATCCAAGTAGCTGCATGGCACATTTCGTGTATTAAAGTGTCTCTTAATCTATCAGCAGTGTCTAGAACTTTACTAGATAAAACTATAGTGGCGTGTCTTTCAATAGCACCCGTTCTTCTTGTGATTTTTCTGCAACGACAACACCCAGCTGTGCCCCTCATCCGGTCGCTCCACTCAATTTTCGTATCCTCTGGAAGGGATTTGTCAAAGACTTTTTCATTATACAAATGAAACAGTTTTTCAGTTAGTTTGTCTCTCTGTTGTTTAAAATTATTTCTAAAAATTAAAGCCGTCATGTCGCATTTTGTATTCGGAACACTTCCTACAATTCCCCAATTAAAATTTATTCAAATAATGACAATAAATTACCAGACAATGACGCTAAAAAACTATAAGTACCAACGTTTTCATTTTTCTCCTTCAGTAACTGCGTTTTTTTAGTTGGTGCTTTTTTTGGTACATCAGAATCAGATTCAGATGATGATTCGCTACTATCATCTTCAAAGGTTAATTTAACGTGAGGCATTTTATTTTCTTCCTCTGATTCTGTGTCAGAATCACAAATTTTTTTTATAGTTTGCATCCAAGGCGATTCTAAAGCTCTTCTAAATCGTGCTCTTTGTAAATCTTGTAATAAATTTGATTTCTTTCCTTCATCTAGTAGATTTGAAATTTTATTTTCACGTCTAAAAATTTCCACATTTATAATAGTAATCAAAATAAATTACTTTGAAAAAGTAACCTCTCAGTTTTAGGAACTGTTTTAGTAATTTTTGATTTAGGTTTCTTTAGTTTGGGTTCTGATGAAGGCAGAATATCTTCTTTTTTTTCCCTCCAACTGTTACCATATAAACTATCTAACAAGTTCTCATACTCTTGACAACCAGAAAGACCTACAATTTACAAAATTATTTTTGTTTAATTTTTGAACCATTACAGAACTCATACTTTTATCAGCAGGAGATTCAGTACTTAAACTTTCGTTTTGATTAATCCTTTCATTTTGACTTAACTGGGAAGAGTCAACTTTGGTCTTCTTTTTTGTATCACTTTGTAAGTTATTTTTACTGCTACCAATACCACAATTTTTTTTTCTAAGCCTTGAACTAAGGCTTTCATTCAACTGGAGAGAATCATCCAGTGTCATATTTTTAAAATCATTTTGGAAACTTTCGTCAGTTATCAAATTATTTTTATCGGAAGACTTTGTTCCAGATTTACCATCAATACTTTTAAAACTATTTTCCAGACTCTCACTTATCATACTATCATTCACCACCAAATCATTTCTGTCATCACAAGTTTCCTTTTCCTTATCATTAAAGCAGAGAGAACTTTTCTTTTTTCTCTTAAATAATTCATCAAAACGCAAATCACGCTCCAACATTGTTGAACTAGCAGCAACACTTGTTTCCGGTTTCTTAAAACCGGGATTATCATCTCCCATCACTGAAGACACCTCACTGTAACCAGAGACATTGTGTTTGGCTTTATTAACATCTTCAACCCAAAGTTCAATTTTATCGTATTTTTCTCTTGACAGTCTTTTATAACTTTGTCCTGGCGTTAAATTATCCTCTTTTTTATTGCCGCCTCTTTCGGGCGCAGTTTTATCAGGTGTTTTTTCAACAGTAAAAGAACTTTCACTGTCAGATATTACAATAGGAGATTCATTTGAAACATTGTCTTCTTCAGAGGAGCAACTGCTACTAGAGTCTACTACAATTATTGAATCATGTTTTATTGATCGTCTTAGGTGAGGTGCATTTAGCGATTTTCTAAAGTATTTTCTTAAAGCTAATTTGGTTGGAGCTACAACAACGCTTAACAATTATTTGAATTAAGTTTCTGTAGTACTTACGTTGTCGAATACACATATGCGTTTTATCAACTTTAGGAGACATGGTACTTAGCAGTTCGAAGGATTCGTTCATTGTAAAATACGCAAAATAATAAAAATATTAAATTTACTCACACAAAAATACACGCATACAAACAAAAACTATTTTAAAATGTGACAGGTGACAGATTGTTGACAAAGATGCGCACGCATAAACGCTCCTAGAGCTTTTATCGAATGTTCTTAAAATCGAATTTTTTTTATTACATTGTAAAATAATTTTAGAAACTTTTGAATAATGTTTTTGGTTACACTTATTTGTGTTACTAGAAGTTAATGTAAAAAAGGCTACAAATAATGAGACCAGCTTGTTAAAGATACTGGGGATATAGGCAACAAACTTTACATTACCCAGCGTTTTGGATATCAGTATCTATTTCGTTTATTAACCTTTCGGTTATTAACGTTTTATATAATCATTATTTAGTCCATAGTATTTTTTTAATAATAAATAGATGCATTATACTGGGGTATTATTAAAATGTGAGTTATCTACTGCTGCAACTAGCAATACAGCTATTATGTTATACTGTGAATCCAAGGATCATCAAATTTTTAAAAATTTTACTATTCTTGCTGTGAATCAACACAGCCCATGATACTGACCGTTATTAATTTTGCTCCTATCATATAAAAATGTCCTGAAACAAGGTCTAATGTATTTTTTCATTTTTTTTTAATAGTGAGTCATTTTTTTTATGTTTCCTGAGTCTTATTTTATAATTATAAAACATTATAATGTGGTTTAAAGCTGTTGGGAGAATTTTGAGACAGTCTGTAGAGTTGATGTTGACATTAATTTAATTTCCTAAACAAGATTATTACGGGTCAATCGTTATGCAAGTTTGGTCTGTTTGATAAATTGAGATTTCAGGTTTGTAAATACGCGTACTACTTAGAGAAACTAAGATAAGAAACTAAGAGAGCAAAAAAAAGTTAAAAAAATACGGTGACATATAGTATACCGTACAACAATAATTTTATGCAGTATTGCTTCAATTATATGAGTTGGAGAGAAACAGATATAACACGTGTTTTTTTTTAATTTTGGCATCAAAGCTATCTATGAAAATCTAATTGAACAAACCATCGTATTGAAAGTTATTATTATTGTTATACTGTATACAGAATGACACTATTTACTTTATAATTAAATTTACATAGAGCCACTAGTAAATAATATAAATAGAAATGCAACAATTGTTTTTATAAAAAGTGCATGTGATATTGATGGGTTTGTTTATATTTTTATGACATAAATTCTAATAATATCGTTCAAAGTCAATTATCGCAACATCACTGCAAAGTTCTGTCCAGCATATTACAACATAATAATAACTAGACGTCCTTCAATGTTTCTCTGATGAGGTTTACTGGTATTTATTTCTAATTAAAAGATATCATCTTTTATTTCATATACAAACATTGAAAATGAAGCTGAGTTTGAGTTTGTTTCTGCAATCGTTTTTTGTGTGCTTAACAATCGAAACCTTAGTTTCAGGTAAATTTTTTAATTAATTGCGGTAGAGAAAAATTCTTTAAATTGTCTTTAGGTGATAGCACTGACAGCAGTTGCGATATTTACGGAATTTTAATCTACGAGGACTTTGGATGCAAAGCTGAGTACGACAATGCGTCGAAATGTCCGTCACGTTTTTCTTGTAAAGGGCTAGAACCATCTAAGAGTCAGTGTTATTTTCGTGGAAAATCTTATCAAGATCGTGAACACGTCAATAGTAGTTTAACAAATCCTTCATGTGATGAGGGATGTTTTTGCAACACGAACGAAAACAGGCATCTTACAACAATATCAATGTCGTATTATCATTACTCAAGAATTATTTTTCAGGTCTTCTTTCACCTGTGCAATTTTAGATTGTCCTGAATGGCTGGGAGTACCTGTAAAATTTGGATGTTATAGAAATTACTCACTGGATCATTGCTGTTCAGTGGGAGAAATTTGTCGTAAGAATGATCCTATCCGTATAATTTACCTTCACAACAAATCTTTATTTTTCAGCTCCATTTGATGAAGATACAAAATGCGTAGTTAACGGCAAAGAATTTAAAGAGGGTGATAAGTTTTACCCTGATAACACATGTTTCGATTGCGTGTGTCGGAAAGGCTTTAATGGTAAGTTTGAAGAACCGTTTTGTCGCAGAAGATGGTGTGGTCAACAGCTTCGACAGACTGGAACCCACATTCAAGACTCTTGTGCCCCATACTACCGTGTAGAAACCGAGGGCGATCATGTTGTCTGTTGTCCGGATGACTGGATTTGTCGTAAAAAAGCAATCGTTATAACTATTTGTTTTTTATTTTGTATTGTTTTTAGCTGAAGGTTCTGAAGTTATTACAGGTGACGTCAAGTCAGGTAAAAAACAATGCGAATACTTTGTCTTTTTAAGAAGTTAAACCATTTTAGAACGCTCCTGCAAGTTCGGGGTTCAAGTAGTTAAAGTTGGACAGACCTTTGAAAAAAAGAATTTTACGGATAAATATGGAAGACATACTGACAAAGTAAAATGTGAATGCGTTATTCCACCTTTAGTAAAGTGCACAGGCACCTAAAAGTTTGACCACTTTAAGTATATTAAGTGAGAAAAAATATAGTTCTTAAAGTTATGTATGCCAAATTTTAAGAACAACAATAACAATACTGGGATTACATTAAATCTTATTATTTTTACTAATAATCTTTACAACATTATCATTATGAGATATTTTTTGTATTAATAAACTACATGTATGTGTTTTGTTTGTTAATTTCCTTCCTTATTCTAAACGTTTTTCACTAGGTATAGGTACCTATTTTTTTTCCAACACTCATATCTTATACTATTTCTGTGGTGGATTTAAGTTTACCTTTTATGTTACCGTTAATATGCACTCATCTATAAAATACGTCGTTAGTAAGATCGTTTTTTATAAGTACAGTTACGGAATTAAAATTTGTTACTTTAAAAAAATCATTGTAAACTATACCCTTTACTGTCATCATGGCTGAAATTTGACAATTAAACTTTTTTTTGTTGTTAAAATTGTTAATTAAACAATTTGTCTGTCTTAGGAAATTTATTAATTGAACTAAGTGTAATTAAATCATTGCTTTGATGTGCCGCTTACCTGTTATTATGCCACAAATCACTATTTTTAAAAGTAAATAAGTCAAAATGACATAAACATGGCAAGAGGAAAAAATAAGGTTGTTAATGTAAAGGTTGTTTTAGAGATTACATTATGAAAATGACAATACTGCCCGAAACTTTAATTCCGCAATTGTACATAATTTTATGTACACATATCTTGGCATTTTCTCGATTTTTACAAATTTTTTTAAAACAATTTTTGGATTTAGGTAGTAAAATCTTTGATCTTATATGTATTAATTAGTGTTAAAAAATTTTTTGAAGATAACACAAATTTTACAGTTTAAAACACTCTTGTTGTCTTAATAGCTATTAAATCCTCATGAATTTAATTTCCGTTGTTTAAAAAAAAAAAGATTCCATAAACGATTATTATCAAGCACGAGCTTGAAGTCTAATTTTTATACAGGGTGTTTCACACAACTTTACGAGGGTTGCGCCTAATGTACGCACTCAAATATACAAAAGTCACAAAAATACTGGAAACAAAAAATACACATATAATTAATGAATTTTTGGAAATCCATGACAGTAGTTGTCAAACCAATCACTGTTTTATTTATAGTCACAAACTGCTGTTTTTCAGACACAATTATCATTTGTTCTATCAAGAGTCGGCATGAATATGATTCTAGTTTGTCTACCTTAATCACTATCTAACTAAAAACGTTGTAATTTTCGAAAGGGTAAACAAACTAGAAAAGATTATCCACTTTTTCAAAATTTGTAATCGAGTTCGTATCGGTTATGTATTATTCATTGCATTTTACAGGCGCAGGCCTCGTAAGATTATGTGAAACAACCTGTGTACTAAAAAATATTCAACGAAAAAAACTATGATTGAATGGTTAATTAAAAACAATATACCTTTTGACCCATCCCAAAGAAAAATGGACTTATTGTGAAAAAGACAGACTAATTGAAGAAAGAGTAGATGAAATTATAAATCAATTAGAAGACTCAGAGAGTGACGATTTTGAATTTTCATCATCTTCGGATGAGGAAAGCTCAGAGAATGATTTAGAAAGCATACGTCCTTTATACGAAGCCGGTCCATCGTCTCGTTCCGACAATAATTAATTTGTCATCATTTAATTGAGATTAATTTTTTTTGATCCAAAGAATACCAAAGAATATTTTTGTTTAATTTAATTTATGTTTTATGTGTTTTTTATGTTTTTTATTGTTATGAATTTAATCTTTGTTTTAATATGATAATTTTTGAAACAGTTCCATACTTTAATATAAACGGTGTTTTTTTTAAATTTGGCGTCAAAGCTATCCATGAAAGTTCGATTGTGAACGAACTATTCTATTGAAAGTTATTAATCTGACATTTGACACATTGCCGGGCGTATTAAAATTGTGGTCCGTTCACAACACACTCATGTCACCGCCAACTATGACGCCAAATTTAAATAAACACCTTTTATAAGTTTTGCATTCGCCGCCTATGACTTTCGAGTTATCTGCTCCGCCCGTAGACTGCTTCTCCCTTTCCCCACCGCTCAACTTTGGGTGTACGCACAATACATAGCATTGATTAAAAGAGCTTTTTCATTTTCAAAATTCTTGAAATTTAAAATAAACACAGCTTTAATCAGATACTTTGTGATAGCGAGTTAACAGTAAGTTGTGCGAGAATTTTGCCTAATATTTCAAAACCGGCTTATATGTTGTAACCTACATACATGCGTTAAATTTTATAGTCATGGAGGGACTAGTAGTAAATTGATAACCCAGTTATTGGGGAAGGTCGTTCGTTACTATTCAAGCAAATTTTTGTTTATGCATTTTTTCCTTTATACCTTAACTGTAACAATATAGTTGCTTTATAAAATTATTGATAATGTATGTACACATGTATTCAAAAGAAAAGTGTATAACTGCTGTGCACAACTTTGGCACAATATTTTGTTAAAGTAAACGAGGGTTTTTTCGAACTGTTACTAACTCTTATCAGTTCTGTTGTCTGCGGAAGCATGACAATCAATGAAAAAAATAACTTGTGTGAAAGACTGAAATTTTTATTTAAAAGAAATCATAGGTCTGAAAATTATTTCATTTACACGATGAAATAGTAAGTGTACGCTTTTCTTTTAAATAGAAGTGTACCTTGATAAGAAGTAAGTTATAAAGATATCTATTCAAATATATACTTTGTAAAGTGTAGCAGAGAGTAATAAGCAATTTTAGTATACTACAAGAAATCATGTCGAAACAATCAAAGTCAGCAAGGATTCATCCCAAAGAAAAAGCAAATTTTGTATCTCATCTTCTATTTTTGTAAGTTATACACGTTTTAAGTTATTTTACGTGTGGATTTACAATTGTTTTAGATGGGAAATACCTATACTGTTCAAAGGGTATAAGAAGAAATACAATGAAAATGATCTTTTTAGTCCTCTTAAAACTGATCAATCTAAGATTCTTGGAGACAAACTTAAAAATGCGTGGAAAAATCAAATCGAAACTTCACAGAATAGTGAAGGTTTGCTCTGGAAAGCTCTAAGAAAAATATTTGGTTTAGAATTTGCTCTTTATGGTTTGATGTTAATAATTCTAGAATTGGCAAGGTATGCATAATCGATACACAGGAAACAAAATTATCCTCATGTTTTTAAGAATATATCAAACTGTACTTTTTGCAAAGTTATTGAAATACTATGCTCCAAATAACAAAACTTTTACCAAGAGCCAAGCTTATTTAATTTCCTCGTATCTTCTTTTGATGGTGCTAGTAAAAACAGTTGGTTTACACCTGTATTGGTTTGAAACGGAACACTTAGGCTTAAAAATTCAAGTAGCTCTAAGTTCTGTAATATACAGAAAATGTTTGAAACTGAGCCACGAGTTTCTTTCAGAAAACAGTATTGGTCAAATAGTCAATTTATTATCTAATGATGTGACCAGATTTCACTGTGGATTAATTAGATATGTACATTATTTGTGGCTTATATTTTTGCAAACTGCAGTTATTCACTACTACTTGTATGATATGTTAGGAGTTACAGCTCTGTTTGGAATGCCGGTATTTCTGATATATGTATTTACCCAAAGTAAGTCAAAATCTAGTGATGTAGGTACTAATAATTTTTAATCTGCTTCAGTATATCTTTTTAAAAAAATTACTTTTTACCGATTAACGGCGTCTTTAAAAACGGATCAAAGGATTAAGCTTATGAACGAAATCATTCAAGGCATCAAAGTCATTAAAATGTTCACTTGGGAAAATCTTTTTTGTAAACTAATAGAAACTTTTCGAAGGTATAATTTTTTTTTACAAGCAACAATTTTAGTTTTGTTTTTTAGGTATGAGTTGAAACCTTTAAAAAGCAGTTTTATTCTTTATGCCATAGACCAAGCATTTCATTTATGCGTACACAAATTTGGTATATTTCTAAGTGTAGTTGCTTACGTAAGCAGCGGTTATCATTTAACTTCCAATTATATTTATGTACTAAGCACAATGTATGAAATGATTAAAACGTATATAAAATTTTTCTCATGGGGTGCACTTGGAGGGGGAGAAATGCTAAATTCGGTAAAAAGGATTGAACATTTTTTAAAAAGTGAAGAAGTCCCTAAAACTCAAAGTAGCGTCTGTAATGATATCATGATAGACAAAATGTATGTAAAACGAAACAAATCAATTCGTGATTACACTTTAAGCGATATCACAATGAAAATTTCTTCAAACAAATTAATTGCAATCGTTGGACCTGTTGGTAGTGGCAAGAGTACTCTGCTTTTGACTCTCTTAAATGAACTACCGTTATTGCAAGGTTCTATTCAAAGAGGGGACTCTATATCTTATGCTTCTCAAGAGCCTTGGCTGTTTGCTGGTTCCGTTCAAGACAATATCACATTTGGAGAACCTTTTGTTAAAATCAAGTATGAAAAAGTGATAAAAGTGTGTGCTTTGGAGCAAGACTTCTCGTTACTTCCTTATGGCGACATGACTTTTGTTGGTGAAAGAGGCGCGGGACTGAGTGGTGGACAAAAAGCTAGAATCAATTTTGCTAGAGCTGTATACAAAGACGTCGATTTTTATTTACTTGATGATCCTCTTTCTGCAGTGGATGCTCAAGTATCTAAACACTTGTTTCAAGATTGCATCAAAAATTATTTAAAAGGTAAATGCACAGTTTTGGTAACTCATCAACTGGAGAATTTGGACAAAGTAGACCAGATATACATAATCGACAACGGAAAAATCATTAGAAGTGGTACTTTCGATGAACTGAAAAACTGTAATTATTTAGAAAATTTTAAAACGTCATCAGACAATGGAATCAAAAGAAAGAAGCAAACTTTTGAAGCAATGAAACGCAAGTCACAAAGTTTTATTCAAGAATTGCAAGAAAGTCATGAAACTGAATCTGTATCAAGGCAAATTTATTCTCAATTTTTACGTTCAGGTGGCTTTACCTGTGCAATAATTTTAACTTTTTTCCTCATTTTGGTGACATTTGCAATGAGTGGTGTTGATTACTTTTTAGCATATTGGGTAAACTATGAAGAAACGCAGTCAAGCACTGTTCCTGGTTATTTTTTATACTTGTATATCGCTGCTGTATTATTACTAATTATATTTGCTCTTACAACGACAATAATTTTTGTTACATTTTGTTTAAACGCAGCTAAAAATTTGCATAATACAATGTTCAAAAGAGTGTTGTTTGCCACAATGAGTTTTTTCAACAACAACCCATCTGGTCGTATTTTGAACAGATTTGCATACGATACGGGGTTAATTGATAAACACCTTACAGCAAGTCTTGTCGATACGACTATAGTTGTCACACATGCTATTGCAATTGTCACAATTATATGTTTCGTAAATTACTGGATTTTAATACCAACGTTTGCTATGACGATACTGTTTTATTATTGTGGAAATGTTTATTTGTACACAAGTCGCAATTTAAAGCGCATTGAAGCCAAATGTAATAAAATAATTTTAGTAATTCAAAGTATTAACGCATAATTTTAGCTTGTGGCCCAATTTTTTCTCATTTAAATTCTACTTTGCAAGGACTACCAACTATCAGAGCTTTTAAAGCTGAAAATCTACAGAAAAAAAGATTTGCTACTTATCAAGATACTTACACATCATGTAGTTACATGTTTTTAGCTTGTTCTTCAGCTTTTGGGTTTTGGATGGACTTTGGCTGTGTGATTTATTTGGGATTTGTTATTTTTAGTCCTTTACTTCTTGGACTAAGTAGGTAAAGTAAAAAGTGATACAATTGCTGTTATTTATCTTTTATTGCAGATATTTTTGGTGGTTCTATTGGATTAGCAATCAGTCAGTGTTTGATTTTGGTTGGAATGTTACAATACGGAATCAAACAAAATGTTGAATTAGAAAACAGTATGGTGTCAGTGGAACGCGTGGTAGAATATTCCAAAATCGATACAGAAAAAAAATATGAAAAATTACTTTCTGACTTTAAAGTTATAAGAGGATGTGTGGAATTTCAAAACGTTTCACTACGGTATAATCACAACCATCCTATGGTACTGAAGGAAGTTACATTTAAAATAAACCCAGGAGAAAAAATTGGCATTATTGGAAGAACGGGAGCTGGAAAATCGTCTCTAATTTCAATTTTTTTTCGTTTATTTCATTTTGAAGGGAACATGTTTATTGATGGTGTAAACATTAACGAAATGTCGTTACAAAATCTGCGATCACAGATTTCGATAATAACGCAAGAACCAGTACTTTTTTCCTACACTTTAAGAAAAAATCTTGATCCGTTTGAGGAATTTGAAGATTCGCAATTGTGGAAAGCTTTAGACGAAGTTGAGCTAAGAAGAGTAATTTCTGAACTGCCTGCGGGTTTACAGAGCAAACTCACAGAAGGCGGACTTAATTTTAGTGTTGGACAAAGGCAACTTTTATGTCTTGCAAGAGCGATGTTAAAAATGAATAAAATATTGATACTGGATGAAGTCTCAGCTAATGTGGATTTAAAAACTGATGAGTTGATTCAACATACTTTAAGGGAAAAGTTTAAGGACTGCACTGTGCTGACTATTGCACACAGGTTGGACACTGTTGTTGACTGCGACAGGATTTTGGTGATGGACGACGGCCGGGTCAAAGAATTTGATACTCCATCAAAACTTCTTGAAAATGAAAATGGAATATTCTATAAACTTTTGCATAGTGGAAAACAAATTTTTGCGAATTTATAAAACCAAATAAATATTTTTTTGAACTTCTTAACGGTTTTTTATTTGATTATTATCTCAACTTAGGCAATGGTTTGACAATTAGTTAGAAAATAAAGACAATCAATAGATAAACTTTTCTTGAATATTTCTTTTTCGATTTTGTTCAAATCACGAGCGCTACAAAGCGGAGTGTCCAGCAGAATTGTCTTATCAAACTTTTTTTTATTAACGGTATATTCACATTTAGCGCTGTTAGAACTCATACATGGGCTAAACCAATATCCCCATAGTATTTCATTGTTCAAATAAGACGTCTGACTTTTTGAGGCTTGCCCCGTGAGAACAGAACTTCCACTTAGAGTTGCCACTATCTCAAATTTGTTCAACAGAAGGTCTTGTGCTGAGATATTCCATAGTGGACTTTCAGAATTTATTTCATGGATGATTTCAGTCGGCCAGAATAAAACTCCATATGGCAGTAACTTCAGTTCTGATACATAATTTGGAAGAAGTTCCCCATTGTTAGTAGTTTTTTGAGTTATTAGGAACAAGTTTACTTGACTTCCTATCCAATGTTTCCCTGTACTATCATTAATACGAAAAATTAAGCAAAGAACTCCGTTTCGTAGACATATCTAAAAAAAAAATACAATGTTAAAAAAGACGATACACAAATAAAGAAAATGCAATACCACTGCTTTTTTACTAAACAAACTATTATTTATCGTATATGCTGGTCTGCTGATTTTGACATATACCACTGATATGAAAGCACCATCGATAAAAATTGTCACAAGCGTGCTGAACGTTAAAATAACCCAGACTAAAGTGCAGTTTTCTGTGGGATGGAAGTAACCGTATCCTGTGGTGGTTATAGTTTCTATACCAAGCATGAAAAAACTAGTAAAATTGTGAACTCCATTGATGCATTTATGGTCAACGTATTGCGTCTCGCTAAAATCTCCACTGATCCAAGCGTCCAATAAAAAAAGTTCGGCGAATAAGAAATACGCACTCACATTAATTATAGAAACCGTGAGCATCAACCAGCGCCATCGCATATTTACTAGTGTATTCCATAAATCCCGAACATACCGAATTGATTTGTGAGGAATTTTGTACAGGTAGACATTGATGCGACCCCTTTTACTCATTATTCTGTTTTCTTCATTGTACTGAACCTTCCTGTTTCTTAAATAATTATTATCATAAATTGGATATTTACCAAATCAAGGAAACCAGAAGTTCTTTATGTTACCTGCGTTTAGGATATTTTTTAATAACCATTGGCAAATAATTAGAACCTATAGCTGATTTACTATCCATGATTTAGAAGATGTGATAATTATAAAAACTAACTATTATTAAGATGGTAGGTAACTTTAAACATTTTTAATCTTGAAAATAGATAAGATAATTTTTATTTAATTAAAGGTAGATTCAATTGTGTTAACTCTATTTTTATTTTAACTAACAAAAAACGTGATAATGGTTTGGCAGGAAACTGTACATAACAAAATTCAAACAAAATTACAACATTTACACTTTTTAAAAAAATATTAGCTAAAACTGATAATAACAGTAACAACAATTTTAATATGTAACTAAATACATAATGAAGTTCTACCAGGCGTGGGATAATTCCAGAAGTAATAAAATACTAGCTATGTTAATAAGTTATAATAATATATTGAGATTAAAACAGGTACACTTGTAATAATAAATAATGTTAAACTTATTGTTTAGTAAAAAATTTGGTCAGAGTTTATTGCCAAAACCTAAAATAGAAAATCCAATATATAATGGTAAAACAATAGGAAACGCAACATTGCGAGAGGCACTTGAAAATTCAATAGGACTTATTTTAACTTGAACTTTTCTGTCATTGAGTTCTTGTATTGTTCTATAATTCGTAATCATGTTGCCGCCTGATTCTGTTTTCAAGTTGGAGAAGATTTTGACCTGTAAACATCAGTCGTTATGCTAACCATATTGCATCAAATTATATTAACCTGTCTAGTAGAAATCGGTAAGCCATTTGTAAAGACAGTCCAAATTACTCCTTCTGTACAGTTCGGTGTGGTTAGTGAGCCTTCGTATCGGTAAAACCCAGCTCTATCTCTGGGAAGAAAGTCCCCTAAATCTAATCTCTCAATTGGTTTAACTTCGTTTATTTTGACTTTATTTAGCTGTTCTAAGGTGTCGAATAAAGAGTCGAATTCGCTGTCACTATCTGGAGAAAGCTAAAGAAAAAAAAAGTTTTACTTACTAATTAAACTAACACTAGCTCAAATTGTAACCATTCTTATTTTCTAAATTGCATGATCATACTTACATAGAAAAGTACAGCTAAAACAGTAACTCCTCCTTTTACTTTTAGAGCTTCAGCTAAACTTTTCTTGGTGGAATCGTAATGAACTAAATGTAGTTCTAGAGGAAATCTATAAAACAAATTTATAACTAGAAGTAGCATATTGTTGTCAGTAAATGATAAAAAACGAGAATATGCGATAATGATAAGTAAAGAATTTTTGAAGAAATCAAAAACATTTTTTTCCAATCTATTAGCACAGGCAGATAGTCAGAAAATGCGTTAGATGTATGGTGTAGTTACTGTGTTCGTAAGTAAAAATAGGAAGGTATAACAAAGTGTAAATGACTATGAATTTTGTCATGACGTGGTTACACTTTTATTGGCAATTAATAATTTAACCTGAAAGGGCCTGAAATACCTTACATCACCGGCTAGAAGGAATAATAAGTCAATGTTTCCAATAAATTTGTTGTCACAATCTTTTACAGTCACCCGGAATTTGTCAAATACCAAAAAGGTTAATAATAGCAATTACTACTACCTTTCTTCATCTATGGTATGTTCCGAATTCCAGTGAAAATGTATGTTATCTAATACATAAGTGGATAGTAAACCTCCCCCGCTCACTTTTGGTTTAACTCCTACTTTTAGTTGAATTTGGGCTGTAATACAGTTTGTTTTATTGTAGTATTAAAATAAGTGTAGATGGTTTATTTTTTTACCTGTATGTCCATTGTTTTTTATTTCCGCCCTGTATATTTCATCGTAATATTCAAATATAAATGATGGAAAAATAGCTTCGGTAGCGGTTTGACGTGACAAATTAATAGGAGACTGCTGTTTTCCATTTTTACATTGATCAGGCCATTCTTCTACAAAAAATTTAAAACACTTTCATTAATCATAAATATGTTTATTGTTATTGTTATGAAAATGCTATCAATGTATTGTATTTCATTAAAACATTTCTGTATGCCTGGGAAGTATTTTTATAAAACAGGATTTTTAACTCACCAAACATTTTTAAATAAATAGTACTATACAGGCTGCGCCAGAACTCGCGACCCAGAGAAAAAATTTAAGTAAGATAAGATACCAGAAACATGAAAAAAAGTCTATCTGTCAAAAAATTTTGAAAATTATTTTTTGACATTTGACAATTTTTCATGTCTATTTAATAACACTGATGATGTTGTATATGTTTTTTTTTTTATAATTATTTAGTAAAAGTAAAAAAAAATGCGAATAAAAACCACAAATAACATTAAACAGAGTTATAATTTAGCATAGAGCTTCCTTGTATTCTCTTCTGTAGCAAAAAAACTGGGAAAATTATTTTTCCAACAGAAATAAATATAGTCAAAATGCAAAATTTAAACTCTTAAATTATAACTTATAAATCTTTATAAATAGAATTTTTGCAAAACTTGATTTCAGATTGAATTTGATCTCCAGACATTTATTATATCAATATTTCGAAATTAAACCTAATTACCAAATACAAATATAACTTCAATTCATAATATTTAATAATAAATATGATTGAGCAAAATGGACACATGTAGATAAGTTTGTGTCGAAAAAATAGATTTTATAGTCGACTTATTATAAACACACACAAAACGTAAAATTTAAATTATTTTTATTGCACAAATAAATTTTCTGATTTTCTTACAAAATACTGTAAATGTAATAATAGAAGTCACAAACCAAATCGTATAAGTAGGTACAAGTTTTTACATTACCTTCGTGTTTATAATCCCAATGGAAAGCAGTCGTCAGCACTGAGAAATAAAAATAATTAAATATTAAATGATATAAAAAAGTATTAAAATGAATTTTTGCACATACAAAAGAATACGTACCCCCGTGAGAGACATTTCTTTTTGGAGAAAAAGCTTTATATTAGCTGCAGATTAAAGAGGTAGGTATAACAATAAAAGTTTGCTTCTGAATAAGGTAAATAAATTTTAGACTCGTATTATTGTGTACCTAATAATTTTTCTAAATTAAAACTATTAATTTAATATAATAATTACATACATGTTTTGAAGTCCAAAAGAAAATATTTGAAGTATGTATATTATATTAGAATTGTTATTGATATTTATTTTTGAAAAAAAATCTTCGAAACAAAATAATTTTAAAGCAAAAATATTTTTATTTTTAGTTGATAACTTATCGAAAAATTATAGTAAAAGCGGTTCATTACTTTGGTTTGTATAAATTATGGCATGAAGACATCTGTGTTTGTTTTCAAAATATAGAGAATTTATAGAAAAGTTGGCATATATTCAAGTGCATCTTATAAAAAAAATGTTTCTAACTTACCTAGTAAATAGTTCACTACAAATTTTTGTAACATTTTAAATTAAATATTTATATTGAGTTACAATAATAGTTTTGTTTAGATACTTTCACTTGATTAAAACTATGATTAATTGCGTGTAGTCACTGATAAAATATTTACGCTGAAAATTAATTAAAAATTTAACAAAAAACATATCATACGTTATAATAAATTATTTTTAATTTGAAAATAAATTTTTTATACTAACCTGCATTGTAAAAGACGAAAAATAAAAACGAGCGCACTGCTGAAGTCACAACCATGTTTCAACTAATAAAAGTAGATTATCACAGTCGTTAGTAACTCCCAAGAAATCTCTGTCAGTTTGTTGGCAAACTGCCCCTCAATGTTTCAATACAAAAATAAACTGAAATAGCGGTGATCCTTTTCGTACACTTGTTATTTAAATGAGTAACAATAAAGATAACAATTTATTAATATAAGTTATTGTACAGAGTAAACTAGAATTTTGAATGTCATTTTGACGTTTTTTATTGGATACAACAATCACACTTGTCATTCGATTTTAGTTTTATTTAGTTTGTTACTAACAGAAGGTTCCTTAAGGAAATTATTAAGAGATGTTCTCTCTAATTTAAATTTAACTCACTTATCTAACGTGACAATAAGTTAGTTTGTCAAACTAAATTTAACTTACACTTTAATGCCTAAATGTAGCCTAGACTATGTGCATTAAATCTTGAAAAATTTTTAATAATAATTTAATAATGTAAAAAATCTAAAACTACATTTCTAATAAAGTTGTAGTACTTTTGTTATTGAATAAATTCTTGTGTCGTTGTTGTTACGACTCAACTACAAGACTAACTCTCCTAATACATTGTCTTCCTTATTAATTTATTTACATAATGTCTTGAGTCTTTATTGCATTTAATCTTTTGATTATCAAAGCGCTTGCTTAATTGTCTTTGCTTTTCAAAACTAACATTATTTTAGTACCCTTCGAAGGGAAGTTTCCAATTGTTCAAAAATGTATCATAATTAATGTAATTCCAAGGCTAGTTATTATCGGAAATAACATTAACTAATGAATTCATACATGCAATATTTTTGGGTTTAGTAGATAATTCTTAGTAAAACGCAAAAATATGTAAATTGCACTTATAAACAAGAAAATAAGGTTTCGATAATTATTAATGCGATTGTGACTTCTTAATAACAATCCTTTAATGTTTCTAATTATTTTTAAAGAAAACTCTTTTCAATCACAAAAACGAGAAATTTATTGCATTAAAATTTTGTCAGTGTCTTCTCGCTTCAATGTTATACTTTTTGAGTGCCTGTTTTATATTCTACAATCGTAGCTATTAAAGTTAATGATATATGGCCTCGTGGCAAGTAAAATCACTGTCACGTAGGACTGCACTTCTTATTTTAAATAATAAAATATAAACATACATATAGCTCTTGCTACCGTCATGAAATATTAAGTTTTTTTTTTTATTTTGAGACACATTGATACCCTAGATTTGATTCGTACTGTAGTGCTTCAACTTAATCTTTTGCAAAATGAAAATAAATTAAAATTATCATAACTCCAATGTCGTGTAATTAATAGAACATCTATAAACAAAACATTGAAATCAAACATTGCTTATTTGACCTATGGCCACTTTATATCCTCGTGTTATTTGTTCGGACATTGTCAAAATAATTTTTTTCGATAAACTTCAAGGCGTTATTTAAATTTTCTTGATAAGTTTTATCCTCTAAATTAAGTCGTTAAATCGCGACCTAATAATCCACTGAATAATTTTTTAAATCGTAGACAAAAAATTTGGAATCGTAATGAAGTTACACTTGAGTTCAAAAAAAACGCAAATTGATTTTTTTATAATGTAATTTGGCCTGTTAATAAATGCCAGCTTTTTGACGTTGTCTTTGTTAAGAATTCTCCCACACCTTTAGTGTAAGAGGGTAGGGGGTGGTGTGGCTCGAGCAGAGCCCACTGTTGGAACAGAGATTAGCTATCAAGCAAGCAACTAATCTGTGGTTGGAACGAGTTAGTATTAAGAGAGTATTAAATAAGCCTTGTAGCAACCGACAAATAAAGTTGTTATTGTTAACAAATCGTGTTTTTACTGACAAAGAATATACAGTCCACAATTTACGTTACAGTCTTTCTCACAATTCACAATCTCATAATTGTCAGGCATCTTCCAAACTGCTATCAAGTTTTCCATTTCGTTTTTAACACTGACTATGACACTGCACTGGCAAGACCACCAAATACAACATTTCTTTTGATAGTTTTCTAACCTTTTTGGATACAACCTTTTTCACACTATGTAAATCTCTGAAAAATTAGACAATTTTGTTTTTGACAATTTGCAATCAAGTGTAGCTAACAATGATTGTTTTCTTTCCTATATTTGTTTGTAAAATGTTTTGATATCTGTTTTACATTAATTTATTCTACTCCTCATTCATTGTAACAAAATGTAAATAATCGTAACTCGGCACACCTTAACTAACCCAAATAAGAATTTACGATAACTAAGTCATAAACAAAAAAATACTTTAAGTTACAGTGAACAGCATGTAATTATTTGAATTTATGATTAAAGTTGGCGTTGAGTTTTTGTTATATGATTGACAATATTGCATGTCACAATTCATCAAATTGAATTTCGTATGGTATCTTCAAATTAGAGCATAAAAAATGCCGTTTACTCTGATTATAATAATAAATTCAAATGATTACACCCTACTTGTGAAATTATTACCTATTACCTTCAAATGTGTTCACATATGCTTAATGTTTTTTTTTTCACAGAACTTTTGAAAAGTGTAATACATATAGGACGAAAAAATTTAGAGTGTAAACTTTGAGTTAAAAAAATTACTTACATTGAAGAATTGATGTATTTTTGGTAAACTAGTATTAGCTTCGTTATTTGTTTAAAGTAAGTTTTGGCTGCGAAAATAATGTGATGCAATAGAAATAAATGAATAAAAAGATAGAAATAGTCTAATTTTGTTAAATTTGAATCAAGAGTAATTTTAGAACAGAACTAAAATTTTTATTGCTGTTTATGAGATGTTCGATTGCCAAAAAAATTGACGTGAGCTATAACATACTCGTAATTTATCACTGTTATTGAAATGAAATCAAGTTGTAAATGCAAAAATTTCTCAGTAAACGGATGATCAAAAGTTTCTTATTATTTCAATTTGTTTACTTTAAAATAAGCATAGGAAGATAATTTGAATTATGTTTTTTCAAATTTGTTTTTTTGCGTTTGTTTGCTGTACGGTATTTTTTTAAGTTATAATAATAATGATTATTATAAACTATTAAAAGTGTATTGAAAGCTTATTCTTGATCTCTATACAACATTATTAGAGCACCTATAACAAATACATTCTTTTATTTATGTATTTACATTTTTATCAGACAAAATACGAGAGTAACATTTAAATATTTACGTTTTAAAAACTAATAATAATTATCGTATTATTTATTTAACTTCAAAACAATTATTACATTACCTTAATAAAAAAATTAATACTAAACACACTTAAGTATGTATCTGCACGTATTTACTTTGCAATAAAAGGAATTGGCAATAATTGGTAATCAAGCTATAATTGTCGGTGAGACATCAAAAGGTATAATTAAATATAAAATTTTCAAATTAGATATTGTTATTTATTACTAATTTGATGATTGTATTCTGGTAAAATCGAGGGTATAATATAATTTAGTTTTTAAATGTTTTTTTTATAAAATATAGACGTTTAGCATAAATTTAGAAAACCGTTTTGGAAAAAAAATATACAGGGTGATTCACGAGGAATAATGAGCCTGACCAAATTCTCGATGTCGCAAAGCAACTTGCGAAAGTGAAATGGTGGTTGCATCGAGAATTTGGTCAGGCTCATTATTCCTCGTGAATCACCTTGTATAAGCAATTTAAACAAATAAATAAAATATATAATACAAAAATAAAGAAATCTAAGAAAAAAACAACTATACATACATACCAGGTGAATAAAAAGTATGGAACCAAACATTTTTTGCTTAAAGTATTTATTTTTTGAATAAACTAATTGATGCGTGATAAAGTACTATAAAAATGTGATAATTTAACAAAAATAAAATTTTTCGAAATTTCCTTTTGTTTTTGAGTTCTACAAAAAAAATATTTTTTTAAATGGCAACCCACTATAAGATCATTTTTCTCATAACAGCTATACTCTAAGGATTACAACTATCTGCTTTACATTTAATTTTTTCAAAAAAATTTTTACACATAATTTGCAAATTTTGACAAAAAAAATCGCATAATTCAAAAACAAAACGAAAATACGATCACATTTTTTATACAAGGTGTTTATAAATGTCTGGGCATCAAGTTGGCTTTGCAAATTATGTCAACATGTTTTTGACCACCATTTGCCGCTTCACTGATATTTTGAATTCAGCACTTTCAATCCGTCAAATTTATCGGTTGAATTAAAGATCAAATGAGCAAAAATGAGTGTTTGTTAAGTGAAATTTAACGTTTGTCCGAGAAAAGTGTCTGAAAGTCCCATGAAGCTGTCTTGGGGGCTCCATTGCTCCATATCGTCGTCACATGATGATTTCTAAATGTAATCTCTTTGTCCCAAATTCGGGCTTCAGGGCTCGTCCCGGCACTTCAGAGTCTTCTTAGATCGGTAGGTAACATAACTTGAAGCTCCCAATAACTTTAACGCAGGATCCACATCCACAGGTTAAATTAAAAAAGTAAAGTTATGTTACTCGTCTGTCAAAAAGTTTCGTCGTTTGCACAATTTTGCTGTGATTTTGAGCAATTTTCATAGAAAACCAAGTATAGTGAAATGGAATTAGACACTGAACAGGCTGCACTCTTCATCTGACAAAGAATTGCGTACTTTTAGATATCGTGGCTTCTACAGGAAGAGCGATGGTTTAGCCCCAGACCCAGGTCGGATTCATGTGAAAAATACAGAATAAATTAATTGAGGAAACGATATTGGATCCARAWCGTTTTTAAAAAGYATTTATGAGATCCTTTATTGGATTATTTGAAGATGATTTTTCGCTTATAAATTTGTGAAGATGTTTTTAGTTTTAATATGCGGACTGATGACCGTTAACATAAAACTTAAAAGTGACAGGCACAGGCGACGAGACCGCTACACACCCACGAGGGGTGTATTACGTATAATCATCACAACAAGACGGCAAATTTAACAAAAATTGCAGAGGTAACTTGATGCCCAGGCATTTATAAACACCGTGTATTACTTTAATTTATATTAATAATTACTTTCTGGAGGCAAATGATTAAAAATAAAACCGCTTGGTTCCATACTTTATATTCACCCTGTATATTTAACATTGTCTTGGTTTCTTAGTTACTTGAGCAATTTTTTTTAAATTGCTATTCAAATAAAACATAACTAGTTTCATTGAAAAAGAGGTTTCAATAAATGATACACCACCAGCTGAGGTGGAAGAGTTCAAAGGCATTTTCTCTGTAGATGGTTTTCTTATTTACATATATGTTACAAATGGTCTATACAGTACAATAATACAGTTTTATTTAACATGTCATTAATTGTTAAAAAAAGTCAGGCGACATTTCGATAAAAAAATTCCAGGCTTACATTTGTATCATTTTTATATTATTGACTTTTTCATTGTGTGTTTAAATTGATATGTAAAATGTAAATATAAATTATAGACGTCTAATTAACACTATAAATATTTACTGAGAAATTACAGAGATTAAAACTGTATTATACATATTAAACCGTACATTATATGTATTTTGTCAATATAATTTTCTTTATTATTTTATTCTTTAGTATTTTCTTCTTTGTTTGAACCACTTTATAAATTCTGAGAAAGTTACATGAACCTTGCAGATAAATTTAATCCCTTTTAATTTAATTATTTTTGCGTTACCACACATTGCTTAGCTATAAATTTTGGCCATGAGTATCATTTTTTATAATATTTATTATTTATGATTTTAATACTTGATTTCGTCGAATTTGGTATTATAGGACACAGGATAAATAAAAATATTAAATTCGTCGCGACGTTTACTTTATTGTATCATTTTCAGGCAAAGAATTTTTGCTGGTTGAACAGTTGAACAAGCAGGGCACAGTTAGAGATGCATTGGCCATAAGGGCTATTTTATGCTGGATCTATAAAGAATATCATGGTTCCAAAATAGAATAAAACATTTAATTCATTAATTCATATGCGATTTAAAACAGTTATTTATTTATTTTCGAAAGGGTTTTAGGTATTCGAACTTATATCTCTAATCTACAGGCTGCTCAAGCATGTATACAGGTTGATTCTTATAATCTTCACCAGGAATATTTGGGATTGACGTATGCAAAGCTTTATTGAGGGTTAAGCAGCTTTGTGGTCGACCCACAGAACAGCTACAAAATAGAACGCCTACTTAATGGTTTTAAAAAGTTTCTTTGTGGCGTCATCATACGTCCGGCCCGTGAACTAGAAAAGGCGGCAATTTTGAAATATGTTTTGTTTCAATTTATTATTTTTTATTAAAATCAAATCAAAAATGCAAAATACATGTTTTAGACAAAATTTATTTTTAAAATACAATCACATTTTTTATATCACTTTAATTTACATTAATTATTATTTTCTAGAGGCAAATAATTAAAAAAAAAACCGCTTGGTTCCCTGTATGTATTTATTTATACCTTCCACTGGAGTCACCCTTTTTCGTGGACTATAAAACCACATTTTCGATGTGTTGTGGAAAAAGACAGATAGATCAATGGTGGTATTGGTAACTTCTGGTGAAAGGTCAATTTTCATCTGATCTGAAGAATGTTATGGGTTGAGAAAATTAAGAATTAAAACCTAAGTTTAAAAATCTTAACCACTTTTGGTACCGACACGGACGACGCATGTTTCCGCAACTCTTCACTGTTATATTCTTACGTGTATTTTTCTTTAATAAGCAAAAAGTTAGAAAGTGATGAACAGACTTTTGAACATACTGGAGCTTTTAATTTAGTCTGGCAAAAAGTGGCTCCTTTTCGGACGCGGAAACCGAAATAGAGGCCCAGATTTAAATGGGAAGCCCACCACAGCAAAACAAGTTCATTTGTGGAAACTCATTCTAAACAATTAGCAATTATTATCGTAGATTAGTACAAAAATCAATTTTACCTCAAATTCCAGGAATTTATCTTACAAACAAGACTCAGTTTTGTGTTTTTTCATTGATTGCGTTGACAGTTCAAATTTTGAAATCATGACCAACTTGTTTCAAATTTAAATCCCGCACACTTTACGCCGATAAATCAGATTTCTTTCTTTTATTATAAATCTAACAAAAAAAAGCTGGAACCTAAAGTTGTTGTTTATGTTGTGTGTCTACACCTATCGTCTACCTTTGAATGAAAATTTAAAATAAAAATAACATTCGCAAAAAATAAATAAACTTTATTATGAGAATGCTAATCGCGACCTCTGACGGCCGGACCAGAACTAAAATTTATCGAAAACGGTCTGGGCTATACTAGTCGGTTACCCCTGGGTCGACCGTACTAATTTTTCACTGCGTGTGGTACTACCCAGAAGATGTAGAAAAGAGCCGTATTCAAGAATTTTTGTGGTGGGCTTTTAATTTATTACAGGCAAAATTAATTACGACACCAAGAAGTTTAGAAGAAAATAAAAAAAAATAGAAAAGACGGTTTATTAAAATTTAAAATTGTGTAGTATCAAAAAAAAAAATTAAAATAAAATAAAAAAAGTTTTAATAATTTAAAAAAAATTGTATATCTTAGTCATCACTTTCACTATCACTGTCACTATCACTAGAAATGTCGCCATTCAAGTCAATGATTAAATCTTTCACATGATTAGCCCTATAGAAATCTTCAATGTCCACCACATGTCGCACAGAATTTTTCCAGGATTCCACAGTTGTTATTGCCACCTCGTGTCGAAACATTCTCAAAATATAGCTAAATATTTATTAAAATTAATTTCAATAATTTTTTGATGAAAGCCCAAAAACAAATTTCTGTTACGGACCATCTCTTCGTACAAACCTTTGAAACGTGCCTGTCCTAGGAAATGCAAATTTGTTTATGGCATCTCTACCGCAAGCCCCATGAACCACCGTGGGGGGTAAGCGGCCTATTCTATAATGAGTCTCAAATATTGTTGGTGACGACTTTTTTTTATAAATAGACCGACAAAATCTTATCACAGCTTCCCAAGGATAAATGGAAACAAACTGAGTCTCTTCCGGACTCAATAAAATAGTACGCAAAATAGTTATTTTAGGGACTCAGTCAGTAAAACCGAAGCCGATATAAAATTTTTATATTAAATATAATTTACTGTTAAGAAATTTTTGCATGAAATACAAAATAATTAATGAAAACACAATAATTTTTACTAACCGATGTCTTGACTTCAATGCAACACTTTAGAGAAACAATTTTTACTAACCGATGTCTTGACTTCAATGCAACACTTTAGAGAAACAAACAAGAAAATGTTTTTATGAAATACAAACTGAATTTATTTTTTAATAATAAAATGGAAGTTAATAATAATTATTTATTAAAATTAGATATACAAAGTATTTGGTAACACCATCACCATTTATTTAAATTTTAGTACATTCATGACTTTCTGTTGATAATTTCAGAGGAGACTTTTTTATTTTTAGGTTCTTCAATGTTATTTCTAAGATTCCATTTCTGAATACTAACGGAACTAAATATACAGTAAATAATACTTCCAACTAAATTAATTCCAATTAAAAGCCAAAAAATATAACGCCATTGTTCAAAGGTCGCATTTTTGTCGGTTATAAATGCTACTATTTTCGCAGATATATATCCCGTTGCAGCCCCACCAGTAACACCTAAGCCAAGAATGGTTCCTGAGTAAGTGGGAGAGATATCAATGCTGTTTGACAAAAATCCAGCTGTGGCAACAGATGTAAAACCTAGACTCAACGTGAAAACGATAACAGACACATTTTTACTATTGCCCCACACAATTTGTATAAGATAAAATATAATTGGAATACAGAAAGAAATCGATGTACACATTCTTCTTATAGTTAGAGCGCTAAATCTTTCTGATTTTTTCCATTTATCAGCCACATAAGCTGACACTACAGCAACAAAGTATGAAACTTATAAAAAAATTAGAAATGTTTATTATTATTACACAAGATAAGTACTTACCAAAAAAGGGTATGCTTGACAATAATCCATTTTCTTTAATATTAAAATGAAGGATTTGATTCATGTAAGAAGGTAGTTCGTTTAAAATTAAGTTAATGTTAAACTGCATGCAAATAGTTGCCACAATTATTGCCCAAACAGCAGACGAAGACAAAATATTTTTTCATGGCGTTTTATCTTTCTTAAAACTATTATTAATACCAACTTTCTTTGCTATAGTTTCTCGTTCCTTCACGCTAATTCTTGGATGTTTCTCAGGGGAATCGTAAACAAGGTAGAACCAAAAACATGTCCATAGTAAAGAAATAGCTCCAGTTATATAAAAAACACTTTGCCAATTAACATATGCAATTATGTAGCCACAAAGAGGTAGCGACAGCGCTGCTCCTATGTTAGATGCAAAAGTATGTGACATAAACTTTGATGTATCCGTTCCAGCCACCCATCTAACAGCCAATGGTGGAATTGCAGGCCAAGCTACACCTAGTGCTAATCCCAAGACAAATCGTATTGCAATTCCACAATAATAATTAATGTCGAAAGCAATGGGAGTTAGAATAGTCATTAAACTTCCAACTAGCATAGCTATGCCTATAACTGTTTTAGTTCCATATATTTCCGAAAGCCGGCCGCCAGGAATTGCTGTAAGTAAAAGCCCCCAGTAGAAGTAGCCCAAGATGCCATTTTTTTGGTGTTCATCCCAAACAAATTTATTTGTGAAACTTGTCGTAGCATTTCCGTCAGTACTTGATATCATATCCACTATTGCAATGGATATGTTTACTCTTATCATGTAGTTTACCATGAAGCATGTGATAACCATCAAGCAGAGAATTCTTCTACATTGTAAGAATTCTAGAAATTGAAGAGTAATTATATCATGACAATAAAAAAATTTACATTCTAAAATTACGGATGTAATATAGGTTTTTGTTTTTTGATTATTGTTTGTCTTAGTTGACTTAACTATTGATTATGGACACTTCTTAAAATCATAGCCGCTTTTCCCAAGAAAATAATTTTACCTGAGTTCAATGTTTTAGTTGCTAATGTTCTAAAAGGATTACATCGTTGAGTTTTCTGCTTCACATTGGAAATAACAAACTGTTTTCTGAAGACAGTAAACACCATTTTTGAATGTAGTTATTAATGGCAGTTTATAATGTGGATGAAAAAGATAGTAGTTCTATTATTATAACTATATACGTAATACAAATGTCATTAAAGTTAATATGGGAAAAGGTGTGGGTTCATTAAAAAAGTGCGTCAAAACGTAAACTCTACACGGTGGAAAGAAAACATTTAACAAGACGTTTAATATAGAAACCTATCTTCAAAGTCAAACTAAGCTGAAAACTAGAAACGTTTTAATGTGATATGACAGCAGCCTTCGTGCGTACAATTGGCGCTTTAGAAAACTTTCTTTTCAAACAACTAAAAAAATATTTAGCTGTTTGTTACAAAATTTAGATATCTTAAGTATTTGATTTATGTCTGAAATTATGCCATTAAGGCTTACTACATTACTACTTAAAAAAAACAGTTAATTTATTTGTTAATAAGGACACAGTATGAAAACATTCTTCATCAACATCTTCAAATTAAATTTTCTACCCAAAAATTTTAAAATTGCACAAATGTTACAATTTGTGGACAACATGACAACGGTGTTTCTACTAGGATTTGTCCGCGTACCTTGTCAGATGCTATTGGCGTATTGGCAAATGTTTCCATTTCACACTGTATAGAAGTATAGCTAACAATTACAAGATTATCATTTATCAATACATATAATTATAACCCCGTCTATCTAGGAGTTACACTAGACAGATCTCTCAGCTACAACAGCCACCTTGAGAAACTAAAACAAAAGTTAAAAACACGAATCAACATTTTATCCAAACTCGCTGGATCCGTCTGGGGGGCACATGCAAACACTCTTCGTATATCGGCTCTGGCAATGGTGTTTTCATCTGCAGAATATTGTAGCTCYGTATGGCTGAACAGTGTCCACACACAGAAGGTTGACGTCCAGCTTAACACTGCGATGCGCATCATTACTGGTACAATAAAATCTACACCAACAGATTGGTTGCCCGTCCTTTCTCATATTTCACCACCTGCACTTAGAAGAAAAGAACAACTGAAAAAGCTATGGGTGAAATACAAAGCGTTTCAGGAAAATTTTTCCATCTGGAAAGAACTATTATTCACTGAAAATAGACTGAAATCTAGAAGACCTTTTTGGACGGAAATACCACATATTGAAACTTTTAACATCAAAGATGAATGGCGCAGGCAGTGGTCCAATCTGGAAATCTTTAACAAGAAGCTGGTAGAAGATCCAACTCTTGCAGTACCCGGAATGGTTCAACCTAGATGGGTTTGGACGAAATTAAACAGAATAAGAACCGGTCATGCGCGATGTCGATCTATGTTGTTCAAATGGAACGCTGTTGAAAATCCAATTTGTCAATGTAAAGAAGCAGCAGAAACCGTAGAACACATAGTTGAAGAATGCCGATTGACTAAATTAGAAGGCGGCTTTACAAGAATCCTCTTGTTCTCGAACAGTGTAATTCAGTGGTTAAGCAAAATTAACAGTTTATAAAGATGGTTGTGAGTTTTGCAGCTGGGTAATTATACTGTACTAGTGCAAATTGAGTATCATTTATCAGTTGTACTAAGTACAATAGTGTAATTCACAGCTTTCTCATGATCAGCGCAACTTATAATGAAATATTATGTATTATTTTGTCATTTCAAATGAAATGACTCTATTTTCTTAACGGCAATCAAAAGTACATGAATTTGTAGAAGCTCAAAAAATTATTTTATAAAAATTAACATATTAAAAGCAAATTTAATTAATGAATGAAACGTCTTAAAACTCCCTAAAATGAGATGTTGTTGCTGTTTATTTGTATAAATAAGATGTTGTTTTGTATAAAACGTTCACCACGACTTGCTGTTACAGTTTACATAAAAATTATTTAAACATTTCTTATTTGTCATTGTGACATTTTATCTTCCGTAGACACATGTTTTAAGTTTCTAAGCTTGCTTGATAGGCAGACTCTTTGAACGCATTGTACAAACGTCACCTGATGAAACTACATCCCACACTAGAAAAGTTATTAATAAATAGTTTAATGTTGCCAACTGCCGCTTTGATCAAAAGTTTAATTAAACGCATAGTATTTGTTGAAACTTTATATGAGTCCACATTTCCTAGTAAGCAATAGATAGATCTCTATAGTTTGGTGAAAAGCCTCGGTTCGAAGCAATTCACGTCTATGCTAAAATTTATGTCGTGTTTCCGGATCCTGTTGTACAAGTCGAAGAAAACCGATTAAAATTTCGGTCAATTACCGAATGCGGTCAGCTAAAGTAGSAATGAGGCCGACTGGCCTCGAGGGCGTTCGAATGGCTTGTCGATACTCGAAGTAGATGAGGTGCCGATTTGTCCAGTCCCCAAAGGACCTTTGCTCAATTCCGGTTCGTGCCGACGGTTCTCGTCGTAAGGATGTGATTTCAATTTGAGATTTTTGTTTCTTTCGATAGAGTTTATCGTTTGATCGAGTGATTGCGTCCCTGTGGAAAAACGAACATAATACGTGTCTAACTAATCTCGTCAGAGTTGATTATTGTTCAGATTCTAGAATTTGCCTTGCTGAATACGAAATCTTGACCTTCTTTTGGGTCATTGTGAAACTGAAATGAGGTGAATAGCGGGTCCTGCCACCGCTACCGTCATAAATATAAATAGAATGAAATAAAAAGTCGCCTTTTCAAATTTATGAAGRAAGTTTCCAATTAATAAGGTTTTCGGAGTCGAGTTGGAAAGCAATAAGAGAAATAGCGGCGAAGATGGAGGAGGACAGTCGATGGGAAGTCAATCGAATTAAGGACGTGCTTAAAAACGCTTTAGGTGCTGCAATGCATTTAATTTTTCGTTCCATNTATTTCTTGTACACAATTATTACCTCATTATCTGCACTAAAATGAGTATTTTTAACAATGTTTACTAAGCTATTATAGTCAAAATTAAATAACTTTCGAGAACTAGTAGATATACTTAACTACGATTCGATTATGATGCACAGATATAAACAGGATGGGCCTCTGAATTTCAGGATTTCTCATTGCACTGCAACCATATTCTTTATTTTTTTATCTGCTTTGTGTTCTTTAGAGTTTCACAGAAATTATTTGCTCCAGCATTGACGAATAAATAAAAAATATCAGTAATTCGAGTAAGTCGATTGTGCATACCTACCTGTTTATGTGATCATATAATACATGGGTACTATCAATTCCTGATAATAAAATAGTAAATACATATACAAACACTTCTGATAAACTATTATTTGGGGTATTTTTTTAAAATATTACATTTTTTTTTAAACATTTTTGTAAGTTTTCACTAGAGGTTTTTTTCGAAGTAAACTTGACATTTTAATGAGAATTTTGTTTTCTGGCAGTTTTTAGAGTTAAATTGCCTAAAGGAAACAAAATTCGAATTAAAAATGTCAAGTTTTCTTCGTAAAAAAAGCTTGAGTGTAATTCGGTAAGACAATTTAATGAATACGTAAATCAGTAAATTAACAAATAAGGTGTAAATTAGTTTATTTAATTTAATGGAAAGTACTACTAGATTCAGACGCTTTCAAAAGTTAGGTTCCGTTTTGTCGCTGTAATAATTAGGGCAAACTTTTGTCGCTGTCATAGTGACAAAAACACCGCGGCTTATGGGTTTTTTAAGTGTTTGAAAAAAACTGTCAATTAGAAAACTTGCTGAACAAATTTGTAAAATATCAATTGTGGCATGAATTTACAACAAAAATTACATGATAACTTGCGATTACGTTTATGACTGCCATTAGTTCCATTGTGTATGGGCTAGTAAGTTACAAGGACTAGTAAAGGTGTAAACATAGTAATTAAATAGGTAGCACAGCAAATAAATTTTCACAAAATTTATTAAAATGCCAACTTGTGGTACAATTATATCGTTTTCCTGCCGAAAGTCACTGAATTATTAATTTTTTTAGAAATCCTAACATGCAGTCAAATTTTATCCTTAATGGTTATAACAAGTTTCATGATTCATCACATGTTAAGAGTAAACATCTCAATAGCTATAGTTGAAATGGTGGTCAAGACTAATGCAACCAATTCAAGTGAAGAAAATTTTGGACCAAGATATGAATGGAATGAACGTGAAAAAAACGATTTGTTTGCATGGTTCTTTTGGGGTTATTTAATTACTCAAATCCCCGGTGGACGCTTTTCGGAAATAGTTGGTTCAAGAATTGTTTTAGGTGTGGGAATTTTATTAGCGAGTGTTGCAACTCTTCTTCTTCCTTTGTTTTGCAACATCAATTACTACCTAGTAGTGGTGGCAAGATTCTGCATTGGTTTGGGATTAGGAGTACACTGGCCTGCTGTGCCACCCATTGCAGTCAGATGGTCGGATTCTTCAACAGGAAGAACCATGTTCATGACACACTTATTTGCGAGCTCTTTAGGGGCGGCGATAATATTGCCCGTTTCTGGTTATCTAATAGCTTATGTGGGGTGGCCGAGTGTGTTTTATGTCACGGGCGCAATAGGTGTTTTTTGGTCAATATTATGGTTCTATTTAATATATGACTCACCAGAACAACATCCTAGAATAAGCATAAAAGAAAAAGAAATTTTAGGAAAAAAAATTCATAATGAAATAACTCCACAAGTACATATTCCGTGGATAAAAATTTTAACTTCTTTACCAGTGTGGGCAATTGTAATAGCTAACGCTTCCATTTGTTTTGGTTTTTACATTATATTTAACCATTTACCGACATACATGAGTTCAGTCCACAATGTTAAAATTGAGAAAAACGGATGGCTTTCCAGCTTACCACATTTAGGTGAGTTTCTTCTGGACAAATTTGTTATGTTGGTTCAAATTTTATTTCAGGAAGATACATTACAACTATTATAGTTTCATACATGGGAGCAAGAATGTTACAAAACAACAAATTCTCAACAATTACAATTAGAAAATTTCTCAGCGTGGTGTGTTGCTGGAGTGCTGTTTTATTATTTGGAATACAAGCTCTTTTTGGCTGTTATTATTATGTGACAAACTTTGTTTCTATTACGTTCTTTATTTTCTTGAGTTTGTCTATTCCTGGAATGATTGTTAATATCTTAGATATTTCTCCTGCATTTTCTGGTACTATTATAGGGTTTAACCAAGTTATTGTTTGCATATCAGGCATTCTTTCTGCGAATGTTGTTGCTGTTTTTACAGCTAAGAAACAATCATTCGAACAATGGAGATATATTTTTCTAGTTGTAGCTATAGTTAATTTTTTGGGTGGTTTATTTTTTTTAATTTTTGCGTCTGCTGATGTACAAAGTTGGAACCCAAAACAAAATGTATCTCAAAAGGAAAATACGCTATTGAATGAAAACAACCCCGAAGAGTAGTAAAATATGTTGTGTTTATAATTATATAATTATTTGTTAAATAAACAAGATTGTGTAATCTCGAAAACCTTTGAAAAAACGCGGGTATTCCCAAGTACTCATTGCGCACGACAGATTAATTTTATTGACCGGTTTTCGGAACTAAGAACTATAGGCAACCATAAAAGTACATTAGTTTAGGGGAAAACCGATAATAATTTTCATAAACATGAATGACTTTCTTCAATACCCACGTTGCAATTTTATTTTAACAGGATTTTAAAAAGTTACAGTTTGTTACTACACGCTAGAAACGATCTGAGTTATCTAGTTCATTTTGTTAAATTTTCGCAACTAACATAATATTACACAATATTGAGAATTGTTACAAAAAAATTTGAAAACCAACTATTATAAGAAGTGGAGTTAATTCGAAGTACGATAGTTGATGGTTAATGTTTAGTTTATAACATTCATTGCCCCGTCGGCGTCGGGTTGTGTTCAACAATTAACTTTAAGTGTTATTAGGTAGGTATGTACGATTTTTAAAGTATGACCTAAATAATACATATTCGCATTTATGTTATCAGAATAAAACAGAACATTTTAGTTATTTTTAATTTATGAAATAACAGTTTTATTGCCTATATACATATACTGAAAAGAAAATTGTACAATACAAACTCACCTTCTGCCATCTATGTTTCTTGTGAAAAGGTGTTTGTAAGAAACCTATAAAATAATTTAACAATCTACTTATATTATTTTTTAATGCAATGCCGTGATGTAATGTTTTCGCTGGAAATTTCGAAATTTTATAAAAACTGTACTCAATACTTACAAACTATAAAAATAACATTTTGTACGCAACATAATCTATTTACTTTCATAATATTAAAAAAATGTCTAATTTAATTATCATTAGATATAAATTTCATATATGTAGATTATGTATTTAGATATATATTTTACATAAATATAAATTTTATGCAAATTTCATATTTTACACTGGCTTTTAGGTAAAATGCAGTAATTCTAAGTATTAGTAAAGACACTTTTTGAATTTAAGGGTATATAATGATTTATAAAATTATAAATTAACTATAGCACTTAAAAAATTTAACACGGTCTCAGGTCGTGGTAAAAACGCCAATAGGTACGTGCAATTAATTTTGAATTTGGAGAAGCATTTTCTACAAACTGATAAGATGATTTTTATTAAAAAATCCACTATATGCTTTATCTTCATGAGTGCCTGTATCCTTCCGGATAATACCTTATGTTTTATATATAATAATTTTCGATTTAGAAAAAACAGAATACTAGAATTCTTAAATGAACGGAAGGAAGTGATTAAGGTACATTTATTAATTATCTGCTTTATTTTAATCTTTCTATTCTTTCATTACTTCTAGCCTATATTTTATATAATAATTTACAGCTAGTAATCACGTTTTATAATTTTTGTTGAATGATCTTCTAAAATCTGAATGACATACATTTTTTTTATAGCATATCTTTCTCATCTATTTATTTACAATGGAAGCAAAACATGCAGTTAAAGTTCAACAATTAAAGAAACACCCTAAAGAAAACTCGAATCTATTGTCAGATCTTTTTTACTGGTAAAAGTCACATAAATACCTACATTTAGTGTACATATGCCTGTAAATATATTGCAGCTGGACAGTTCCAATATTTAAAACTGGTTTTAAAAAGGGATTGACAGAGAAAGATATCTATCAAACTTTGCCAGATCATCGGTCCACAAAGTTGGCAAATAAACTAGAGCGAGCATGGAATAGTCAGAAAAATAGAATCAATAAACCTTCTCTTTGGAGAGCAATATGGAAAGTTTTTAAATGGGACATTATGCTTTCGATACTTCTTTATTTCATCACAGAATTTCTTCTTAAGTAACGTGTTTTGTTTAGTCTTTAAGAAACATTCTCAAGATGTTATTTCAGAATCGTTCGTCTTGTGGCCCTGGGAGTATTATTGGGTTACTATTCTCCTAAAGAATCAGAAATGGATAAGAGCGACGCAATTATTTGCGCTTCAGTTATAGTTATTTCAAGTTTTCTTTGTGAAATATTAGATCATGCCTACATATTTCATTTCCTACAATTAGCAATGAAAGTTCGAGTGGCCTGCACCTCTTTAGTTTATCGAAAAGCACTGAGGCTTAGTAAAAAAGCATTAAGTAAAACAACTGTAGGGCATATAATTAATTTATTGTCAAACGATATGCAGAGATTGTCCGAATTTTGGGGAGCTTATCATGCTCTTTGGGCAGCGCCTCTTCAGGCCGGTGTTATCCTTTTTTTACTATATTGGATTGCAGGGCCAACGGCTTTAGTTGGAAATATTTTTCTTGTGGTACTTACACCGTTGCAGGGTAAGTACAGGGCGTCTTTTAAATAAAAATTAATATGTGTTGGTTACAGTGTTTATGACCAAAAAAACTGCCAATTACAGATTCAAAATATCTTTGAAGAGCGACGAACGAATACGTTATATGAGTGAAATTATCTCTGGAATTCAAGTTATCAAAGTTTATACTTGGGAGTTTCCATTTGTTAAACTTATAGACTCTATTAGAAGGTATTTTGGTTTTGCCACAAGTCACAATTTAATTAAATCCTAATTACTACATTTTTAGAAAGGAAATGTATTTCATAAAGATTGCCAACTTTTTAGATTCAATCACAATTGCTTTTGAATTCTTCTTTGATCGTACGGCTATATTTATTTGTTTAGTAACTTATGTTTTACTTGGAAACAATCCAGATGCCCAGTATGTTTTTGTACTTGCTTCATTCTATGATTTGATGATGCAGTCAGTTTCATTGTATTTTCCTCAAGGGCTTACAATAACTCTTCAAGCAAATGTGGCTATAAAAAGGTTTGAAAATTTCTTCAATTTAGACGAAATACAAAACAAGATAGTTACATCTGAAGAAATTGGGATTAAAATAGAACAAGTTTCGGCGAAATGGTCCGAAACTTCAAACCAAAATACTTTGTCAGATATCAAGTTTAACTTGGAACCAAAACAACTAGTCGCGATAATTGGACCCATTGGTAGTGGAAAATCCAGTCTACTGCAATTATGTTTAGGTGAATTATCGCCAAATAGAGGTGCTGTACAAATAGGCGGTACAATATCGTATGTAAATCAAGAGCCGTGGCTGTTTGCTGGTTCCGTCAAACAAAACATACTTTTCGGACAACCTATGGTTAAAGAGAAATACCAAGAAGTGATCAGAGTTTGCGCTTTACAAGACGATATTGCCCAATTCCCTTACGGCGATAATACAATCGTGGGAGAACGTGGAATTCTTTTAAGTGGTGGTCAAAAAGCTCGAATAAATCTTGCCAGAGCAATATACAAAGACGCTGATATTTACTTATTCGATGATCCCTTGTCCGCCGTGGACGCAAGCGTTGGCAAACAAATTTTCCACAATTGCATTTTGAATTATTTAAAGGGCAAATGTACAGTTCTTGTAACTCATCAAATCCAGTATTTAAATTTTGTCAATAAAATATATTTGATGGTAGATGGAAGCGTCGCGGCTGCTGGAAGTTATAAAGAGTTGCAAGCATCGGGTGAAGATTTTACTAGACTTTTGAAAGAAGCAGAAAAAGGCGATGAAAGTGAGGAAGAATCGGTTATTGAAACTAAAGTAAGCAAAGAAGATAAGGTACAAGATGAAGAGGAGGAAGTTTGGATAAAAGGAAAAGTTTCTAAGAAAGTTTACTTATCTTACCTTCGAGCGGGTGGAAATTATTTCAATTTTGTTGTAATTGGTGTTTTATTTATTATGACCGAGATTTTGGCGACTGGTTCTGACTACTTCATTACCTTCTGGTAGTTCTGTATTATTTCAAATGATTCTTATTTTTTCAATATTTTTTAAGGGTGAATTTAGAGCAAAGAAGAATTGCTGAAAACAAAACCAGTAACGACACTTTATCATCTGACCCTGTAGATTCTTTTTTCACAAATGAAAATTGTATCTATGTTTACACAGCTATAATTGGGGCTTTAATAGTGTTCTCCATTGTCCGTTCAATGTCTTTTTTTAAAAGTTGTATGACAGCCTCCGTTCGTTTGCATGACAAAATGTTCACAAGTATTATAAATGCCTCTATGAGATTTTTTTATACTAATTCCTCCGGAAGAATACTCAATAGGTTTTCCAAAGACATGGGAAGCATAGACGAGACTCTTCCTGAAGTGTTTTTAGATGGCCTTCAGGTAGATATTGGAACAAACTTAATTTAAGAGAAAATATTAATTTACTTTTAGATGGCAACGGCAATTACTGGTACCGTTTTGGCCATATGCATTGTAAATCCTTGGACCCTCATTCCTAGTATCGCAGTTGTTATAATAATGTTGCTTATCAGATTTGTTTATCTTTCTACTAGCAGAGACGTGAAAAGGATGGAATCTACAAGTACTTAACAAAAATTTATTAATAATTTTTTTCTCCGTGTTTTATGTAATTGTTCTAGATCGGAGTCCAATTTTTTCACATTTAACTGAATCAATGAAAGGTTTAACAACAATAAGAGCTTACGGTGCACAAGAGGTTTTAGAAAAAGAGTTTGAAACTCATCAAGATATACACACATCTATATTTTACATGTATTTAGGAACTAACAGAGCTTTAGGTTTTTATTTGGATACAGTTTGTGTTTTGTATATTTTATTAATTACAGTCATAGCTTTGACAAAAGGTCAGTAAACTTATTATTCTTATTCAATTCAAATAAAAGTAATACTAATCATTTTTAAAGAAAGCTACGCTGGAAATGTTGGTTTTATGATAACTCAGTGTATGAGTTTGTCTGGCATGTTTCAATGGGGAATTAGACAGTGGAGTGAAATGGAAAATCAAATGATTTCAGTTGAAAGAATTAAAGAATATATAAATGTTGAACGTGAAAAAGAAACTAAAACTAGAGACCCTCCACAACAATGGCCTGAACATGGCAAAATCCAATTTAAGTCTGTCTCTATGAGATATTCTTCAAATGATCCATACGTACTTAAAAATCTCAATATTTCGATCAACCCTAGGGAAAAAGTTGGAATAGTTGGTAGAACTGGTGCTGGAAAATCATCTCTAATTGCAGTACTGTTCCGTTTGGTGGATTTTGAAGGCAGTCTTTTCATTGACGATCTTGATACAAAAGAATTAAGTTTGTTTTCGCTACGGTCCAAAATTTCTATTATACCACAAGAGCCTATATTATTTTCGGGAACTGTGCGTAAAAATTTAGATCCGTTTGATCAGTACCAAGACGACCAAATATGGGATGTACTAGAAAAAGTAAAACTGAAAGAATTCATTGGTAACTCTGATCTAGGACTACACAGCAATTTGGCAGAAGGCGGATCAAATTTCAGTGCTGGTCAAAAACAATTGATTTGTTTAGCTCGAGCATTACTGAAAGATAATAAAATTTTAATACTTGATGAAGCCACTGCTAACGTTGATCCATACACCGACGAATTGTTACAGAAAACTATTCGAGAAAATTTTGAAAATTGTACAGTTCTCACTATAGCACATCGATTACATACTATAATGGATTCTGACAAAGTACTAGTAATGGATGATGGCAAAGCAGCTGAATTTGATCATCCCCACGCACTGCTACAAAAGAAAGGAGTTTTCTTTGACTTAGTCATGGAAACGGGAAAGGCGATGGGTGCTAATTTATCGGAAATAGCCCAACAGGTGATTTTTATAATGGAAATTGGCATTTTTACTTACATTAATCCCTTTTTTAGAATTACATAATGAGGCGTAATTATTTGGAACAATCGTAAGCACTTACAAAGTATTCAAATCGCTGTGATACATATGACCATATGTACAAATAATTTATTCAATGTCTTGTTTATTAATAAAATAATAAAAAATGAAAACTGTAGTATGGATTATGTAAAGCCAACTTCTGTGCAAAAATAAATAAATTTTTGTAAAATAACGACAATTTATTTTTTTTAATTTACAAGTACCTATGTACATACATACCTATGTATTTCATAAAAATTGTGAGTCATAAAAATCAAATGTTTGCTATTATGCTTGGTATAATCTCTGTTTAATGTTTTTTATTTTATTAGTTATCAGTGTTATCACTATTTTACTCTTATTTTATTTTTATCTACATTCTACAAATGCTATCCTACCTTACCCTGTATCAAGAGTTTTATTTTACACACGGCACATGAGACACATTTTTAAACAGATGGGCGGAAATCTTGAGTATCATTTTCAAATACCATCGGACACATGATAGATTTTCTGTTTTTAACCCAATCCAAATCTCAGTCTTATGGGTATGTATTGTGTCTTTCAAGTCTCAATCAAACCACCCAAAAAGCTATGAACAATAATTTTGTTTTTTAATTTTCTACTAACTTCACAATTAGTAGTTTTATGAATGGACTCTACTTTTTGCATATTACGGGTAGCAAATCAGTAATCACTTTTATTACTGCTAGACTGCTTTAATAAAGGTCCATGATGACTTTTTAAAGAAAACATTGACCTATTTAAAGTTACGTAAAATTGTCTATGGCTTGAGATTCGTAAACTTCTTAGCAAATAAATAATAATTCCGACCAGCTGCTTTATTAATGTTAACTGGTGACTGATGTATTCGTTATTCAGTAATTGTAGACAATGTAATTAACTTAATTCACAATAACAATAATAAATTGTACGTCATCTTTGGGGTTTGTATCTGCCAAATTTCATAACAGTTCACACATTTTAATTTTTCGTAGTTCACCAGTGGCTTAGTTGGTTAACAGTATTTGTTTAATAACTCCAAGGTTAACAACACAAACGAACCAAATAATATGAGTAATATGACCTGTTGGAATTAAAGGCAATTATTTTAGCAGCAATTAGATAAAAAAAAAACGACACTGATTCGTAATTACATCACAATTTTATCTTATTTAAAAACAAAGTTTTTCTGTTTTATTAAAAATGCGGTATACAGCTGATTACCTACCTCTTCAGTAGTAAGCTTGAAGTGGGGATGAACAAAAGTAAGAAGATTGTTTTCCAAGAATGTTCTAACGACTAGCCTGTCTAATATTACGCAATATTGTCTGATTTTAGATACGTGAATTTGTCTGAAAACACACTTTAATTCAAATCAGCTGTGTTCGCTAAAGTGTTATCTGGTGACTGATGTGTAATTCCTTATTAATTGACACTAAAACTCCTACATTATTTCCCTGGTTAGTATTTATTTATATTAAATAACTAGGTACCATGTAAACCATTTAACTACTGAAATGTTGCCCAAAATTAAAAAAGAAAAAGAATTTTTTTTCGATTCATAGTTAAAACTGTTTTCATAATAAAATATGCCAATTGTAAATATAAAATTCTAATTCATACATACCTAATTACAATTACTCAACTTATGTAACTGAAAAAAACTACCTAAGTATAATACATATGTATGATAGTTCAAACAGCCGAATAGATCAAACTATTTCATTCAACTATCGTTGCTTGTGATAAGGTAAAGGCTAAGCGTGATTTTATAAATTACTAATTTTAATATCTAATTTTTTACGTTTTGTGACATGCGATTTTATGGGTTCAATTTTTAGTGACTACAAATAAAGTTTTAAAACAGCCACGTATTTTTCAAAAATTTCAAACTCATCATATACGCTCTAAAAAACTATAGGTTGGTATTTTTTACAAAACAGAAATCTATCTGTTTTAGAAAATGAACAATAAAATGGACCATAAAGAAAACAAAAGGGAAATACATCCCCAGCTAAATTCTAATTTTCTATCAAAACTGTTTTACTGGTAACTCACAACAAAGTACAAATATTTCCCATTAACAGTGCTCTTCTAGTTGGACATTTCCTATGTTTCAAAAAGGACTCAAAAAGGACCTATCTGAAGAGGATATTTACCCAATACTAGAAAAACATAAGTCATATCAACTGGCAAATCAGATAGAGAAAGAATGGTTTAGACAACAGAAATCAAGTACAAAACCATCTTTATGGAAGGCAATATGGCATATTTTTAAATGGGATATACTTCAATATATGGCTTTATATGCTTTTTTAAATTGGTTTATTAGGTAATTTTTTTCAGTGACATTATTATAATAACATTTGCATTTCTGACAGAATTGTTCGACCCTTGGCTTTGGGAAAACTCATGGGTTATTATTCTTCTAACGAAATAGATTCTTTTAAATACAACAATATCATTTATGCGGCCGTTATAATTATTACTACGCTTGGAGACACTCTAGTCTACAATATGTATGTAATGCAATATTTACAAGTGGCAATGCAAGTTAATGTTGCTTGTTCAGCTGCAATTTATCGAAAAACTTTGCGATTGAGTAAGGAAGTTCTTAGTGAAATTTCAATAGGACATACTGTTAATTTACTAACAAATGACATGAGACAAATAACAAATTTTTGGCGTTGTTTTAATTCTGTATGGTCATCACCAGTTCAAACTACTATTGTACTTTCTTTGCTTTATTTAATGTCTGGACCTACAGCATTAGTTGGAATGGGTTTCGTTATAATTCTCATTCCGTTACAGTGTAAAGTGTACATAATTGCTACAAGAATACTTTTGATGATTTGAGACGTTTTAGTATTAATGAGCAAGAAAGCTGCTGTCTTTAAAATAAAGTCTGCTTTAAAAAGTGATGAAAGGATTCGTCATATGGATGAAATAATTTCAGGAATACAAGTTATTAAAGTTTATACATGGGAGCAACCATTTATTAAACTAATACAAGTTCTTAGGAGGTATGACGGTAATTTATCTATGCATCTTTTTCGTAAAAAAAATTACAGACAAGAAATGGGACTGATAAAAGTTTTGAACTACATAGAGACCTTGCTGTCTTCATTTACGTACTTTGTTAATCGCACTGCAGTTTTTCTGTGTATATTGACATACGTTTTAATAGGAAATAATCCAAATGCTCAATATGTTTTTGTTGTGTTTTCATTCTACGCAGTTTTAATGTCAACATTAACAATGGCACTACCTATAGCAGTATCAGATATTTTAAAAGCTAATGTTTCTATTAAACGAATAGAAGATTTCTTAAATTTAGAAGAAATTGAAACCAAAATTACATCTACGAACGAAACCGGTATCAAAATTGAAAATGCAACTGCCAATTGGACACAAAATACACAGTACAATATAACATTACAAGACATCAACTTTAACGTTCTTCCCGAACAAACAGTTGCCATAGTTGGATCCGTGGGTAGTGGAAAATCGAGTTTATTGCAGATGTGTTTAGGAGAAATTCCTTTGATTAGTGGTGCTGTACAAATTGGTGGAACAATTTCTTATGCTAATCAGGAGCCTTGGCTGTTTGGCGGCACTGTGAAAGAGAACATCTTATTTGGCCAACCTATGATGCATGATAGATATGGAGAAGTGATCAGAATATGTGCCTTAGTTGATGATTTAAGCCGCTTTCCTTATGGAGATAACAGCATTGTTGGTGAGCGTGGTATTCTTTTGAGTGGTGGCCAAAAAGCGAGAATCAATCTTGCAAGGGCGCTCTACAGAGAAGCAGATATTTATTTGCTTGATGATCCGTTGTCAGCAGTTGACGCTAAGGTCGGAAAACAAATTTTTAATAACTGTATCAATGGTTATTTGAAGAACAAATGCACAGTGCTTGTAACGCATCAAATTCAATATCTGACTTTGGTAGATACTATTTATCTGTTGTCAGAAGGTCGAATAATATCTTCTGGTAATTACAAAGACCTCCAAGGATCGGTAACTAATTTTAGTAGACTTTTGGAAAATAGTGATAATGAAGAACATGAAGAAAATTTGGAACAAAACACATTAATTAAAGATTACAGGAAGGAAAATGAATCTGAAGAAAAAAGAGCTTCTGGAAAGGTTACCGGAAAGATTTATGCCACTTATCTACATTCTTTCGGATCATATTTCACTGTTATAATAATTTTACTCTTGTTTATTTTGACAGAATCGTGTGCAACTGCGGCAGATTATTTCGTTACATTTTGGTAAAAATTTTTTCTGAAAAAACTTTATCTACTTTTTTTTTGAATAGGGTTAATCTGGAACAAAAAAGTGCAACCTCGAATGTAACTGTTACCGCCTTTGAAGAATTATTTTTTACAAACGAAAATTGCGTGTATTTTTATTCCTCAATAATTGGTGCTTTAATAATATTGACAGTACTTCGAGCACTGTCTTTTATTAAAGCTTGTATGCATGCTTCTATTCGCCTACATGATAAAATGTTTGCAAGTGTTATAAACGCATGTATGAATTTCTTCTACAAAAATTCTTCTGGAAGAGTACTAAATCGGTTTGCAAAAGACATTGGTAGTATAGACCAACAACTTCCAGACTTAATTCTTAATACACTTGAAGTATGGACACAAGATATGTAATATAAATTTTAAGTTGTTTTCTTTTAGATAACCTTACAAATTTGTGGTTCTATTATAGCAATTTCTGTGATAAATCCTTTAACGCTACTGCCAACACTTGTGGTACTTGTCGTTATGTTTTTTATCAGAAAAATTTATTTGGCAAGCAGTTTGAGTATAAAGCGAATGGAGTCTACATGTAAGAGAATTACAGTCATTAGGTAAAATAAAAAAAAATTGTTTATAGGTAGTAGCCCAATTTTTGCACATTTGTCGGAATCTGCAAAAGGCCTAACAACTATTAGGGCACTTAAAGCAAATCAAATAGTTGAAAACCAATTTTATAATTTACAAAATTTACATACCTCAGTTCATTACATGAATATAAGCGCTAACAGAGCTCTTTCCGTATGGCTTGACTGCGCCTGTGTCTTTTACCTTCTCAACGTCACTGTGTTTGCATTAACAAGGGGTAATTTTGTTATACCTATTATAAAGAAATATCTGGTGATTTTAATTTTTAGAAACATATGGAGGCAATATTGGTTTTGTTATTACTCGCGCAATGGGTATAACTGGACTATTTCAGTGGGGAATACGAATGTGGAGTGCAATAGAAAATGAAATGACTTCCGTTGAAAGAATTGTTGAATACACAAAAATTGAACAAGAAAATGATAGCAAAAAGGAAATTCCTTCAAGTTTATGGCCAGATGCAGGAAAACTGGAATTTCGATCTGTCTACATGCAGTATTCTGCGCAAAGTCCATATGTCCTCAAGAAATTAAATTTTTTGGTCAAATCTAGGGAAAAAATTGGAATCGTTGGTCGCACTGGAGCTGGCAAATCATCTCTCATTCCAGTGTTATTTCGTTTAATCAATTTTGAAGGCAATGTCTTTATTGACGATGTTGACACTAAAGAAATTTCATTGTCTTCCCTACGATCAAAAATTTCAATAATTCCACAAGATCCTGTTCTTTTTGCAGGATCGGTACGAAAAAATTTGGATCCTTTTGATCTTTATAAAGATAGTGAAATTTGGGGTGTTTTGGAAGAAGTACAATTGAAAGACTTTGTCAGCAATTTACCTTCAGGGATGTTTAGTAAACTATCAGAAGGTGGTTCCAATTTCAGTGTTGGTCAAAAACAGTTGATTTGTTTAGCGCGAGCACTTTTAAAGAAGAACAAAATATTAATTCTCGACGAAGCTACTGCTAACGTTGATCCTCAGACCGATGAGCTTTTACAGAAGTCGATAAAAAATAACTTTGAAGATTGTACAGTTTTAACCATCGCTCATCGTTTGCATACAATAATGGATTCTGATAAAGTTATAGTAATGGATGATGGATTAATTGTTGAGTTTGATCATCCAAATCTACTATTAAACAATAAGGGAGTTTTCTATAATCTAGTTATGGAAACTGGGAAAAGTATGGGAAAAAAATTACTCGAAACAGCACAAAAGGTTTGTATGCTTTGTAAAAATTTTTCATAAATTATTTTATTTTTTACAGAATTATAACACCAAAATGTGATGGATGATCAACAATTTTGTATTTATATGGAAAATGAATATTTTATTTTTATTTATTACAGCATACTATACTTAAATAAAATTTATTCAAATATGTATTTTAATCATAATTATGTTTAAAAAATAAACAACTTTTTCCCAACCTTTACCAAAGTATTTAATTTATTAATATTCTATTTTGATAAACTGGACTAATGTGTAATACAAATATAATTCTAATGATTCAGTTTTATTCATTGACATAATTTAATAAATTTCCACTATTCCAAATTAAGAGCCAATACGATGTAGTATTGAAATTTGTGTTTTTACCATATAAAATTTTGATATTCTTTAAACTCCATTATTATTCTAGTTGATAGCAATTTAGTAAATTCAAGGTTTTAACTCAAACGAATCAGATAGTGTGTCCTGTCGGAATTAAAATCTAATTTGTAAATAAAAAAGGTCGCTGATTCGTAACATTAGTGCATTTATTAACTTGCATAATACAAAAATGCCAGGTATTTAATTGTTATTGCAATAATTGTAGTAAACAAAAAATATATTATAAAACCACCACCAGCGTGGTTGATGTAGCTTAACTCTTGTGATCCAAATTTTTTTTGGAAATAATTTATATCTTGGAGAATTTAAGAATTGTTGAATCATTATTTCACCACTTTTTATATAAATTAAATAATGCAGCACATGATAAGAAAATGTATTTAAGCACATTATCTATTAACTGGAACAATAACTTGAAGTCACTGAAGTATTTATTCAATTTTACCTTTATTTGCTTTACCAACATTTAAATATGAAAAGCGATTATACTTTGAATTTATGTAGATAATTTTAAAGAGTTAAAACATTACAGTAGTAAGCATGACAAACTAATTTTTCTGTGTTTTGAAAAATCTAATTTAAATTTTGTGTACGATTTTTTTTTTGTTTCATAAGTGAACAAAAAAAATTGTTTCTCTTTTATAATAATTGTAATGACAAAAAACACAATAGTAGTAGTAGTAGTTTTATTAAATTGTTGGCTTATTCTTAAAAATTCTTAATCTAACCTTGAAATATACATACCTATATACCTACATATCTATAAAAAAAATCTGTTGAGGTAAATACTAGATACTAAAAACATTAACAGTTAAAATATGAGAGGGTTAAAGTCTGACACTTTATGAGTATATTCGCATAGTTTTTGATTCAATATAAAGCACTTGTGATAAAACATCTGCTCTCGAATAATGATTTAATGGTTTTCATAATGTAATTTTTATTTAGTTGTAATAATAATTTTTCTTCGTATAGTTAGTCGAAGCAAATACTCGTCCAGAAAACGAGTTCTTATTGGTAATATAGTATTATTAATTTTAAAATTGTAATTATTTTACTTTGATGTCATTCATTATTTTAACAAGACAATTTGAGAGACCAGAGACAACCAGAGACTAATTGATTAGACGAATTTATTTAACATTTAACAGCCACACTTACTTACCAACTTAGAGGAATAGAGGAGATTATTGTTAAAAAACAAAAAACTTTTTTCTTGTAAAAGTTAATCTTATCCTCTAAACCATATAGTCGTTAGGATAAAATAAACCATGTTACGATACATCGAATAACGTTAAATTATTATTGAAAATTTGAATTTTATTATTTTAAGTCTAAAAACTGAAGGTTCAAAATTATTAATGATTTTCTGTTAACTTGAAGATTACACAATTTTCCATCAAATACTTTGTCATTTGATTTCCATTGTGTATTTATTGTGATCAGTAGATTGAAATCATGTACGCATAATATGTCCTCGATGAAGATTATTTTATCAAGTATATTTAAATTGTTTTTAAAGATCTATTTGATTATCGCTTTTTGTACTATGTATTGTGTTATTTAGATCAGAATGAAGCTACAATTATCATTGATTTTTAAATAATTCAATCAAAATTTTGCAATTTCTACAAACACCAAGTATTTACATAGTTGCTCAGTAATTACTCGTATTATTGTTTACACGGTTTATTTTTATGGATTAGTAGGTATGATTTTCTCATAAACTCACCTCTCCTGATGTTATTTTCACTTCTACTTTAAGTTTTCTATTTCTTAGTTAATAACATTTGTAAGTTGAAGAATTATAATGACTTTTTTACTGAATTAATAAAATTCAATATGTACATACATAGAAACAAGGTAATAAATAATAAAAGTTGCTAATAAATAAAAGATTTTTATTGAGACAAATTTAATCATAAAATATGTGGTTTAGGAATTTTACAACATTTAGAAATTATTCTTTAAGTTACAAATTTTTTGTTTGTTTTTTGTGTAAGTCATTAAATTGCCGCCTTACTAGGTCTTAGCCTTGTCCGACTATGCCTAAATCCGTCTCTGTCTATTCATTAATTTAAAATCCTAAATAATGCGTTAAACATAGATAAGCAAAATCAACTAACATACGTGGTAAGATAGTCGTTGGAGACCGCATAACCGCAACTATTTATAATAATACATATTTAATCGTATTCCAAACTTAAGATAAAAGTTGTTTGCGATTGTATTGCGAGTTCAGTCGCGAATGAGATGAGGAGTGAGTCGGTGCGAGCGTGAATGTTACGTAACTCTGATGACCTAAGTTCTTATATTAATTCTGTGGTCACTTTTTTATAAATTTTATTTGGTGAGCTTCCTAATATTGTTTAAATACAATTTGAATTACATAATAAAGCCACTGGTAAACAGCAGTTGTCAAATTTCGGCGAAATGCTGGTAGCAGATTTCCAGACGATTTATTGACTACAATAGATTTGAAAAAGCATATAATCGTATTGGTTCAAAACTCTTATGATGTTGACAAAGCCAATCCTACATTTGAGTTTTCTTTCAAATAAAATATTTTTTCAATTAATATTTCTACTTTATGGACTTAATTTATGTAATTGAACGAAATGTAGAGGAAATTCGAGTATCGATTACATTTATTTCATTTTCTAATACTCGAAGTTTTTTGACCTTTGTATTTCATCAGCTTGTGCAATAAAAAAATATTTAAAATTTAAATGGAATTATCATGTGAATATATTATACACCGTGCTGATACTGAACCAATTATTTTAAGATGTAATTAAAAATCAAACAAATATCTGGTGTCCGGAAAGTCGCCCACCTCCGTGACACTGTATCATCGGGCAATGCCCTAGACCTAAATAGACAACAAGAAAAATGTTAAAAAAATCCATCTATAAAAATTGTTAATGTTATTTGTGGGTTTTATTGGCAAAATTCTTGTACTTTTACAAAATAATTATAAAAAAACATATAGAAGATCATCAGTATCATTAAATAGACATAATGTCAAATGTCAAAAAATAAATGTCAAAATTTTTTGACAAATAGAATTTTTTAAACATTTTTTAGTACCCTCCCAATTACTCTCTTTGAAGGAGGTGCGCCATTTTCCCCGATACCTGTAGTCCCTAATTTCTGTAAAAAAATTTACATTACTAAAAAAATTTGCCTTCGTTCTCTATTTCGCGAATTCAGAACACTTTTTAAATGGATCTTTAGGGGATTAACACATTGTAATAATAATTATTTTGCCCATCATTTCAAAACTAGTTTATATAGATACAGGGTGTTTCACATAACTTTACGAGGCTTGCGCCTAATGTACGCACCCAAATATACAAAAGTCACAGAACACTGGATACAAAAAATACACATTTAATTATTTAATTTTTGGAAACCCTTGACAGTAGTTGTCAAACTAATCACTGTTTCATTAATGGTCATAAACTGCAGATTTTCAGAAACAATTATAATTTGTTCTATCAAGAGACGTCATGAATATGATTGTAGTTTATCTATCTTAATCACTAACTAAAAATGTTGTAATTTTTGAAAGGGTGAACAAACTAGAGAAGATTATCCAATTTTTCAAAATTTGTAATCGAGTTCGTATTGGAATATGTATTATTGATTGCATCTTACAGGCGCAGACCTCGTAAAATTACGTGAAACACCCTGTATTTTAAAAACACCTTAGCTGAATTATTTGGAACTTTGTACACGTGTAGAATTTGAAAAACTTCATTGTTTTTATGAAACCCATTTCGAACCTCTTTTAAAAAAGCGAAACGGAATATAAAATACAAGGTGATCCACGAGAAATAATGAGCCTGACCAAATTCTCGATGCAACCACCATTTCTCTTCGCAAGTTATTTTGCGACAACTGTAATGTTGGTTGCATCGAAAATTTGGTCAGGCTCATTATTCCTCGTGAATTACTCTGTATACTACGATTGTGTGCTAAATTAAAACCACATTATTGTCAGAATTGTCATTAGTTTGGTTTAATAATGAATAAAAATTTTACTTACTAAACATGTTTAACTTTCCAGAATCGCCACAATGGAGGATAAGCAAAGATGTCAACTCAATCCCAAGAAACAATCTATTCATCCAAAACAGAAAGCCGGTTTTTTATCTAACGTTTTCTTTTGGTGAGTGACAGTTGTTGTGCAAGTTCTGACATCTAAATCAATTTTTTGCAGTTGGGCTTTACCTCTATTTGTGAAAGGTTTTAAAAAAGATCTTACCGAGGATGATCTTTACGGACCACTTAAAGCTCATGACTCAAAACGGTTAGGAGACTTATTAGAGGAAGCGTGGTTTAAGGAAGAGACTACGCGCCATAAACCCTCATTTTGGCGGGCTATTATTAAAGTTTTTGGGAGGGAGTTTGGACTACTTGGAATATACGTTGCTGTGATAGAATTTTTTATAAGGTTGGAAATTAGCTTTTTCCTATGTAGATTTATATACCAAAATTTTTTTTTCAGATTGTCTCAACCTTTATTCCTTGGAAAATTAATGGAGTATTATACGCCTAACCAAACGTCGATGTCTAAAAACACCGCTTACTGCTACGCGGTCGGGATTGTTGCAATGTCTTTCGCAAACGCACTATTAGGTCATTCTTGTGTTTTTGGTCTAATGCATTTAGGAATGAAAGTTCGAGTAGCGAGTTGTTCACTGATTTACCGAAAAGCTCTTAGACTAAGCAAAAGTGCTTTGGTTGATACTACAGTTGGTCAAATGGTCAATTTATTATCAAACGACGTTAATCGTTTTGACATGAGTGTTATCCATCTACACAATCTATGGGTGGCTCCCTTTCAAGTTGTTGTTATGGTATATTTGCTTTACACCACTGTGGGCCCCACCTCGCTTGTTGGAGTAGGATTTTTATGCCTCTTCATACCTTTTCAAAGTAAGTTTCTAAACGTTAGAACACTTAATCATTTTGTACGTTTTCAGTGTATCTGGCCAAAAGAATTTCAGTCTATAGACTTCGAACAGCTCTAAAAACAGACCAGAGAGTGCGTCTTATGAATGAAATCATTTGTGGTATTCAAGTTATTAAAATGTATACTTGGGAAAAACCATTTGCTAAATTAGTTCAAGTGGCTAGGAAGTATGTAAATGTATGACTCTTTATACACATTTATTTATCAGTGAAAACTAATAGTTGCATAGGTGAATTCTATATTACTAAATTAGTCATTTTTTTCAGATTGGAAGTACAACAAATCAAGGCTGCCTCCTACATTCGCGCTATCAATCTTTCTTTAAATATATTCCTAAACAGAACTGCAATTTTCTTATGCGTGTTGACCTACATTTTAACTGGTAACACATTGCATTCTCAATATGTTTATGTCGTGACGTCATATTATGGCGTTTTAAGACAATCCATAGTAATGTTTTTACCACAAGCTATTACTACGTTGGCCGAAACTAACGTTTCTGTAAAAAGAATTGAAAAATTTTTAACCTCCGAAGAACTACAAAGCAAAAAACAACTCCTGCTTGGTATGAATACTCACGATTTTGATCTAAAAAACAAGAAAGAAAAGAACGGATCCATTGCTCTTATACAGGAAAAACAGCTAAATGTTGGTGTACAAATGAAAGATGTCTCAGCAAAATGGGTCTCATCATCGGCGGATTATATACTGACTAACATCAGCATGAGTGTGGGTTCTAACGAGTTGGTGGCAATCGTTGGTCCTGTTGGAAGTGGCAAAACAACTCTTTTACATGTGATTTTAAAAGAACTGTTATTGAGTCAAGGAAATTTAGATGTTGGTGGAACAATTTCCTACGCCTCTCAGGAACCGTGGCTCTTTGGTGGCAGTATTAAACAGAATATATTATTTGGTCAAAAGATGGACATTAAACGGTACAAGGAGGTTGTACGGGTTTGTGCCTTGGAGCGCGATTTTTCTTTATTTCCTTATGGTGATAGAACAATAGTCGGGGAGCGTGGGGCTATGTTGAGCGGAGGCCAAAAAGCACGTATTAATTTGGCTAGGGCTATATATAAAGAAGCCGACATCTATCTTCTTGATGATCCTCTATCAGCTGTTGATACTCATGTAGGAAAACAATTGTTTGAAGATTGCATCGCTGGTTATTTGAATAATAAATGTGTAATTTTGGTTACACATCAACTGCAATATCTACGAACCGTAAACAAAATTTATTTATTGGACAATGGAAAAGTGATCATTAGCGGAACATACAGTGAACTGAAAAAGTCTGATGAAGAATTTCTTAAACTTTTAGAAGACGAAACTGAAGAAGAAATTGAAGATGAAAGGAGAGTTTCAGTGAAAAAAGCAAAATCTCTAAAGAGTCTAGAAACTTTGGAAATGCCGGCAGAACTAAAAGAACAACGTGGAAGTGGTAACATATCTGGAAAAATTTATAAGAGCTATATGAAAGCTGGCGGAAGTTTCATTTCCTCTTCCCTCTGTGTATTTTTGTTTGTTTTGGCTCAGTTGGGTGCAAGCGGTACAGATTATTTTTTGTCGTTTTGGGTTAACTTAGAGCAAGAACGTTTGGAAACCAATACTACAGTTCTTGCTAATGCTGAATTTAACGACACATACTATAAAGAAGAATTTCGAGAATTATTTTTTAATTCAGAAAACTGCCTGTACATTTATACTGCTTTAATCATCTTTGTCATCGTTATAACTTTGACGCGATCTTTGAATTTCTTCAGATTTTGTATGAAGGCTTCACGAAATTTGCATGATTGGATGTTTTCAAGAGTTGTCCATACATTTATGAGGTTTTTTAATACTAATCCTTCTGGAAGAATTCTTAACAGATTTTCAAAAGATATGGGATCTATTGATGAGATCCTTCCACAAACTGTAGTGGATACTTTGCAAATTGGTCTTATCGCACTTTTTGTCAATATCGTTATTGCCACTGTGAATACATGGATTCTGATTCCTAGTGTGATAATATTTGGATTGTTTTACGCATATCGAATAGTGTTTTTGGCCACAAGTCGGGATCTTAAAAGGATGGAAGGAACAAGTAAATACGAGTATTTTTCTTAATAATGATTTTTTATGCATTTTTTTTAGCTCGAAGTCCGGTTTTCACACATATGACGGCATCTTTGCAAGGGTTAACGACAATAAGAGCTTTTGGAGCGCAAGAAATTCTTCGAGCTGAATTTGATCAACATCAAGATCTACACAGTTCAGCCTTTTACTTGTTCATGGGGTGTAACAGAACTTTTGGGTTTTGGTTGGACATACATTGTGTCATCTATATTGGTTTAGTTACTCTTAGTTTTCTTTTCATTGGAACTGGTAAGTTTGACAAGATTAAAAAAATGAATTAATCTTTTTTTTTGCAGAAACGTATGGAGGAAACGTCGGTTTGGGGATAACACAAGCAATTACTTTAACGGGAATGTTTCAATGGGGAATGCGCCAATGGAGCGAACTTGAAAATCAAATGACTTCCGTAGAGCGTGTCGTCGAGTACACAGAGGTCGAAGTTGAGCATGATGATGCAACTAAAAAGCCGCCACAAGATTGGCCTACCATGGGCATCATTGAATTTCGCTCGGTATCAATGCGATACGCGGCAGAAGAGCCTATGGTGCTTAAGAAATTGAATTTTAAAGTAAATTCGGGCGAAAAAGTGGGAATTGTGGGTAGAACAGGTGCCGGAAAGTCTTCTTTAATATCAGCTTTGTTCCGATTAGCTGACATCGAGGGTGCCATATTGATTGATAACATTGATACCAAACAAATTTCTTTGGAATGTCTTCGTTCAAAAATATCTATAATACCTCAAGAGCCAGTATTATTCTCAGGCACTTTGAGAAAGAATTTAGATCCTTTTGACGAATTCAACGATGAAGAGTTGTGGGACGCTTTGGAAGAAGTTGAATTGAAGAATGCAATTTCGGATCTTCCTGCCGGGTTGCATTCTAACGTATCAGAAGGTGGCACAAATTTCAGTGTCGGACAAAGACAGCTGCTGTGTTTGGCCAGGGCAGTAGTTCGTAGTAACAAAATATTGGTTTTGGATGAAGCTACCGCTAATGTTGATCCGCAGACGGATGAGTTGATACAATCTACGATTAGGAGAAAATTCAAGGATTGCACTGTGCTAACGATTGCTCATAGACTGCATACTGTGATGGATTCCGACAAAATACTTGTGATGGACGCTGGACAAGCTGCTGAATTCGATCATCCACATGTCCTTTTACAAAACAAAGAAAGCATATTTTACGGACTTGTTCAACAAACAGGAAAAGGAATGGCTGACAATCTTATGAAAATTGCAGCAGAGGTAGGATAATTTTGTACTAAATGATTGAACTGTCGTACATCTTTGTTTTTTCAGGCCCATGCAAAAGTTCCTAAAGTGTGATTAAGAATTTACTTTATTTATATTGTACTTAATATAAATATAGGATAATAAAATATTTTTGAAAACAATTTGCTTTTATTTCTCTTAAAACTCATTGTTACCCGACCCTTGTTTTCCTCTTTGTGTTTTTTTAGTTTATTAAATAAAGGGCTTGTTTGTTAATGTTTTTTTACTGATGTTAATAGAAAAAAATTATGTAATTAATTATTAATGATCATAACAAAAATTTATTCATTGCAGACGTTTGCAGTTACATTCCAATGTACTATTATGGTGTTCTTTTGCAAAATAGTGTTACTTTTTAATACAAACACGTTTTTACTGGATTACTTAATAGAATAGTGACAAATTGTAATTAATCGCTCTATAGATAAACGAAACCGACCACACGATAATGTAATATACCGAATGGCCGTTTATGGGAAATTTTCTGCTTTCGATAATTGAGCGGATGTAGAGGTAATTGAACTAAAACATTATGGTAATGGGATATTAATAAAGAAAGGCATTGTATAATTTTTTTGACAGATCAATAGAAGGAAGGCAAGTAGCGAAGAGAAAGTCTTAAAGGCACGCCGTATATAACAAGTACCATTTATAACCATGATATAGTGATGTAAATAAAATTGTAGGTATATTGATTTATTATCTAAACGGTATTACATCTTATTAGAAAGTGAAAATTGATTCACTTTCAGTGTACTTATATTTCATAATAAAAACTATTACGACAAACGAAGGGTTATTATTGTTTCCTATAATCTTGAAAAGTGATAATGATGTATTTTGATTCATTTATCTACGCAGGTGTTCTTTTTTTGTCTATTTGTTCTGTGTAATAATAAATTGTGCTCTGTAATTGACATTAAAGGTCACTCATTTAATTCTAAAAAGTAATTTCTAGTGCCCACTCCAGTAATTATTTTGAATATCTACAGCTTGAAATTAGGTAACAATCTGTCTTTAAGAAAATTTCGAGGTAATTTTTAATAGGTAACTATTTCAACTTTCAACGTTGTCGATGAGTCAACACAACTTAAAAAACGCTTAGTGCTATTAGAATTTAAAATTTTTATTGTATACTAAATATTTTCTGAAAAAAAAATTGTAAACATAATTAATATTAAAGGCGTTTTTAAATAGAGCTACTAATTTAAACAGATTTGTTAAAAAGGAAAAAAGTGGGATTTGACTCCATTTTTTCAAAAATTTTTACTCATATGTTTTAAAAATGGATAGAAAGGAGTTTTTGTTTTATTCAAAAATAAAATACTTGATGTATTTACACTTACTTGATGAAAAAAATAAGAAATCCTGTGAGCTGAAATTGCTTCAGGAAATTAATCTTGATTTTACGCTTACTGTAATAATCTTATTGCTTACCTAATCAAGGCCTGAGAAAATAAGAAAATTTTTATGTTGCATAGTAATTCAACGGCACTGTTCAATGAACAATTATGTCACAAACGACGGGGTTTTTATAAAAATTGCTGATAGTGCTAATTGGTGGTTAACACAAAGAATATAACGAACGAGAAAACTAAGTAGGGCTGAATTGTGGTACACAATCAGTACGGAATAAGTGAGTGAAAATGAGTGTGTACATCAACATGTCGGGGTAAGGGATTGTTTTTTGTTTACTGCTTCTACCTAATAGTAAAATCTAAGAGCAATTAATGATAATTGATAAGAGTGATGTGTCTGCGGAATTTTCGGATTGTAGAAATAGATTGGGCAAGTGGTTAAAGAGTTTATCTATGTATGTACACCTTGCACGTATAATAAATAGGTAATTAAAAAAAATGTGTACAACACTTATAAAACCACGCAAAACAAATTTTATACATAACATACATAAAGAGAAATAATAAAAATATATACTTTTTATTTTTTTATTTCACAAAATCCCTAACTATATTTGATCAAATCTAAGAAAAAAGTGCTCACTCTAAATTCTTAGCAACCACAAGACCAACCAGTAGTAAGTCAAATTTACAATAAACTTTTTTTTCATTTTAACTAATGTTTACCTATTTTTTATTTATCAAAATCAACATCAACGATTTTTTACGTAAGACGATGAAACAATAAAATGTAGATTCTTATTTAATTCTCTATATAAATCTACGAAGAACTAAATACTAAATTAAAGCTTTAGGTATCCGTTGTTGGACATTAGATTTAAGTACATGAAGAATTAAATAAAAACGCACATTTAATTAATTAATTAATGGCCACCTTATCTATGTACTTGTTAGCAGACCATCGCTTAGATTATTTTATTAATATTACATTTGGTTTTTACTATTGGGACTTTCTCGTGATCTCTAAGTTTGAGTACATTGGCCTAGGAATCTTCCCAGCGAGCATTTCTTGTTTCTCTCTACGACGTTGTTTATGTATACGTTTATTACTTACCTTGGCTTACTGTTCTCACTTTTCACTTTCTTTCGTTGCCTTGATGCCTGCATTAGTTAAAAAATAAGTACTTAATTCGGTTTTCATTATTGATGGTTATTATTGATTTATATTTATAATAATTATCACACAAAACATTACTGTTGTATATACAGGGTGTCAATTTTAAAACTTACAAGTGACAATCTCTAGGAATGTTATTGAGAATCACTCAAAACCGTTTCGGTAGTTCGTCACTTAGCATGTCATTTTGATTCTCCCTAGGAACCACCGAAACGGTTTTAAGTGATTCTCAGTAGGTAAACTCTTTCAGTTCCAGATATTGCCGATTGGAACTTTTAAAATTGACACACTGTATACAGGGTTATTCATAAATATGAAGCAATATTTGAACCTCAAAAATGACCTATAAAATGATGTTAATTTAAATAATAACTCGTGTCCTATCTCTACTGATAAGTATTTTACAGCCCTCGGAATGTGGGTATGGAAAATTGATTTTTTTGTAATAACTTTGGAACTATTTGACCAAATATTATAAAATTTGGAACATTTCCTTGTGACAACATACCTTTTGAACTGGTAATCACGAAAACCGGATACCCGCTATTTGGGCAATAAAAAATTAGTGTTAAGAGAACAAAAAAATGGGAAAACACAGAAAAAGTGACCTGCAACTGCTGGAACCGGAAATTAAGTGGATGTATCCGGTTTTCGTGATTACCAGTTCAAAAGGTGTGTTGTCACAAGGAAATGTTCCAAATTTTATAATATTTGGTCAAATAGTTCCAAAGTTATTACAAAAAAATCTAATTTCCATACCCACATTCCGAGGGCTGTAAAATTCAGTAGAGATAGGATACGAGTTATTATTTAAATTAACATCATTTTATAGGTCATTTATGAGGTTCAAATATTGTTTCATATTTATGAATAACCCTGTATATTTTAAAAAGTAATAGTAGAGGTCAAAAAAAGGCAAGGTGATTCAGTTTGCTGTATCCGAATGTTGATGGTTACCAAAACATACAAAATTTAAATCGCTAAATAAATACAAAATTTTCTTGCTTCTTTAATCCTTTTTTTTTCTAAATTTTTTACATTAAAAGATGTGTTAAAGCTGGCACAAACTGCAGTAAAAATAACCAATTGATCCTTTAGGATCTAGAGTCCCTTAAGAACTTTTTTTGGCGAAGATTTTGACTTAAGTATAACCTTATCTATAACCAAGAGTATCTATAAATAAAAAATAAGATTAAACTAGTTGTGTTATTTGCCAATTTTAAAAATTACTTTTTAAAATTTTTGCAAAAATATTAAAATTGTACATGTTATTAGGTTGTAAGTACAATAAAATTTTAATTAATCTAACGGCAAATTTCTTTGGAGTCTTCTAATGTAAATTTTAATTTTTTTCGGTATGCTTACTGGTTATAAAATGTTCTTAAATCTACAACAATTGCTTCTTAATTAAAATAACAATAATTAAAAAGGAAATAAAGAAACAGGAACGATTTATTTAACACTAATTAAGTAATTATTTTGACCAAGGCTAGTGTTCTTTGTTAAAACTAAACAAAGTGATTTTTACAATACTGCTCCAATCTGAAATTGAATAGACGTAATTTCTAATTAGTAATTCTAATTTGTATAACCTCCACATTGTTAATTTTTAATAATAAAAATAAAGAAATTATCTATTGACGTCTTTATTTCATTGTTGAAAAATTCTCTCAATTTAAGTTTCCTTCTTTACCTAGCATTTAATTTTCTAGACGTTAAGTTTATTGATTAAACTATTGAACGCCTAATAAGTTTAATAATCATTTTAAAATTGCAATTTTTAATATACCTACTTATCATATTTATGAAACAAGGCAGTCTAATGCACCATTATTAAAGAGTAATTACTGCAATCAACTTGCGTTATTTCAGAAAATAATAATAAAATGACAAAATCTCTGTGAACTTCGTGACAGAATTTTTTTTTTGCTAATTTTAAAACGATTGTTTATTGTTTGTCTCGATATTAATTCCACTCTGTTTGAATAGTGAAGGTACAGCGATGGTAGGTAAGTTCAACTCGCAGTTCAACAGCGAACGCATTTAACATGTGCTGCACAAGCAAAGAACGGTCAGTATGTTGAGCAACAACCTGATACCAGTGATAACAGTGTAATATTTATCGTACACTTTATTTTTTATTGTGCAAATGTTCTGATACAATACTGTGTTCATAATCTTCCTTAATCGATAGAGGCTTTAAAAAGGTATGTATATTACAATTTTTATATCTAGTTGCAAAACAATACAATAAAATACTTACAAAAAATGTATAAATGATTTTAAACGGTTGGGTAGCCAAGCAGAATCAGAGTTACCTTTTGAAACAATCTGAATACGTTAAAAAATATTATAACTGTAATTTTTTGAGTGAATTAAGAGTCAGGATAATTAAAAAAAAACAGTTAATATTTATTAAAGAACCTATAGAGTATAGGTAAACTAGCCCTAAATATTAATTTATATGGAAATAAGTTGCTTACATAATACATATTTACTTTAGATCTAGGTCAGTGCAGGTAAAAATGTTGGTGCATACATATTAATTACACATGTTAATCCAATTTATGATTGCTCAAACGTTAGTCAGCTAATTACTGATGTATAGTGCAAAAAAGCACAAATCAAAAATGTACCTTCTCTTATTATTTTTTGTGTTTATAGCCACAATTATTTTATTTATAACAACAACAGGAGTATAACCAATAATTTTATACTTTAATTACATACTGATGTAATGTAAAAAACCGTCACTCTTATATTTTTTATTAAATATGTAGGTTTTTTTCTAGTTATGCTTTAAATAAGAAGGGTATTGTTACATTGCATCTGTAAAGCAAAACAAGGCGATTCAGATAAGATAATGAGCCCGACGTTCTAGCGATGCAACCCAAGAAACAAATTTCATTTACGTCTTGATCTAATAATTGCATTTTTTGCAATCTCTGAAAGTGCTTTGACAAGCAATTTATGGTTTATGAAAAAAACTGTTTACCTACCTTTAATGTTTTATTGATTCACACATTTTGTATTGAGTTTACACTGAAAAGACTTCTCTAATTTCTCTATCATTCCGCGAGAACTGAATGGCACTAATGATCGTTCTCTGCACTGACATCAGAGTGCTATAAGATGATAACTTGGATTCAACTTGCTAATCCTAATTTAAATTAGATCAAAGGCGTAAATAAAATTTGTTATTTGGGTTGCATCGCCAGTTCGTTAGGCTCCTTATCTTATCTGAATCGCCCTGTATATTTCAGGCATTATTGGTTGCAAGTTTTTACAACTTTGAATATCTGTCGTTATATTTGTAAACTAATCAATCACATTTTACAGAAATTATTTATTTAAAATAAAGATAAAACATACAGGGTGTTCAAAAAATCGCGCACTTCCTTGAAAGGGAGTAATTACTACCCAATTGGGGAGTACTGAAAATATGTTTAAAAAATTCTATATGTCAAAAAATTTTGACATTTATTTTTGGACATTTAACATTTTTTTTAGGTCTATTTAATGATACTGATGATCTTGTAGATGTTTTTTTTTATAATTATTTAATAAAGGTACAAATAACAATAAAACAATAAAAGCCACAAATAACACTAAACAGAATTACAATTTACAATACAGCTTCTTTGTTTCCTCCTCTAATAGCTTGTAGCAAAAAAACTTCGGAATTTTTAGAGATAAATTTTTTTAAACATTTTTCTTGTTGTCAAGGGCACCGGCCGATGACACAGTTGCACACACAGTGCGCGATTTTTTAAACACCCTATATAGGAAAACTATTACTCGGATATTAATTAAAAATTTGTCAATGTAATAGTTACTCACAAGATGACCTATCATTTTTCGATATTGCATTTATTTCAAACATAATAATTCCAGATTGAAAACAAGTAGTAAGTCAACTTTTTAGTCACAGGAACAATGATTTTTTATGACGTGTAGGGTTTTTACAAAATTACAACCTTCACTCTTTGTAGTTACATTAATCACTTGTACATACACAATTGTTTTCATTTTTAAACAGGAATTCATAAACATCATAATTCACATTTTAAAAGGAATGAATAATAAATCCAACATATTAGGTACTTTTTTAATTTTGTAATAAGTACACTGTTTTCGGGTTTCTCAAGGAACGGCACGAATATGATTGTAGATTATCTATCTTAATCACTAACTAAATAAAAAAGTTGTAATTATAAATAATGGTAAACAAACTAGAGATGATTTTGCAATTTTTCAAAATTTGTAATTGAGTTCGTATCGGAATATGTATTATTGATTGGTCCATTGAGGATGTTTTTTTGAATTTCTGATTTTGTTTATTTTGTACTTATTTCAAGTATTTATATTATAACAAACTAAAACAACTTTAAACAAAGAAGTTATATTTTTCTTTATTTGTAGTTTGTGTATAAGTAATATCCTGTTATGAAATATTACTTAAATATTTGGTAACAGTTACAGTTTTCGCACCTTTCTTTTTGCATTGTTCATTTGTTAATTTGTATCCACTACAAACAGTGAAGAATCTGTAAAAGGATCACTTTCACCAGACGTGGTCGATAACCTCCATAACTTTAAAAAAGTTACTACTCTTGAACCTCAAGATCAAATTTACTTATACAAGTTTAGGTAAATAATAAAGGATATACCTACATTCTTAGTGTTGTTTAATTTTTAAAATCAGATGGTCAAGTATATTAAAAAGTAACAGAAGCGACTGACCCTGAGCGGCTAAAAATGTTCTTGAAGAAACAACAAATTACCACAAAACAGACACAGCAGTGCCAGTGGTATACAAACCGCTTCGAGAGCTGTTTGTTTTGATCAAGGTTAATAATAATAACTGACTTCGATATTAAATAACAGTTACAATACTTACAATGCTTCGTAGTAATGTTGCATGTTGTTTTTCAAGTGAGAGGAAAATGCATCTGTAATAATTTAGAGTGAATCTATAAATGTACTCAAGTGTTCTTGTGCTAGCTAAGATATTACATCAGGTATGTTGTTGCAGTGTAAGTCATCGTCACGACGTTATTTTGATATGAAGACTTGTAGAAAACTAATTATTTCAAAATTATTAATAGTAGTGTGAATTGTGAAATTTTTCCTTGACTTTACAAAGTATACATCTTAATGGAAAGTTACAAAAACTATTTTCTTTATGACGTTATTCGTTTTTGCTAATTTTGTAAAGGTGCTAAATTTAGACTAATGCAGGAATACACATCGCACACCTAGATCAAAATCCTAACGATTAAAAAAACACATTTTTTGAATGTCGAAAAACATATGCTTATAAGCTTCTGTTTCTGTAGGCGTTTCTTGTTTTCTGCAAAATTGTTATTTACATTCTGTTATCTTTTACTGAAACCAGCGTTTTATTTTTGTATCGTTTTTGAAATACCTAGGTCTTTAAAAAACGTTTAAAAAACGTCTTTAAAATTTTACAATCACACATATACAGGCTGTTTCATAACATAGTCGAAAAAAGTTCAGATTTTGCTCAGTTTATGATAAATTTGTAGCGTTTGTCAAAAATGACAATGGCGATGATTGATGATAATAATAAACATCGTGGATTCAAATTATATTTTTTTAAAGCGTCGCAAAGCAACTTGAGAAAGTGTAATGGTGATTGCATCGAGAATTTGGTCAGGCTCATTATTCCTCGTGATTATGATACATACTGGATGTACAGCAATAATTATATAATTATTTATTTTGTATCATATTAAGAACATAATATTTTCTTCTCTAGTAGCTACAGAAATATGTATTGTTACTTGCAATTAATATTATAAGTCTCATATGTTTTGATCAGAAAAGCACTTTATTTTTCATCCAGTTTAACCAGTTTTACATATTTAAGGATTGGGTTTTAGCATGCAGTTCATTAAATGCGAATTGAACTTTTCCATTAATTTTGTTTTTAATATTTTAACAAAAATATCAAGGTTGAAAATATTTTATTCAGGAAGTTTATATTGAGAATGGAAAATTTTTTATGTGAGGAAAAGTTCACATTTTTAAGTGATAAATTAAAAACAATGAAACCATTCGAATTAGGGATTACAAACCATGACATTTATACCTTCCCAAATTTTACACAATACAAAACAAAGTTTCCTATAGTCAATAATTTAGTTTAATTTTTATGAAATCAAAAGCATCTTATGTTTCACAGAGAAATTATTTTCAATAATAATTCAATAAATAAGCTTTTATGTTGTTCGAAATTGGTATTAAATTGGTGATATTGGTTTATTAAATAAGACAATTCGGATATGTGAATTGTCGTATTAAGTTGTAAGTCAAAAATTAAGTGTCACTTAACATTTTATTAAAACATTGTAATTAATAGAAGTAGGTATATCCACAATATAGTTTTTTATGTAACTGGAGTAATGTCACAATTCACAATGGTGATTTGGCTGAACGAAAGATTAAAACTTACTTTAAATATGCACATACGTTACTTGCATTACCTACTGTTTCTTTTTATTTCACTCTTCCTTTGCACTGTCTTGTAATTATTAGATAAAGTAGATAGGTCTTTTCCGCGAGGAGAACATTGATTAATGTTCTTACTTTATTATGCAACACTAATTTTTATTGTAGTTGAAGATTAATTAATAATCATTAGATAATGATAGATGACAATAAACACTTAAAAAAGGGACGAGTTAGGAGAAATTTTGCATGGTATTGTTTAAACTTATTACAAGAAATACTGCTATAGACTTCCGTAAATCTGCAAATCTGTTATTCAAGCAAAAATAAAATATATCTTTGTATTTTTTGATAATTTATAGTTATCTGACATGTTTTTGAAGTATTTTGTCGTAAAACCTTTTGCTGTTATCGTTTATTGTCAGGTGATACGGCGTAAGTATACATAAATATTTGTATTTTGCAGTAACATGTCGTTGGACAACGAAGTAGTCGCAGAACTCGATTTAGGGGAACCGCCTAAAGAACTCTTAGATTGGGCCAAAGAAAACCTCGGCGAAAATCCTGATACAAGATGTCAAATCATTTCAGATTTCAGAGATATGATTTATGGTAAGAACTATTTAAACATAGTTTTTTTAATTCTCTATCAGTTTTCCGGAATAACTAGATGTCAAAAAATAATTTTACAAATACTAAAATACAAGATGAATTGTTCTATGAAATCTCTTAAAATTTATTTAAACGAGAAGTTTTTGGTGTTTACCCATAGGTACAAATCGTTTACCAGGGTACCATTTACTAACTACAATTTACTAGGAGTACAAAAATAATTTCTCATTTGTCATTTAGACGTCTTATCTTCCGCTCCAATTTTTTTCTGCATAGCTCTGTTATAAATTATTTTGTTATTGTACGGATTTTTGTTTTTGTCTCCTATTTGCATTTTATCATTATTAGAGGTCCCCCTTGTTCAATAATCTGTATACAGGTTGATTCAAAGTCTTGGACCGCCTCTTGGGTGGTAATAAAGGACATCATATATGATCCGAATAGACAAAAAATTGAGTTAACTCAATTGAGTTAGAAGTTTTCATGACAAAAAATTGTTTAAGCTTTTTTCACGAGGTATAGCTCTTTAAGTTTTTGGCTATTCGGATCATATATTCTTTATAGTTTAGTTAGTGGAAACGGCAGATCTTACAACATTCAACATTAAACAGATACCTGCTGAAAAAAATTACCAATTTATGTCTTATGGTGTACAAAACATTTAACAAACTAGATAATTCAACAATAAATTAAATCCGGCAACATCGGAAACAAAAGAGCTACATTATAATATCCTGTATACTTGTTTACGATTGCTTACTTAGATGCACGAGTTTTACATGTTTATTCTAATCTGGGTCAATTTGTCATCGATATAATATTTTGCGTAATTACAATTATACACCTACAACTTGCGTGACTCTTAGTGAGTCTACATTTTTATTTACACTTGTATAATTCTGGATCTAAGTCTTGAAAAGGCCAATCTTCACTTTCTTCGATTTTGAGATATCCAACACTAAAATTCCCGAGCTCATTTCTATCGACACAAAAAAGCCCAATCTTCTGTTGGAGTTATACACACATTAATTAATTAATCACATATTTAAAATTAGTCATGGTTTTAAAACTTGCACAATTGATATCTCAGAACAATGAAATTAGAGATTGGTCTTTTTAAGACTCAGGTCCAGAATTATACTACTCGATTAAAAAATTTCACAGACTAATAAATTTAGGACTTAATTTTCGTGAAATATTTCAAATTCATTCTGTATGATATTAATCAGCAAATTTATTATTGAACTATGTTCACGTTATTTACACAATTACTTCAACTAATACACATTTGGTTATACTTTGGCACATCCTTGAATTGACAACCTGTTACGTAAAATCGTCGGTTTTACCAAATTGAGGATGTATAATCAGAAACATGGTTTTAATTGTTTATTGATGTTTTTTTTTTCTAATAATAGAAGAGGTAATCCAAAGAACTGCATAATAATTCTTGATTACTCATTTATACACTCACAATGATTACAAATATTTTAAATAATAATTGACAGCGTAATTAAGTAAAGAATCATTAAATACTTAAAAATGCAGTGGAAAAATTTTTCATTATTATTTTGCTTTATAATTACGTCTTTAAACGGGATTTTTTTTTGAACATGTTCTTAACAAAAAAATTGGAAATTTTTATTTACTTATTAAATGTGTGTCACAAACAATTCATATTCGAGAACAATTATTATATGAATCATGTTTTCTTATTATACTTGTATTGTGGTAATAGATAATTATAGCTAATTGAGCCTGTCGAGATTGCTAAAGAATTTTTCGAGTTTTTTTGAGTTATACATTTTGCAAAATCTTATTAAACTGTTTGAACAAATAACTTTAATTTTAAAGAAGTTATAAAACATTAATATGGTTAGTTGCACAATAGGTCCTTTAGATTTTGACTTGCGTTCACTTGGATAATAATTAAAGTTGACAATGAGAGTTTTTCAATTAGAAGTAGTCGTTTCCGGCTTGATCCTATACCGTCCTATATCTTCACTCACATCAATTCTGTTTCTAAAGTTTTAAATGACTTTATGCAATCTAGGTTTCACTCATCATATTGTTGAGAAGGTTCTTCATTATAATTTATGACCATAATTAGCAATCCTAATTTGTCTCATTCGTTTCAGCGAGAGGAGAATGTACACCTCATAGAACTGACGATGCTTTTCTACTTCGATTTTTAAGAGCCAGATTCTTTATAATTGAAAGGGCACATAGATTGGTAATACGATTTCTCTAATATTGAACAGATTTTTGTAATTTGTATGTTTTTTTCTGTTTTAGTTGGTAAATTACTATGACTTTAAAGAAAATAACCCACAGTTTTGCGATAACATAGATTTAGTTAACTTAAAGAAAATAGGTGCCGATAAAATCATCCTTGTTCCGCCATATCGTGAAGCTTCAGGTAGAAGAATAATGAACTATAGGGTAGGTAACTGGGCTCCAGATAAATATACAGTAGAAGAAATGTTTCAAGCTACAATAGCAGTACTAGAAATGGCAGTCATGGAACAGCGAGCACAGATTTTGGGGGGTATTTGTATTTTTGACTTCGGAGGACTTTCAATGCAGCAAGCGTGGTATATGACGCCAAGTTTGGCTCACAAAGTTATACAAATCATGGTGGTAAGTATTTATACAATGTGATCTATCTTTCAACATACATTAAGATTATGTTTAACAGACTTGCTTCCCTATGAGGATCCATGCACTTCATATCGTAAATCAGTCTTACGTGTTTGACGTCATGTATAACATTTTTAAACCATTTTTGAATGAAGCAATGAAGGAAAGGATATTTTTCCACGGAGATAATTTAGAAAGTCTTCATAAACATATCGATCCAAAATATTTGCCAGAGAGGTATGGAGGTATTCACCCTGATTATGACTACGAACACTGGGTGGACAGTTGTCGGAAAAATGCGAAAATTGTTGAAGAACTAAGAGCACTGGGATATAAAGATTCGGAACTTGATGGGAAATAAAGTATTTTAGAATTCGTGTTAACCAAATTGTGATTTTAGTGTAAGGATTTTAGCCATAATCCGTCTTCTGCTTTTATCAGTTAACGTGTTTAGAGTTAATATTTTATTTACACATTATTTGGAATCAGTAGTTTAAGGAACAATTTTATAAAAGGTTTTAAGCCTATAAAATATGATTCAATTTTATTGCGTTTTGATGACAGCAGTCCCTGCACAACATCGAAAATCATCGCACCATTTATGAAGTATTTAGGAACACTTTTGTCCGTTTTGGTCAATCCAACGTATGCTGTCACATTAAATTTCTACGACACACGTCTTTAACAATTTGTTTGATTATTACTATATTTTTAATACTCGTGTTACTAGGTATTAAGTGAATAAATGAACTTATTCCTTGGGAAAGAGATGAATTTCTTTATTATGTATGTACCATTTTGTATCTTAAAACTCAAACTATTCTTTATGGGATGTTATTGATATAAACCCAAATACTTACATATAAAGTATGCAGGTTTAAGAAAATAGGTTAAGTGTAGAAAAAGTATAAATGTAGAGGTTTATATACCACAAATTATTTGTTATTAGTGTAATCTGTTTTTTAATTGAAAATGGTCAGAGACATATTTGTTGGTACTGTTAACTAAAACATAATAATAATTTTAAATATAATTATAATTTCATATAAAGAATCTGTTACAATTAATATTTTTTATATGTGCACTCATGAGTTGAACTAATTTTCTTTCTCTTGTGTGTCCATTCTGCACTATTGCAACAAGAAAGATGCAAATTTAAAAGTTATGTTTGCTTTTATTTAGGTGGGTACAGTCTATTTCGTCAGCTTATTCCGATTTTCCATAAAATTTTTGGTGTAAGATCCAGTCTACGATTTGACATTTGACGGAAGAGCAAGTAAACCAAAGTTAAATTAAAAAAAAAAAGATTAAAATGCAGAATATTAACAACTAAGTATGTAGTGAGTCTTTTATATTTTGTATTAATGAAATATTAATTATTACACGAATTGAGTAAATTCAAATGTTGGCAACAACGTCTCTACCAAGAAATATCTTTTCTAATACTAGACATAACGAACAAGCCCTCGTCTTTGTTATTCTCGTTAGCTAAAAAAACATAGAAGACTCGGTTTGCAAATATTTCTAGATCTACTATAATACTATTTGTCGCAAGTCTTTTCAGAGTCTAAAAACAGATAGCAATATGGGCGTATTTCTGTATTGTAACGTTTTAAATAATAGACAGGGATAAGTTTATGAAATGAATTGTACTTACGACTCTCTATGAATCAGCTCAATTGTTAGTGGTATAGTATAATTCACCGAGATTTGCGCTATGCCTTCATCCCTATAATATTTTCTCGATACGTGAACTGGATCAAAACCCTGAATTATTATCCTTCTCCAGAAAAAAATTGGGTTTCCATAAAACCAGGTGTCCCCGGATAGGTGAAACGACTCTTGTAAAAGATAAAAATTCTCGATTTAAATTTTTGTCTTTTGTGCCCTGCTTGATTAAAGACTAATTTCTTAAATAAATTTAGTTTTAAAAAATCAAATAGGTATGCCCTGAAAATTTTCAAACAATCTATTTTTCAGTAGAGTAAAGTGCCTTTTATTTGGCAAATACGACAAAATTATTTTTTTTTGATTTGTGATGTTCTGTAATAACTGGTCTATTAGTTAATGCCTTAATAGTTCTTGTTGGTATTAATTCATATTCTAATCGCTCAGGTCTCATATAAATATTGAATTGTCCATATACAGGGCTGCGCCAAAACTCGCACCCCAGAGAAAAATGCCATATAAGGTAAGATGCCAGGAACATGAAAAAAATGTTAAAAAAATGTTATCATTAAAAATTTCGAAGTTATGAGGGTCTAAAGTTTGCACTTTGACTTTATTTATTTCTGTTGGAAAAATAATTTTCCAAGTTTTTTTGCTATAGGCTATTAAAAGAGGAAACAAGGAAGCTGTATCCTAAATAGTAACTCTGTTCAATGTTATTTATGGCTTTTATTGGCAAAATTTTTGTCCCTTTACTGAATAATTGTAAAAAAAACATATACAAGATCATCAGTCTCATTAAATAGATATAAAAAAATGTCAAATGTCAAAAAATAAATGTCAAATTTTTTTGACAGATAGAATTTTTTAACCATTTTTTTCATGTTCCTGGTATCTTATTTTACTTAAAAATTTTCTCTGGGGCGCGAGTTCTGGCGCAGCCTGTATAGAGTTAATTTATCAATATCACCTTTATAATAATAAGCGTACATAAACGAATTATCATTTCCAGAATGTTATATATTCAATACCTAATGTATGACCAATCTCGTGTAATAAATAATACTACTGTAAGGTATCTAAGGCAAATAAGGCCCAGTGTTTAAAAAGGCCCACCGTTAATTTATCTGTCTAAATTATAAAGACAATTAAAACCATCTAGCCTACCTCCATCGATCTATCATCAATTATACAACTTACTCCTGTCTTTTAGTTGACTGTAAATAGTGAAATATGTTCTAAAACATCGTGTTGGATGTCAAAATTAAATATTTCTAATTACATATTAATACTTACATACATATTAATATTTGTTTATTAAAGACTTTTTCCTTAACTTACTGTTATTATGATTAATGAAAAATCCCATCTCAAATTTTAAATATGGAGCTTATCGATGGTGGGCCTTATTTGGGGCTAGGAGGTTCCAAAAAAGGCCCTTTGTAATATTTTATATTTATGTTAAAAACATGTAGAAAAATTTACAAAACAGGCATTTTTGTGGTACACATTGTTAAACAAAAGTTCAAATTACAATTTTGATAATAAATCCAAATCTTTGCATATTTCAAAAAATATATAAAAAATCGTAAAAATTAAGTGAACTTTATTTGGCTAAGTTATCTTATAAAAATTAGTTTATCCATTAGGAGTTTGATTCACCAAAAAACTATTTTTCTGATTTATCAAAATAAATTTCTCGACATTCATCATTATTTGGAAAGAAACCATCTGCTGAAACATTACCTTTTCATAAATTGGTAGGTACATATCATACATTTATCATCATTGCGATAATAATGTTCCGTAAGTATTTTTAACGGGATGTACTCGTTATTTCTAGTAATTAAAAAATGCTTGCTGGAATAACTGCCTACTGGTTGTTGAGTTGTGCTAGGCAGAAACAAAGTCCTAAATGTTCGATTTCACTCACAGTTCAGTACTTAGTCGCGCTCACGATGCTTTGATACCACTTAATTACCACCGCAGTGACAGTGAACATAACTTGTGAAGACGGTGCTCATTTTTTAAAGGTAAACTAATAACAATATTTGACCCTCATTATTTAAATATAAAACATATTTTGCTTTGCTTGATTGATTTATGAAATTTACATCAGAAAGTGAAATTTTCACAAATAAGAAATGTACTCATATTTAGTAAATACTATGTTGAAAAATATAATTCATCAAATTGCAGTATTTTTTCAAGGAATTTAAAATTTATGTGTTAAATTTAACATTCACAGATGTATACGAAAATGCATTATTATAGAAAATGTAGGTATAAAAATATAAATATTTTAGCAAGCAGTTTTAAAAACGAAAAATATATATTAAGTTTTCAAGATTTGTACCCATGTATTTGCTAAAAATGGCCTTAATATTAATCTAATTTGTGGTAGTATGAAATTTTATGTAATTAAGTATTACGTGATATTTGCAATAAGTATAATTAAATGGTACCAGTTTTCTACCAAATAATAACTCATTTGAAGAACGCTTAAGTTGACATCTACGCTTCTTCTTGGCAGTAATTAATGTTAGATTTACAAAACTCTTTTTGTAGTTATCGTTTATGACTCTTTCAATTCGTTTCTTTAGAGAAATGCTCACTCACGTTGAAGTGAAATCGGAACTGGACCTAGGGGAACCCTCTAAGGAGTTGTTGTGCTGGGCTGAAGAAAACATTCGAGAGGATCCAAATACGAGATGTCAAATTTTAGATGATTTTAGAGAGATGATTTATTGTAAGTGTTTTGAAAACGGTACTTTCATTTTCTTATTTATCGTACAACAAGCCAATAACCTAAGGTTTTTATTCGTCACTCAGAACTAGGTAGGTGATTGTAATAAATGTGACATTTAAATTTGATTGATGATGATCAAAATTATCTCAAAATTAGCCAATAATATTTTGGAGATAGCTGTCAAGACTTTCATTGGGTGCGGTGCGTATATTGGTATGCATGGTGTCTTTTAGATTACTATACTTATTTCATTTTTAAATCTGCTAAAAAAAATCTAACACGCACACGTTTTCTCTTTATTCTTCCGGTATAAAAAATTAAAATTATATTATATACAAGTGAAGAATCGTTGGGTAAGGTCTAGTGAATAAACATAATTTGAAAAGCTTACACACTCTTCAAATTTTATGCGTCTACATTCTAATTATGTTAATGTTATGTACGATGATTAATCTCGGAGAAAAGTAGTGAAATGAATATTTTTTTTCTGTTTGACTGGCGAAATACTTTCCGGGCCACGAATACCGAAGACCGAAATAACGGACCTGTTTTATGAAAGGAAACCGTTACCTAATTATAAGTAGGTATAATCTGAAATCTCACTTTTGATTCTATATGTGTTTATAAATGTTGACTAACCAAACGTGAAAACCGCTAAAATAAAAAGATAATAATTATACATGGACGAATTGGAAAAACTAGTTCGAAAACTTGAATGGAAATTGTTAATACTCTTGAAAGAAAGTTAATTATTTTCTTAGCTTAAGCCTATGAATTAACTTGTAACGTGTTTTAAAAATGATTTATATTGCAGTAAGTGTGAACGTGCATAAAAACTTTTTTTTTATTAGAAAAAGAACGAATTATTTAAATATTAATTCCAGCTAAGCTGGGACTTTGTCTACTTAATTTATTTTTTAAACGTAGGTATGTCGACAAACGGGTAATTGGGCAATTAATGATACTCCGGGACATTTCATTTTTAAGTGTAATAAACAGATACAAAGGTTTCTTTCACTTTCAGTTCCTATTTTTTCAAAAGAGTTTAAAAATAGTAAGGAAACATAAATTCTTAAATGCACTTACTGCATAAACGTTTAATGTTATCAATTTTATCTGAACATAAATCTAATAAAACGGGGCCAAGCTTACTTTTAACAATCACCATAATGTAATTAAAGTTAAATTATTTTCTAATATAAAAGATTTATAGCAAGCAGGACAAAAGTAATATAGTGAACAAAAAACGACAATGGGAACTTGAAGCAAAATGAAAGTGTCGATTTATTCAAAAAGACAAAATATAGGGTACGGAATATATTGTGTTTTAATAACACTTGTCATGGTGTTGTTACTCGCGCGGAAACATTTTACTACGGATAAAATACCTTAAGAATTTTATAACAAAAATAAACGTTCGATGTAAACATTCCAACCAAAACACATTAATTATTATTTTATCATATAATGTGTCAAACTAAATAAAAATCTACAAGGTTCAAAATTAAGTATAATCATTGTTGTAAAAACAAAGACGTTTTATTGCAATCTGTCTGTATATTATATAAAAGCATTTGGTCGGAAAATTAAATGTCAGTACAGATGTATAGTAAATCGATCTTGAATGAATTTGATAAAAATATTGTAATGAATGCAAATTGAGCAAAGGCATAAATATCACAATTTATTGTCTAATGAAAATAAAAGCTCCGCTACTAGATAACCAACTTGAATTACGAGTCAAATGCAATTACAAAATCAAGTTAAAATTACTGATTTATTATAGGTACTACGTACTATTTCATCAATTTACAAGGGTAATTATTTGTTTTAGTAAATAATCGCAATTTTTATGGGATCATTTTTGTTATTCATTATAATGGCTCATTAAAAATATTTAGTACTCGTACTTGATAAGACTTGTAGTTTTAGCTATTGAAGCTAATTGTATTTTAATGAAACTGAATTAAAAATGTGGGTGATTACTGATTACAGAACAAGGTAGTGTACAAAGTATTTCAGTTGAAGGTAAAGGATCAAATTATAGCTATTTACGTTACTAGATCAGTAGTAACGTCTTTATAAACGAGCTACTGAATTACGTATCGAGCCCGATAGGGCGAGACTCGTAAACTCGGGAGGCCGTAATAAATCATCACCGGCCGTGTGACGTATAAGATTCTGAGAATTTGAAATAATTTAAATGAAAAAAAATGTTTAAAAAAATTGCTACACTTTGTTACTATTAGGTAACAAACGATTAAACAAAATCCTGTATGTCGAAAAATTTTTATGCAGTTTCTTTAGTAAAATGAATGCTCACAAAGAAAAACAGAAACCAGAGTCAAGTTTTTTGTCAGATCACCTTTTAGAAACTAATTCAAATACATAATTGTACGTACATTTAATTTTTATGTAAATAAAAATCGTAAATTCGACAAATTATTTGACATTTCCTACCGGCCGCAGTGTAAAAAAAAACGGTCTAGTCCATAAACATATGTCTTCCGGACTCATCGTCAGGGCGATAAGACTTTTCTGCCAATACAAAAATTTGTGGTCTAAACTCTAAACGATTCTTTATTGTCATATCTTCAAATTAAAAATTTAAAAAGTCAGAATGATGCGTACAGTTCGAGACAAAATACTTTGGTCGTCAATGTCACTTGAGTGACATTAAATTGTAAAGCATGCTTTAGGATTGTTAACCTTATTTTTAGTTACTGTCAATCATAGTTGACAAATTGTACATATTTTTGATGGAAAAATATAATAGCTGTCATTAATTTGAAATTGACATTCATTTTAACGTTAAAGCTTGAATTACATTAAGTATCAGAAAAGTGACGGCCAAAGTATTTTGTCTCCAACTGTAAATATCAATTACTCTGTGACCACTATTAAAGTGAGGTTAATAAAGTAAAGCCCATTTCAGAGATGATATCAGTACTGTCCGTAATACCATGTCCCTAACTGTACAGTATCCTGAAAAAACGTTTTCTGCGATTCTGCATACGTCTTTTCAATAACATAAAATGGAACAGAAAGCAGTAAAATGTGTGTAGAAGTACAGTGCAACCAAAAAGTGTTTCTATCAAGTAGGCCTACTAGTTGATGACGTATGTCGCCTGGCAGTTCGTATGTCAGTCAGCTAGAGATGTCAAAAAATTATTTTATAAAAATTAAAATATATTCATAAGCAAACTAAATTATCTACTGCATGAAACGTCTTAAAACACCCTAAAATGAAGATGTAGTTGGTGTTTATTCATACAAATCGTTCACCACGATTTGCTGTTACAGTTTACATAAAAATTATTTTGAAATTACCTATTTTTCATTGTGACATTTTATCTTCCACAGACACACTTTCTAGGCTTGCTTGATAAACAAACTTTTTGATCTTACTGTACATAAGTAGGTACACTAATGTCTGAATTAAAAAAGAAAAAAGTCTGTTTTTGTTTATATTGTAGTTTGATTGCTTTTATCAACGCTTCCTGTGAAACTAAGTATAAAACTGTAAATTTAGGTTAGATTTTGCTTTATGTTCACGTATTTCTTACTTTAAATAAATTACATTAACATAATGCTTAACGAACAAAAAACGTGTGTAGAATTTTTTTAAACTAAATATAATATGGTAACAAAAGAATAGCAAAAATAAGATTATGACTAGTGATATCTAGAATAGAAAATTTGACCAATATCAATCTTAACCTTATTATTTTGTTTTTGTGAACTGTAAAAATTAATTATGTATTATTATTAGTGAAATTCTTATTGTGTTAATCTGAAACTAAAGTTAATTTTTTATTCTGATAGTAATTTGGTAGAAAGTACTGACAAATTGTGCCACTTAATAAGTTGATGCGTGCAATGTTACGGCATTATATCTAAAATATAAAAAGCTATTACTAAAAAAAATAAAAATAAAAATATTATTTGTAGAGCTTATTCCATTCTGGTGGCGAACTTACGGTGACAGAAAAGACACTTGGAATATGTCCACTTGGTTAAAATAATGAAATACATGGGCGTGCATTTTGTGTCATTTTGCAAGAGTTCGGGTGATCGTAAATGAAGACCAATATTTAAGTAGGGAAAATAATTTAGATGTAATCGATAATGAACTTATCATAACCGACGATAACAGCGATGAAAACGAATTTTGCTTTAATAATTTTGAGGACTAGGATTGCTGGAAATATAGTTAAAAAAATTATTTTCATGCGTCAACAAATAAACAATTTGTTTATCATTCTTCATCGTATGTACTTATTATATTTTTTTAAAGAATAACAGTGGTTTTGAAATATTATTTAATACGACGCCGATGAACAATATTTTTTTAATAGTAAACGTATGTTTATTGTCAAAATTCAGTCACCAGTTCGCCACCAGACTTGAAACAAGCTCTAATTTTGGTATTTTCTGTTTGTAAACATTTCGTTAGCCGATATTTATTACATCTTAACCAATTAAAAATTTTTTTTGCAAAAAATTAATTAACATTTAGGAAAAGCAAACGAATTTTGTTGAATAAGTATAAATAGGAAATGTTGTACCTTTAATTTAGATTATTAGTTACTTTTAATTAACAGAAATTGCTTTTTTATTACGTGAAATTATGAAATAAATGCCAGGAAAGTCTGCCACGTTACATAACACGGGAAAGATGATACAAATTTTACAAATGCTTTTGTAATTCATTTACTTATCTCGCTTTTCTATTTCTCCTCATCACTAGACAGGTTTATTAATCTAACAGACACACTGCAAATCTAAATGCCAAAGAAGTTATTATTCATTTTATTAAAAATTAATTAATAATTGTAAAATTATGTTAAAATATATGTAATATACAGGGTGAATATAAAGTATGGAACCAAGCGGTTTTATTTTTAATCATTTGCCCCCAGAAAACAATAATTAATATAAATTAAAGTAATATAAAAAATGTGATCGTATTTTCAGAACGAAATTTTGTTTTGTTTTTGAGTTATGCGATTTTTTTTGTCAAAGTTGCAATTTAGGTGAAAAATTTTTTTTTAAAAAATTAAATATAAAGCAGATAGTTGTAATCCTTAGAGGATAGCTTTTATGAGAAAAATGATTTTATAGTGGGTTGCCATTTAAAAAAATATTTTTTTGTAGAACTCAAAAACAAAAGAAAATTTCGAAAAATTTTATTCTTGTTAAATCATCACATTTTTATAGTACTTTATCACTTATCAATTAGTTTAAAAAAAAAATAATAGTTTAAGCAAAAAACGTTTGGTTCCATACTTTTTATTCACCTGGTATATATATTTACTCAAATTCAACAATGTCTGTCTATTATAAAATAATATAAGCACGAAGATCGGTCGAAGAACACAAATAATTTTAATTAGAAGTACGTAATATACCTAATAAAATTTTATTAAGTTTATTTATAAATAAAAGACATTTTTAAACTGGTAAAACAAAAATACGAAAAATTTCTCACTGTTTTTTGTTTACTTTTATTTTTACGTGTTATTATTGTTAAAACACTACTCGTAGAACTATAATTATTAGCGAGTGCTGTGTTCCAGGAAGTAATGTCTCCTGTCATTACAAAATTAAAAACATTAAGATTAACTCAAGAACAGGAAATACCTACAGCATCTCTGCTACTAATAATAGACACGCTTACACCTGCTTAAATACATGGATGTTTACATAAAGTTGTCATGAAAAGATTATATCACACATTATATGTGTAGGCAACGTCATTTAATCATATAAATTATAAATTAGTAATTTTGTTTTGTAGGGACTCTAATTGAACTAAGCAGTGCTTTTTGATTTTGGGGAAGATTATAAATGTAAAATAGCATAATTATATTTTTTGCGATTATTAAAATGTTTTTAGAACAAAAAATAAATAAATCTTTCATAAATTACAAACAGTTCTGATTATTATCTGAGCGTATTTTATGTCTGAACTATAAACAATCGCCTTTGGCTGTGACTACGAGTATAAAGATTTTATTTTCGCAGGCAGTTGCTATAAATGCAAACAGTAAGTTGTTTCTATATCTTAAAAATGACGAAAGTGATTCACCTAAAATTGAAAAAATATTTGTTGTAATTTGCTCCCATTTTGATTCTCTAATTGACATATTAAAGAACGCGATGTCTAGAGGGCAAATTACAAAAAATTATATAAAAAAACTCGATTCATAAAACCTTGAAGCACTCATTCTTTTTTAAAACAAATTATCTGCGCCACTCGTTTTTTAAACTTGAATTCGTGCCCCAAAACTAATCTTATGAAAGTTGTTTTTTTAAATACTTTTACAATAGACTTAAACAAATGCCATTTCTTAGTAAGAAAGTGAAATCGTTATTACTGATTAATTTATCTATAAACTGTGTTATGTGTAAAAAAACGAGAATAAGTTATTTTATTACCCTTTTCATACAACAAACCATCTGATAACTCTATAATTTTGTATTGCAATGAAAGCCTTAAACGCTATATTGTAGGTATTTGTAATTAAACTGCATAACCAATTCAGGTAATAAATTGATACTGACATAATATTCTGAGTTCTGCAACAATTATTGCCGTGTAGATAAAATAAAATGTGTTTAATAGCAATTTAAGTTATGTTAAACACCAGTTTTTCCCACATTCTAATGTTTTTACTTTCATGTTTAAAACATCAATCATTTTTCTTTTTCTCGCAAGATATTTATTGCATTCCTTTAAAATAAGATTAAATAAGATTAATAACATAACGTTCTTCATTTCCAAAATTTTATTTCTAGCTAGAGGTGAATGTACTCCTGTCAGGGTTGATGATTCATTTTTGTTGCGCTTTCTAAGAAGCCGAAAATTCGTATTGGAATCGGCATACAAACTTGTAAGTATTTTTGTTTATATAAAAAAAAATTACTCAGAATATCTTAGTTTCTCAACTACCACGACTTAAGAGATGAAAATCCCACGTACATCAACAGCGTTGGTTTTGAGCTTTTGGAAAAGATTGGTGACAACGATTTGATAATCGTTCCACCGTATAGAGACCAGACTGGGAAAAGGATTTTGTTATATAAGCTCGGTGAGTTATGCTCAATGAAAATTCTTGATTTCTTTTCCTGCACCATAAAAGCGTTGCATGACACTAATTGTGAGAAATTATTGCAGAAGAGAAAATCACAGGTAGTCTTCAAACTATTTTTTTTAAGGTAACTGGATTCCAGAATCCGTGACCATCGACGAGGTTTTGGCGGCCACTCAGTTAATCCTAGAGCTAGCAATATTGGAAGAAAGAGCCCAAATTTTAGGAGGGATATGTATAATAGACTGCGAAAATATAACTATGCAACATGCTTTGCATATGACTCCAACAGTTGCTCGGAAAGTTGTTCAAGTGGCTGTGGTAATGTGTTATCAGTACAGTGATTGTGTATATGTTGCAAATATTTTTTTAAGACCTCACATCCCATGCGATTAGAAGCAATGCATATTGTGAATAACTCGTGGGCGTTTGAAATGTTTTTCAACTTTTTCAAACCCTTGCTACGTGGGAAAATGATGGAAAGACTCTATTTCCATGGAACTGATATGGAGAGTTTACATAAGCATGTGGATCCTAAAAATCTGCCACAGAAGTACGGGGGATATCAGCCCTTTTACGACTATCGTGATTGGATAAGAGGTTTTCGGAAAGACAAAACTATTATAGAAGAATTGAAGTCGTTAGGATATAAAGTGTAGTAAACCTTGTAGTAGGAGAAGAAAGTTCCATTAAATAAAATAGAGCTGTTGTAGACACCTTGTAATTAGCGCAAAGCATTAGATAGTGCTTTTTATAGATAGAATTGTATTTAGTACTTTGAAGCAATGTACAATTTAATTTTTAATTTTTCTATTTTTTAATAAAAATGTATTATAAAAACATAACCTTGCATTAAATTTAATTAGTATTTTGTACATGAATATTAAAATTATAGACAGGAAGACAGGCTGTTTTGGTAATAGTTAAAAACAATTTCTCACAAAAACATTCTGAAACATGAACACTACCTACAGGTCGATTGATAAGATAATGAGCCTGACATCTCGCGATGCAACCCAAAAAACAAATTTCATTTACGCTTTTGATTCAATATTTAAATTAGAATTTGCAAGTTGAATCCAAGTTATCATCTTATATCAGTTTGACATCAGTGCAGAGAACGATCATTAATGTCATTCAGTTCTCGCGGAATGATAGAGAAATTCTTTTCGGTGTAAACCGAATACAAAATGTATGAACGAATGAAACATTAAAGGTAGGCAAACTGTTTTTATCAATAATAAAATTGCTTGTCAAAGCACTGTCAGAGCAACATAAGATAACTTGGATTGCAAATGCAAATCGTAATTAAAAGTAGATCAAGACGTAAATGAAATTTGTTCTTTGGGTTGCTCCACCAGATCGTCAGGTTCATTATCTTATCTGAATCACCCTGTATATAACATAGTAATTTTGTATTGGATAAATAAATTCTAGTGGTAGCTGCAAATCAAAAAAAAATTGTAGGATCCTTCTAGATTATCATTTTGCCATTAAAAAAACATACCTAAAATCAAAAATTTTACTTTATTATGGCTGAATAGAGTATTCGGACAATGAGATTGACTCTGCATCATTCATTAATTATTAGCACAAGGTGGGTGGGCATTGCGTAATGATGGTTGCCTACGGAGTACGGAGTGGACTATAGTCAACAAAAAATAAACCTTGCACATTAATGCAAATACAGGGACATTTTTTTTATTAGGATACATAGCTAGCCCTATGTATATACGTACATTTAAAAAAACCGTGTCAACTTTAATGTTGCTATGATTACGATTAGCCGTTAGTCTATGCATAGGCAACCAATATTACAAAGGCTTTAAAATCGATAATTAAAAGACAAACTTTTAAAAACAACAATGTATGTAATTAAATATTAATAAAAAAAATAAAACCCATCAAAACATGAAAAATATTAAATAATTAATGCAAGTGTTCAAAATGCTTTCCTTGCAGTTCCAAACAATAACCCAAGCGATTTTGAAAGGGTTTTGGCGGGGTCGCCACTGCATTCCTGATAATTTCAGAATCAGAATGTAATAACATTATTTACGAATGCGTTCTTTCAGCTCTTCTAAATTTTACATTGGAACATTAGTATAAATTTTTGTTTTTAAATACCCCCAAAGAAAAAAATCGTTAGTTGCCAAGTCTGGCGATCGTGGGGCCATGTGATGGGACTATATTTCCCGATCCACTTTGGTGTACATTACATTACATAGGTCTATGTGTACTAATAAAAAAATGTCCCTGTATATTTTTTTTAAATTGTAAAAAATAATTAGGTTTTTATTGTTATTGAGGGTTGTTTTTCAACTATGTAATATTTTAAAGTAATTTTACAATTTCGATTCAAAAAAAATTTAGTTATGACTTATATGTAGTTTACCTATACATGCCTATTCATTCAATTGTAAAAAAGTATTCTAAAGATCCTTCGAAATATTGTATTTACAGTCAAACTGCTTTTGTCAATAAACAATATCAATAAACAGTATTTATTTGTTGATCTGCTAACATGACGCTGACCTTGAAAAGCAACTGATCCCATTCGCTATTTAGACTTTAGACGGCTCGCACCTTTGGTTATGAAAAAGGAATAATGAAGAGATATAATATTAACTGGGATTTTGAAATAAGAGATATTAAACTAAAATTTTGAAAAGTTTTTTTACCGCTAGTCACAAGAAATAAATAAATTTTAAAGATTAAATTTAATTTTAATGATAATTTGAAACTTTATTTTGACAAAATAGAGTAGGGATAATCTATTAAATCATGACAAATTCAAAATAAATCAAAATAAATTTAAAATTTTAAGGTTTGATTTCTGATTCGAAACAATTTTTGTCAACTGACAAAACATTTTAAGTTTTATTGTCAAATACAACTAATACAAGGCAAATATTTACCTGAAATTGAAGAGTCAATGAACATAAAAACTAACTAACAGACAAACCGATCAAATTGTTGATGAATACATTCAGAGACGAGTTTTTTTTCTTTTCTTAACAAAAGTGGTCATGCTACATAAAACGCCTACTGTATGTAAAAAGTGGTAGTAGGAGCAACTTCGGACGAAATTCAATATACATAAATACATAAATAAAAAACTGTGGTCTTTAATTGTGTTAGCCATGACAAAATGACTTAATTTTTGTAATTATTGTGACGGTGACTTCGGTGGTGAAGGTAAGGTATACTCGTAAATAGTACTATTGACAATAGGTGTTGTTTAATTTCGGTGTTTTTTTTTAAGTAAGCAGGTACTTCAATATAGAATGTTGCAGTTCTAGATAAAATTAAAACAATTAGAAACCTGAGATTAAGTACAAATAATTGTTATAACTTGACCTGTTTGAGGTTGATTTGTTTTGAGTATTTTTCGGATAACCTAGTAAAGTGTACTGGCAAAATATAAATTTGAAACTAAGAATTAAACTTATCAGCATTGTCTTAAATCAAAGTGCAATGTGATAAATTAATTTAGTTAAAGTTAATTTGTTCATTTCTCCGTTTTAAAATAAGTCTTAATATAAAAATAACAAAATACAGAAAAAAAATGTATGTTTGCCCTACAAGTTTAAAAATAAATATGGTTCTAAAAATATTTAATTATGTCTAATTTAAAAGTAAGAAAATTTGGTACTTTATCATATTTTCTGTTTCAAGATGGTTAGATGTTTTTTTTTAGGTATATTTGTTATTTTCAGTGAAACAGCCTGTACTGCATAAATGCTATGTCAATTTTAAATCACTTTATACATGTTTATTTAAAATGCAAAATAATAAATAATACACAATCTTTTAATAGATGTGAATAAATAAAGATTATCATGTTTGACCTTACAAACATTTATTTTTTTTAACTTTAAAAGTGTTATCTTTATAGTAAAAACACTTTAAACTGAACAGTATAATATACTGTATTTACAATTTTGTTTGTCAGTACTTATCAACTGTTTCTGGAAGAATGCCAGGCCATATTGAAATTAAACAAGAACTAGAGCTAGGAGAACCCTCCCAGGACTTGCTAGATTGGGCGAAGGAGCATATTAATGAAGATCCAGACACAAAATGTCAACTTATAGAAGAATTTAGAGAAATGATTTACTGTAAGTTTTTATTGTTTTTCTTATTTTTTTAAATTAAAGAATCAATCAATGAGTATGTACATACATTCATTGCATAGGTACTGGAATTTACTACTTTTACTACAAACTACAAATATTCACGAAATTAGCAAACACAGAAATAATAAAATAATTGGGGTTGTTAAACGTGAACATATAAACTTTTAATTACTATAAATAACAGATAGCAAGAAAAAACACATTTCCATTCGCCATTTTTGAAAGTCAAGGTTTTGTACTTGACGACGATTTCCTTGTTTTTTGCAATGAAATGGAATTTCTCAGAAAAACCATTCTCAAAGAATGTTGGAGATCAGAAATGCTTTTGGGGAATACCCTTAAGGCAAATGTAAATTTCTAGCTTGTGTTAGATAATTGCAGTATCATTGGACTCACCTTTATTACAAATTACTAGCAAGTACGTGTAATATTCAGTGGCGCGCCCAGGAAAAAGTTTAACAATTCAATTGTAATAATTCAAAAATTAAAAAAAAAAGTAAACATAAATGTCTATACATATGAAAAAAAATTGTTGACTAACAAAATAAAGAATATGTAAATTAAAATTAAAAATTTGTACAAAATTTATTTTGTGACAGTAATATTATAAAATCGTTTCAAAACCGTACATAAAAAAGTAAGATTTTTAATTAGAATCACTTCAGTCAAAATCATTAGTTCATTAGGCCTTTATCAAATAGTTAAGGAATTATTGGAATGATTACGTTATAAGTCCGGTTAGTTAAATGGGAGTATTACAGTAGGTACGAATAAAATGTTTAAAAATCGAGGGTCACATGACATTACCTCTTAAATAAATAATGACAGTTTTTGGTAATTCGACAAAAAACACATATATTAGCTCAGTTTGTTAATAGCATAATATTATAGTAATCTTTTAAACATTTAGGTAAATAGTTAAAGTACATATTGATGATTTAAGAAAATCATTTATATAGGATGAATCATATACAGGGTGATTCAGATAAGATAATGAGTCCGACGCTCTGATGATAATTGCATTTTTTTGCAATCCAAGTTATCTTATGTTATTCTGACAGTGCTTTGACAAGCAATTGATGGTTTATAAAAAAAACTGTTTGCCTACCTTTAACGTTTAATTCTTTCATACATTTTGTATTGGGTTTACACCGAAAAGACTTCTCTGACTTCTCTATGATTCCGCGAGAACTGAATGACTCTAATGATCGTTCTCTGCACTGATGTCAGAGTGACATAAGATGATAACTTGGATTCAACTTGCAAATCCTAATTTAAATTGGATCAAAGGAGAAAATGGAATTTGTTTTTTGATCGTCAGGCTCATTATTTTATCTCCATCGCCCTGTATAATAAAGACCCTAACAGATTTTCAGACGCAACTCAAAGTACATTCTCAAACCACTATGCATTAATTATTGATGTTTCGTTTGAATTTTTTTAAAGATATAAACATAGATACCTGTGATAGCTTTGACAATTTTTATGAATTTGGAGTCATACCGTGAACCTTTGACTTCAGCCACAGCATTTTTGTAGCATACTCCACTTAACAAGATCATGTCGGTTTTTTTGTCATTTGAATACATTTTGAATTCAAGGGGAAAAAATGGAATGGATGACTGTCAAATTTAGTTAATGGACATATCAACAATAACTTGGATTTATTTTTTGTTTTTACTTAAGTATTTGTTAAATTGTTATACGTGTGTATACATGTACTTAATCATTGTAGCATTTTTTTTAAAACTAACTATGCTTAAATTATTTTAGTCATAGAGAATTTTAACTATTAAAATGTGCATCATAAAACTATTTTAGAAATAAACTTGTTTCTATAAAAAACATTTTTGCACATACTGGATAGATAACTATTTACCTACCTTAGAATAAAATTCCCAGAACAATCATTTAAAAAAATATGTGATTGCATAATATTAAATTAATATTGCATAATATTAAATTCTTTAAAAAAATTCCATTTGAATTTAACATAATAGTTCTGTTTTTTTGTTGTTGTTTTATTATAGGATATTTAGAAAATACGAGTATTAAAATACTCGAAAATACATAATGTCACTTATTCCTTGTTACGTCTAAGTAATGAGCTGAAATTTTTATATTTCTGACAATTTGTATTTGTTTCAAATTCTTCCAGTTACAGGAAATTCTCAGAACATGTTTAAGTATAGTTGTATGTATAAATACGTGAGAGTCACCGGTCAGCTACCTAATATTATTGTAAACAGTTTACCATAATTCATCATCTGTCATATTTTATATTTACATTATATCTATGTTAATTTAGTCCTAACATTACAGATGATTGCAGATTTTTTTTTCTGTTTTTGTTTTGTAAAAGAAAAACACTGTCAATTTTCTGATTGATTATTTGTTTGATTTTAATTTTTAACTAATCAAAAAATTAAAGTGATGCATTTGTTGTCGGTAACTTCAATCATGTTTATAGCATTTATTGCAATCCATCAATCCAACTGCGCTTATTATAAATTTACTGGCTTTGGTATCTAAGTGTTAAAAGAAGTATCCAGTTAATAAAACCTGCATATTTTTTCATAAGAATTTAAATCGAAACTAAATCAGTTAAATATAAATTTTTATTTAATTTCCAGCCAAAGGTGAATGTAACTCTATAAGAACCGACGATGCTTTTTTATTGCGTTTTCTAAGGGCTCGAAAATTTTGCGTAGAGTCTGCATACAAACTAGTAAGTTGTAAAAATTATAACTAACAACTAAACAAATTTTAATGTTAGTTTATGAATTATCATGACTTCAGAGAAGAAAATCCTAATCTACATGAAGGAATTAGCATCGACCTTCTAGATAAAATTTTGGAGTACGATTTAATTCGTGCTCTCCCATATAAGGATCAGTTGGGAAGAAACATTATAGTATATAAGTGGGGTAAGTGTTTAGATGTGCACTAAGAAATTTTTACGAAATAGAATATAAAATTATGAAGTTTTATAAAAGTTATTGTGTTTAAGGTAAATGGGTTCCAACGACTATCCCAATTGACGAATTTTTAGCCGCCACTAAACTTATAGCAGAATTGGGTATACTTGAAGCCAGAAACCAAATTCTTGGAGCTGTGGTTATACTAGATTTCAACGATTTTACTGTACAACAAGCTTTATATTTGACACCAAGCGTAGCTCGTAAAATTTTACAAATAGCTGCTGTAAGTTTAAGTTTTCTTAGTTCAAGTTTACCTTATTTTTTTTAAGACATCCATGCCAGTTAGATTAGAAGCACTACATGTTGTACATAATTCATGGGCATTTGAAATAATTTTCAACATCTTTAAACCATTTTTACATGAAAAAATGATCGAAAGGGTCTTCTTTCATGGAAATGATATGGAAAGTTTACACAAGCATGTGGATCCTAAACATCTGCCTGTAACATACAAAGGAAGTCAACCGGAATACGATTGTAAGGATTGGGTTGATGGAATTAAGAAAAATGCGACGATACTCAAAGAAATTTCATTATTAGGTTATAAGATTAATTAATGTGTTTGAGTAAAAAGTGATTTCAGTGCAAACGCGGTAATTGACACTGCTTGGTGTTTTCCCGCCATCCTAGAATTAGTTTATACGGCATAAAAAAGTCAATTTTAATATTCATATACCTATAAACAATCAGAATCAAAAAATTATGTTTAATAATAATGTTTATGATTGACCTAATTAATTTTATATAAACTACTCATTTTCCTAAATGTTTATGTCCGTAAATTACCTTTTTGGCCTCGACAATTGTAATTGACATGTTTACACATTTTTGACAGTTACGGTATCTGATTTTTACAAGGCATTTGTGCAGTTTAGCGCACTCAGTGCGGTAAAATAACACGAAAGTTTTACGCTTTTAGAGACCACGCAAAAAAACATACTTTATGTTAAATGAAGTTTATTAATTCCGAGAGAAGATACCCCACTTATTTATCTATTTAGTACTCAAAAATAAACACAATTTAAAAACAAAGTAACGGTTACGGAGATATCAAAAATTATTCATTTTTTGAAACATTTATTTGCAATTTGTTCAAACAAAAAAGAGAAGCTTTCTAGTATAAATTTAAAAAAAAATTACATTCGATATCTCTGAAACCGTTACTTTGCGGACCTGTGTTTAATAAGATTTTTTTGTTGTCTCCTAGTATGTAGTTCTCCGTAGTTTATACTATTACCTCCTTAAATATTTTACAATCTTTTTTTAACACCCTGTATTTCTAATTTTGAAATAATTCTGGTGCCAAAGTGGCGGGGCCAGGGCCTCATTTAATGCTAAAGTAACGCTTGTAAAAATAAAAGGGAGGGGAGTAGTTTGGTGTGCAATCGTAATTTGTGAACCAATAATAAAACATGCAGAGATTAGAGTTTTTTGCAAACCGTAAAAAAGTTTAACGTATTACGGACAAATGGCCGTTGCTAAGGAATTAAAAAACAAGACGTTTACGTAAACGTCTTTGAATTGACGGAATACGCCTTTCACCGTTGAAAAACGTACACACGACAATTAAATGACGTTGTCGATAAGTTTAACGTTAAATTAAACGGTTTGCAAAAACTCTCTATTAACCAAAAATCCTCGATCAGATCTGCATGACTGGATGGAATAGTCGTAGTCCTAGTTTGTACTCCAGGAACACAGTGAAGTTTAGGTCAAGAATCAACCTTTTGCTCATTGTATTAATTTAATTGCTAAGAGTAGTTTTTATGATTAAAAATTACGTTTATTTAACAAAACAATATTAAAAAAAATATTATCATCACATTACTTTTTTTAATGTCAACGAACTCACAATTCAAAACCTACGTATAGGTAACTGTCGAGATCATTTCACATAACTGAATACAAATCGTCTTCGTGCTTTATTTCTTCAAGGTCCGACATGGATAATAGTTTAATAATTTACAAAAAATGGTGTAATATAAGAAAGAAGTGATGTGATCAGATGTAGAAATTTAATTACTATTACCTACTCATATTTAAGTAGATTTTTCAGTTAAGTGAAAACGATTTCAACACCCATAAATAACAACGATTATTAAGAATCATCCAGGTGTGTTGTTTTTTCAATAACCATACTATAATTGTTTTGATATTCACTAATAACCTTGAAAAAAAGATTTTGGATGAACATAGGCACGCATTTAGCTACACAACAAGGTGTGGATGACTCCACATAGTAAGATTTATAACTATTGCTTTGTGTTTACTTTTGTACATAACTGTGAAGTTACTTTACTTAGTTTTTTAATTAATAATGGAAGAAGTAGAGCAAGTGGAAAAGATTGAAAAAGAAAAATGTGTAGGACAATTTCGGAACCTTATGAAAGGTAAGTTTGCTAAATAAATACTTACATGTAAAATTAAAAATTCTTTAATCCTTCAATGACGATCAAATTATTTTGAATTTCTAAGTAATTACAATTCATATGCTTGTGATTCTAGTTCTATAAATCTACACCACTGTAAATATAAACAAGTTTATATACAGTACCCACAAAATAAGCAAGTATAATTTAATAACCTACACCCTACACGTTTTTAACATTTTTTTATTAAAACAAAATTTCTTGATTCCTTAATTTTATTGGCTATAAAGTCGTTGTAGGAAGCACTTAGTCAATAAGTATAGTCCTTTAAAATACATTAGTGCAATTAAACACGTTCGTGCTACTTATTTTAATATCTTGTGACTATAAAAAGTAGTATCTAGGTATGTACCTATTTATGGTACAAAACTTATAATAGAAATTCAAGACAGAATTGTACATTGTAATACTGTATGTAATTAAAAATACACCTGCATTATTATATTTTAAATTTGATTTAATTTATAA